TATTAATGCGTCACCCCTCACCACACGTATCTGACTGACCTGTCATATAAGCGACTGCAAACTGTGTTCTGAATATGGCTGATTGACATGACAGGGTGACCTATCATTAGTCGCCCACTTTAATGCTAGGATCAGCCACAATACCTGTTTAATTCCATATCTTTCAAACATTAAAAGGATTTTTCCCCATCATTTAATCAGTTTCATCGCTTTTTGTGATAGGTTTAGACAATGTGCAGTAAAAATCTAAATCAAATTATAGAAACATACCAGGATAACTGATGTACAGTTCTGTGTATGGTTTACAAGACACAAGACAAAGTAGAATTTGTAATGGAAATTTAGAAATGTTTCATCAATTGGTTAAGGGATTTTTATATAACCTGATCACAAATAAATTTTTAAAAAATCCACCACATGGAAGGATTTCTTGGTATGCATCAGATTTTGATGTAAAAGTGTTGATTATTTCCCGTTTTAAACACGTGCCAGAGGTAATAACAACAAGCTATATCATATATTTCTGTTTGTGTGCAAGTAATGTTCTCAGGGTTGACCCATTAAATAAAGCTATACTGAAATATATTAAATTTGAAGCTGACCAACATGTTAAAATTTGTCTCAATAACTGTCCACATAAAAATAGGTCAATAAAATATAAGAACTGACCGTAAACATCGGTAAAACTAACAAGACAAGGTCTGTTTTAATAAGTTATATATATACCACTGTACATACCAAACTACCTAAAGTTTCAGTCCATACATAAACTTTTATTTGATATCACAGATTTGTTTAAAATGTTTATAATACACAAATGACTAGGCTATACATGTTGAGTTAACAGTACCTCAACCATCAACAGTTAACAATGAAGACCAAGCTTGACCTTCTACTAAACATAACCTTCTGAGCAAAAAAAAACTGACGAGTTGCAATTAGGCAAGAACAAGATCAGTTTCATCTTACAGAGTATGTTCAAAACGTTTTTAACCGATAAATTCCCATGAAAATGTAGATCTAGAAAAATGAATACACAATTCTAAACATTAATTTAGTTTAAAATTAGAAATAATTCAAATAAACCTTCTTGGACAACAGCTAGAACCTAGAACAGCATTTAAATTTTAGCCAAAAATCAGTCATTATTTTCTGTTATACTGACATGACAAGTAAAGAAATCAAGGAGGAAAAGTGGCACAAAATTATACGTCATAACAGACTGTGAAGTTGGACACAAGATACCCAAGTATTTACTTCTCCAGGCTTTAATATTATGTAAATATGTGAAATCAATGAGACAAATAAGATTACTAATTTAACTTGTTCAACAAGCAGTAATTCCTTGGTGAATCCTGTAATATCATTGATAGCAGAGAAAAATCACATCAATTCAGAATTACTACAACCATTTCAAAATAAAATGTTTACGCATAAACATAAAAAAATATGTATAAACAAAAGACCAGGTGTTCTAGAAGCAGAAAGTATCAAGATGACGATTGCCATGATAATATTCATAATTTTTTAAAATGTCAGCTTTATAACCATATTACTACCCTCTGTGTTAATATAACCAGGCATGATGATTACCACAAAACTTCATACTCCACATCACCCTGAACTGTAACACAATCAACTTTCATTAGAATATATCGTGGGGTCTCGGCATCAATTTTTCATTACAGAAGTTGGCAATCAGTTGCTGTCAAACCATACATTTTTCCTGGGATTCAAATTTCATGGTTTCCTAAAATATACATTTCATTGGCATTTGATTTCCGGGATAACTCTTGATCACAAAATTTACTCGTATTTTAATCCAACTTTTTATCATTTTGTGGACATATATAAATTTGAGGATTTAGAGACCCACAAATTTGATTAAAATAAGTCCCCCACAAAAATTAATGATTTTTCAGTAAGTAAACATTTTAATGTTTTAGTTTAATAAATTATATTCTGATATTCATCTTCACAGAAGTGAATTCTATTAAGTGCATGTTTGTTCCAACAGTAATACTGCTGAAATTTCACATTTCAATAACAACAGTCCTACTGCACTGCACACACTGTGTGGTTAATAAGTTCCTGGTTACATGTACAATTTTTGTGAAATTATTTACGAGAAGCTGAGTGACAAGTAATTACGAGTAAGTACATGAGAGCACAAGACTTGCCACACAATTAACTTTTTCGATAGCATTAAAGACATTTAAACAATTAAGTACATTCAATGATGATAAAAAAATAACTTTCATCTGTAAAAGATATTTAAGTGTCAAATGTGATCATTCCAAATTGTGTATAAAAACTGAACACAAATATTATAAATCCAAAAATTCTATGATTCAGAAAATGATTATATTACACTGAAAGACAGTGATTTTAAAACTGATATTGGTATCAGAAGATCAAAATAGTTTGCATAACATGAAAATTTTGGACAGAATTGGTTCACAACATGCAAGTGTCACTTCAAAACATAGACATTATTTTATAAATACGAATGCACCTCATACATGTTATTAAATACATCATACCGTTACCATAGGTAAAAAAAAATGCATGAAAGTTCAAGGTCAGCAACCCTTGTCAAGGTCAGTAATTGTGTTGCATATAAATGTAGTATTTTTATATGTACACAAATTTATGGTATAATGGTGGCCTTTAGACAAAAAATAAACGATATAAAAATGTAATTTGTTATCAACTGCTTTTTCAATAAAAGACGAACCTCTACTACATGTTATTGTGAGGTGTCAATGATTGATAGTTCTATAACCCTTTACACAACATGATGAATTCTGCGAAAGCAAAGTCCATGAAACATTAACCGTGTGAGTCTAGATTTAATAGAGAAAAAAAATCAACCAGTCATAAAAAACATATAAACATCGAAAACTCAAATACAGTCAACTTTCTTATCTCAAAGACCTCGTCTGATTTGAAGTAATTTGTCGACCCCAACCAAACTTCACAAATAAACCTTCAAACTCCCTTAAACCTGAGACCCTACAATTCCAAAGACTTTGAGATAAAAATTTTTTACTGTATTTGTAATGAAAGCAAAATGGCAGTTAAGTGACTGCCTTATAACCATCTATTTGAAAATTTGTGAAATTTATGGTGGTCAATATCTAAAGCAAGCAGTATCACACAATTTTTTTGGGGTGGAGAAAATTAATCATTATAGCAAATTCTTAGCATTTTTATCAATAAAATGTAAATTGTTAATTAAGTTTTGAATGGTTAAATATATATCATTTTTGTCTAAATTTAGATTGATAACAATGATGTCCTAGATGTATATTTTTTAATCGATGATATACCTGTGTATATGACATACTCAACTTACTTTATTATGCTGTCAAAACAGTTTGAAATACCAACACATTAAAATCTCAAAAATCGGTGAAACATGGACAAAAAAAAGCAAAAGAAAATAATCAACAGTACTGCAAGACCACAAAAAATTACCAGAAGCAAAAGTCGGGGAAAATCTCAAAAATGATGACAGAAGTTAAAGAGTATGATTTAAACCCAGGAAATGCCCTTTATGATCAGTCTATAGAGTGTTAAAATTATTTCCGATGATGTTTCGTTGTATTACATAATAAGGAATAAATACTTATCTAAGGACACATCATGTTGTAAGGTTATGAGGTATTCAGAGGGACCACACTTCCTGCCTTATTGACAAGTGTGGACAGTATCAGGTACGTGTATCATGTACATTAGATACAATTAGATATATGATGAATACTTCATCATTCTAAATTACACATCACCAATCACTGTTTATGTTAAGTCTTTGTTAGGTTTCCGTGTTTTGTCAGGAACATGCCTAGAAGTATACTGCCCTTTTCTTAACTCTTAACTAGTTTGGTAGAGTAAACAATGAATTAAGGGAAGGGCAGACAACTCTTTTCATATGAGTATCCGAGTCGACCATATCTTGGCTCGGGATAAAATTTGCATTTGACTCCCAGAGATCAATAAACACATTCAACTACACATACCTGTAAAAATCAGTCTGATCTAGGAAATAAATAAACTCAAATATTTGAGTTTTAAATTTGTAATGTTTAAATTATGAAGTGAATTCAGATTTCTCACAGGTTTCAGTTGACAGGGCTTTACAGTGCCGTCATTTTCTCACATCATACATAAAAAAACAAAAAATATCGAAATCTATAACAAATTGTCAATAACGATTCACAGACAACTGTAAAGATCACATGAAAAATCTCTGAGAAAGCAATAAATAATATTACCGTAAAAAATGTGATTCTATGTGGAAAAATTATCTACAATATATGTACTACATAAGCATTTAATCCATTTTAATACAACCTTTATCTTTCTTTATTACAACATATACCATCCACACAATGTATTTTAAAGGTTTCAAAGTATATTTCTTCCATGTACAGATACAACAATATTTCTTCGGCCAACAGAAAGAAGGGACAAAATGATAGTATGATTAAGAATTCCTGTGTTCTATTGGATCAGCAGTCAGGGGGTCATTATTACTTTTTTATGTAAATACTTGATATTTTAATTAAATTATGAATAGGTTTATAAAATTCTTAGTGAATTTGTCTATAGTTTATTCCAATGTGGTGTAATCACAGTAGATATGGTTGCCATATTTCCTGAGTTTGTGCGATGAGTTATTGCCCTTCAATACAAAACTTTTACAACAGTGTCATTGTTCTATTGAAATAATATCACAAATAAAATAGATAAATTAAATTCACAACTTAAATAATTTAAATTGAATATAAAACATCTTGCAAATAAAATACAAAATACTCATCTTCACACCGTTCATACACATGTGATATTCAGCCCATTAGCATTTCTACAGAGTTTACTTATCAAAAGTATACATCAAAAGACTGAATTCTTTTTTAGAGTAAATTTTGAAACCTCAAAAATTTGCTTTGAAAAAAAAAATTGAAACAATAATTGACAATATTTACTGTAGATTGTTTTTACTTACCATATATACAGTTTCCATAGTTAATTTCATTTTTGTTACATTTCATAAGAGTTCTAATTTTAGCAATATCCAATCTGTTATATTTCTGTTAACTAAAATTAAATGAAATTAAGTTTTAGGATCCAATATAAAATAGTTGTAATTTGGTTGTACTACAGCAACTGTAAAAGTTCAACTCCAAGAAAATGCTATATGGTTATAAAAATAGTTAACCACACATGTATATAGATAGGTCAATAAATAACACATTTTATTCCCTTATACACTATAAATATCTCTCCTGTCCTATCATACATTTTCTATTCCATTTAACTACTGGTGAACCCTGCACCACACAATTAACAACTAGGATCACCTGCCCTATTAATAATCTGCTGTAAAATCAAAATTTTCACGGGGCCTAATTTTCGTGGTTTTTCAAAAAAAAAAAAAATTGTAGACACTTTTTTCAAGTGTATACTTATTTCAACAGTTCAAAGATATGTAAGTTAAAAAAATTAAATTACCCATGGAAGCAATGAGAAATTAATCTCCCACGAAAATTAATTATTTGACAGTACAGAACCCAGGATTATGTATAAATTGGTAAGCATTGGATGTATTTACCTTTACATTTCTTTTGTCAAAAGAACGAATTCCTGTTCAAATTTTATCCTTTTTAATTCTCAGCTATCTATATATTTTTGCCATAATGAAGTGAAAAAATAGGAAATGAAATTAATTTGAATTGTTATAATTCTTTGGACATTTGTGGTCATATAATTTTCATTTCATCTATTTCTTATAATAAACTTCATTGGTGATGAAGCACATCATCCATAAATATTCGCATGAATAAATGTAATATGATACCTACCAACTTTAATCTTCAATTTATTATAGAACAATATTCACTTCACAATTGTTCTTTCCAAAAAAAAAAAAATTAATTATGTGAAACCAAATTTGTTATGGATGATCACTCAGCTCATACTTCTATCCAAGTGTGAGTGAGTAAATATAAAAATTCCTGACAGTGTTATCATTCATTAAGTTAGAGACTCTCACAGTCCAATCACAATAGCATTAGATGAGTTTTTCTGGTGAAAGATGTTATAGGCGTGCAGACCTTTGGCTTGACAATTCGTAAAACAAAACATAGGCTTCAGGGGATATCACACTACTAGAACTTGTTGAAGTGGCTCTGAAAATATAAACAGATTTACTATTAGAGATGTTCTTGGGTGTTAATTTACATTTCATCCGATCTTTAAGGAAAGTGAATACTGAGTCATGAAGTAAAAAAAACTGATAGTAAAACATTTTGACAATTTGAACTCTAATGAGAAAAAGTCAATGGTGTGTCATCAGAAAAAAACAATTTTGATGGTTTAAGCAAATTGTTATATTTGAAATGTTACTGTAATGTGAAGCTGTCACGGACTTGAAGGTTCTGCAATTTTATAGTTTTGACCTAAGAGACTTGCCAGATATTGTTAAAGGAGTCCCGCTCGTTGGAGTAGGGATGTTTACAGTTCTGGTCTTTGTGACTTACCTGGTATCGTTGAAGGCGTTCCGCTCGCTGGATTACAGTTCTGGTCTACATGACTTACCTGGTATCGTTAAAAGAGTTCCACTCATTGGAGTAGGGATGTTTACAGTTCTGGTCCAAATGACTTACCTGGTATTGTTGAAGGAGTTCCACTCGCTGGATTGCTGTTCTGGTCCAAGTGACTTACCTGGTATCGTTACAGGAGTTCCACTCGCTGGATTGCTGTTCTGGTCTACATGACTTACCTGTTATCGTTAAAGGAGTTCCACTCGCTGGATTGCTGTTCTGGTCTATGTGACTTACCTGTTATCGTTAAAGGAGTTCCACTCGCTGGATTGCTGTTCTGGTCTATGTGACTTACTAGTACCTGTTATGGTTAAAGGAGTTCCACTCGCTGGATTGCTGTTCTGGTCTATGTGACTTACCTGTTATCGTTAAAGGAGTTCCACTCGCTGGATTGCTGTTCTAGTCTATGTGACTTACCTGTTATCGTTAAAGGAGTTCCACTCGTTGGATTACTGTTCTGGTCTATGTGACTTACCTAGTATCGTTAAAGGAGTTCCACTCGTTGGAATAGGGATGTTTACAGTAGGCTGTATAATGGCCGGAGTAGACACTTCCTATATGATTGCTGACAGCATACAAATTGTATATAACTCGTGATGCACCTGTGTGGAGAAGTACATTAAAGTAAATATTCTACTGAATATAAAGGAAGGGAGACAACTCATCAAATTAATCCATATTCAAGTTCTTAATGTGATGTACAATTTGGGAAAGATGATGAAAATTGAAGTATCTTACATCATATTATTTTCGAAGTATTTACCTACAGATGTAATTGTTTTAACTTCATGAAGAAATTGATAATAATTCTTACATATAATATTTTATTTCAACAATTTTTTACTCCCAGTAAAATTTTGAAAGCAGTTAAACATACCTTTTTCAGAAGCATAGTCTGACATATCTAGCGTACTTGGGAAATCAACACATGACGACACTTTCTGGCTGTATCGGCCCTGACTGAAACGTTTCAAATCTGAACACAAGATAAGGAATTAAAAAAAAAAACCCAACTCTTTGCTAAATAAGCAAAGCTTTTGATTTCATGGATTCTTAAAAACATGAAATTTTATAATAAATTGATAATTTATTAACTTTCTGTTAAACAAACACCCAGATGACTGAAAATATAAAGGAATTTTCATGACTTTAAAAAATTATTCTGATCAGATTGGAAGGGATTCCACTCTGCTCAATAATCTCTTATTCCAAAATGTATATACTGAATGAAAGATATATTTGTTTTCTCATTCAATATCTGAATTCAGCAACTCTGTTATATGTTTGACATTTGTCTTACTATTCAGTGTTTCACCGTTTGACACAGCACGTTGTCATGCAACGAAAGTATACTACTCTAGAAACCCTGTTACTCTCAACTTTGATATTGGCAGTGAGTTATAGATAAAGGATACGTAGGACGAGGATCTGAGGAAATCTCTGTATACTAAAACTCTTTGTACAGGCCTTCCTCTTCTTACACTGCTCACACGTCTGAAACACAATGATGTTTTAATCATTTCAACTTCGTAAAAACATACGGAAAGAATTTACTTTAACTTGATATGTTAGTCTTCATTTCAAAAGTTTCAGAGAATGATTTTAATCTCCATGCAAGCACCAATAATTAAAGGTAAAAACCATGCTACATGATGAAACATGTTATAGAATTTGTAATGGAAAGGTCAGTACTTACAGGTCGTTCATCATGATCAAGCTCCTCTTCCTTCATAAACAGGTTGATACATTGCTGTATACTGACCTGGGACCCTCGCTGAGAAGATAAGAAAATATCTCATATGTAAATGTGATAGCTTTCTTTCATGTCATCAGAATAGAAGTAGATATAACAACTGGGCTTTACAAGATTAACCTTTGGTGGACACAAAAAAAAGGAACGAAAAAATTAGATCACTGCTAAAGAGATGGGTGGTTTCGTAACACACTCGCCTTTCACCTAAACGTCCAGGGCTTGATTCCCTAGGAAGACATGAAAATGTATAGGGTCACCTGCCCGACTAAGTGGGTTTTACTTGTGTACTCTGGTTCCCCCCCACAGTAAGACCACTTTGATGCTTCTACTAGGCCAAAACAGTTGTTTTCATAAGCTGATAGCTTGTTAGTAATTGTTGAAAAATTAACAAAGTTTACACTGTCCATGACCCATAACCACTAATAAGAAAATACTGTTGTAGCTTTGCCATGCATCCTCCTTAATGTGACACAATTTCATCTAACACTGCAACTGTGATGTAATGACAAGTATTATAACAAGAGGCCCCAAGGTCACCTGAGTTACAAAGCTTCTTGTAACATGTCATAGAAATGATGTTGTTAAAAAAAATAAGATAACTTGTACATTGTACACATAATGCAAATATAAACTGTACATAACATTAACTGCTGTCCCATGCTAAGGCTTCTAACCAATTTTGAATTCAATGAAATTACACCCTAAAATGTAGTTTCCCTAGATAAACTCATCCATCCATGAACAATATTTTAATTCTATCATTTCTGGGTATGGAGAAAATCTTTGAAATTTCAGTCAATTTGACCCCTTTTTTGGCCCTGGTCATTAGCCCCTGGAATTTCAGCACTCCTTTATGAAACCTGAACAATCAGATCATTATAAATTTAGCCAGAGATGGATGATTTCTGACACGTACCTTTGGTATTGGAACTGATAAATCCCAGAATGGATCAAATGTTGTTGACTTGTGACCACAATCTTTGAATCTCAACTCACTTTTCAACTGTCCAACAAATATTTCTGAAAAACAACCATGCAGAGAAATGAAGGCAAACTTACAAAGTCTTCCACAATGAACTGGACCACAATGAACTGTGACCTGAATTTGATGATATAGGTCACAGTGACCTGAATTTGACATTATATAGGTCACAGTGACCTGACTTTGATATGATGTAGGTCACAGTGACTCCAAAAGATACAAAAGATGGACATCTAAGATCAACATCTACTGGTAATTCATTTGATAGAGATGGAACGTCTTTTTCAAGGATTTTTTCACCTCGATACAGTGTTTGGAATCAAATACCTTAATGAGATTTAGACTACACATATATAACGTCTCATTCTATAACATTTCTTGTCACTAACAGGGTAAAACAATTCCAATTCATAACAGATATTTCTGTCAATTTGTCAAACAAGTTTATATATTGTGGAATCTATCTTACGGAAAACCCAGACACTGTAATTTATTGAACATTTGTTAATACAGACACCTGGACCAAGAGGTAAAAATTTAATTAATTCTTGGCTATATGACGCCATTTTTCTTGAAGCCATCAAACTCCAAAGAAAAAACAATCTTATGACGAAAAGAGACACTATTAAATTAACGATCGGTGACTCACCCACTATTCGACTGTTATCATAAGACAGGTATACTCTGTAGTACTCCTCCGCTTTTTCACTGTCACTGAAAAAAAAAAGATTTTTTTTATGTGATCAGATATTTCCTGAGAGTAAATACTTGGTAAACAAATCTGTGTACCAACATAAGGTTATACCAAAATGAAAAATAAAGAAACGTTGTACATGTACCATGTCATTCTGAAATTTAAAGAAAATCTGATCTACAAAGAATTGTTAATGTAGTCGGCTATTTTTGAGTGTACATACTTTGTAAAGTCCTCATCCTTGATAGTGACAGGTTTGGGTTTGGAGCGCACTTTGTTAACATCCTCATGTAGACCCTCCAGCAGGTAACGTAAAAATTCCTGGGCATCTTGTTGTCTGTATGAGATTGAACAGATACACATCAGCAAACAAAACCATGATGTTTAATGAAATGATCCTTGATTTATCAGCACACAACACAAGTTTTAGATGTCTATTTCAACAGCTGACTATTCTGTATCATTAGTACCATGGGAGCACAAACTACTAATACAAATAGACTCTATGATAACAGTTAAATAAAATTATGTTTTTTTCTCAAAAAGTGATTATTTTTACCAATAGAAAAACGCTCCAGAGTCTTCACTGTAAGAGTAATTGATATGGAATCCCAGAAAACCACTGGAATCCCAGAACACTACTGGAATCCTGACATGATCTCAGCCAAGTGTTACTTACGCATAACCTGTGAACCTTGGAGCAAACTTTTGGACCTGCATCTTGAAAGCACTCGGCGATATATGTGAAGCATCATTGTCTTTCCACATTGAGGTCATTAAATTTGCATAGGCTGGAAAATATAACAAATAGGCTGGAAAATATCACAATTAGACTGGAAAATATCACAAATAGGCTGGAAAATAACACAAATAGACTGCAAAATATCACAAATAGGCTGGAAAATATCACAAATAGATGAAAATATCACAAATATACTGCAAAATATCAAAAAAAGGCTGGAAAATATCGCAAATAGGCTGGAAAATAACACAAATAGGCTGGAAAATAACACAAATAGACTGCAAAATATCACAAATAGGCTGGAAAATATCACAAAGAGACGAAAATATCACAAATATACTGCAAAATATCACAAAAAGGCTGGAAAATATCGCAAATAGGCTGGAAAATATCACAAATAGGCTGGAAAATATCACCAAAATCAACATTTATATGATGCAAGAAATCTTTCTTCTTGATGAAGATTTATACAAAGAAGCTGTGAAAAGTGACATCTGTAGGATCTGCAAAACCATAATCACCCAGAAATCTCTTTATAAACAGAAAATGTCCTAAATGACAATCTAAAGTATCCAGAATTTTTAATCTGGAACTTTCTGGACTGATAATTCATAGCATTCATTTCGTTTTTACTGCAATCTTTGTCTACTAAAACTTCAGAATTAATACTTAGGACTAAAAACTATGGGATTTTAACAATCAATCACTTTCAACACTGTCAATTGGTACTCTACTGACAATCTATAGATATGTAGCTATAAAAAAAATCACTAATTAGACACTCTGGATTACACAGTGACACCAAATATCTTTGTTAATTTGGAATTCTGATATTGCCAGTAGTGTTTCAAGCCTATGACTGACTCAGATAAGTTACCGATTGCCAGTAGTGTTTCAAGCCTATGAATGACTCTGATAAGTTACCTGTCATCAGCTGTCCCTTCATTGAGCTGGTTGTTGTATTTCTCTCCGACAAGTAATCCTCATTCAGGCAGAACTCAATCAGAGGCTTGGTGTTACTAAGGCACTGTAGCACTGAGTTCATAAAACACTGCAAAAAAAGCGCTATTCATTATTCTTCTAAATCAACTTCAACAGAAAACGTTGGAGCATCTATTGAAGACAAGAATCGGGAGCTTTTCCTACCAAATCTGGATATGCCCTTGGTATAATTTTGTAGAACAAATCAGAAATGAAGAAATAAAATGTAAAAAAAAAATATAAATAAATAAATAAAAGGAGGGGGCTGCAAGTGTTTTTCACTAATTTTATGATACAATATTAGTAGATGATAACACCCATATCAGACTTTTTCAATCGTATTGCAATAGCTGTATATGACATGAAACACATTTATATAATGTATATCACACATCAACACAAATTCTTCTGTGTATACATTTACCTATGTTTACAAAATAATACTAACACAATTTGTTGTTAAAAACATTATCAGTAGGATGCATGACCTTTGGGCCTATATGAAGTTTTTATAGAACTCTGTTGTGTATACAGGTCTAGTCATGAAGAAAGACAGACAATGTCGGTAAATTATTCAAAAGCCAAATCCCAAGTTGTTTAAGGCTAAAAGATATACATTCTGTATTAGTTCCACCTCTGTGAAGAAGGTATCAGCAATTTCAAGGAATTCTGTTGAAACCTTTTGATCAATATACACTTATTGTGTAGAACACATCATCATCATCATCAAAGTTTTTCACCTACATTACTTTAAAACATATAAAGAAGGTCTTTATCAATATTGCATTCCTCTTGTTGTTTTACTATGTGAAGTATCAGAGTAAATCCACCATAGGTCAAAGTTCAAATATAACTAAATATCACTTTCTCAGTTAAATTTTATATAGTTATTAGTCTTTCTGAATATTATTTTTAATCGCAATCACAAATGTTATAATTGTACCTTACTTTCTTAGAATGGATTAAGTTACAGTGTAACAAAGAAACTAGAAGAAAATACCAACATGTCAATATTATCATAACCCAAATTCAATAAAACTAGGGTAAAATATGAACAAAGGCAAGATTTACAAAAAGGTACAAGGAGAATAAGACCAGGTGTTCCAGAAGAGCAAGTGTCTTCTACTTCACTGATGATATCGCCATGTAAATCTTGGTCAATCCAAGTATGTAAAGTCATGTTCTCAAATGAGAATAAAGTATACAACAACAGAACCAACAGGCAAACTAATGAGCATTAAGCACACCCAGCTTCATATTGCACAAAGAAATGGAATATTTCTCCATGAAATCTCTACCGCAACTAAGTAAGAACATAAAATATATACCATCTTTATTATTTTTATATACTTTCAGTGTATCTAAATATTTTCTATCTAAGATTTTGTAGAGGTAAGTACCTAATATATCTATTTTATATAGTAAGAAGACAGCTTCGCATTCTGATACAACTTACAACTGCTTTTCTGCTAATTTGCAACAGTACAATTCCATACTTAAATATTTTTGCCTATTTCATCTTATTTTTTTTATTTCTATAAACCTTGATGGTTAATGGAATATTAAATCTATATACAAGAAGTAAAATTTCATGATAATCTTCATAATTATAATAATTTTTTACCGTGTTTCCAAGATTCCGGAGACCAGTCTTCCCTGCATTTAGGTATCTGCTACTATTCTGCAACCAAAATATTAAGGGTTAATAAAGAACATAAGAACTTACCACGTGACTGATGTAATACCTACCATTTTATCACAGTTTACTACATATAATAATAAGGACAATTTTTAAATTAAACTCACAAACTCAGAATATAAATGTTCAGGGTGTGATAAAAACATATATTATAATTATGATTAAGTAAAATCGAATTGCTCGAAGTATCGTGTAGTAACTGGTATGTTTTTTGTGCCAATTCTTAAAACCACAATATTTCTTCATGCTGACATGGTCTGATTAAAATTGTTTAACTTTGGGAGAAAACCGGAGTACCCTGTGAAAGCCACCGTTATTGGGCAGGTGACCACATATTTTTTCGTGTCCATTCCATGAATGGAACCCAGGATACCTTGAATTGGTGAGAGGTGAGTGTGTTACAACTGCGCCATCCAACCTCCAAGACATTAAAGGGTAATGATCATAAACATTTTAATTCTGTTCTTGGTTTTTTATTTGTATTATGTCTGCATGCGGCTTGTTATTTCAACATCGATATTTTACTCCGTACTCGAGTATTTTCTTAGGAGATATCCATGATCAATGGAAATTTGTTAAAATCCATAATTTATTCTGGGTTATTATCAGATAGGCTTTCTGATGCAGTATATCAATTACATCATTGGCTGGCTGTGTTCTATATTCTTAGAAATTCCATGCATTCTTCATTAAGTTAATATTTTCTTTTTTTGTTTGTAACCAGAAGCTAAGATAATTTATTTTCCTAGAATTTGTATAAGGATGAATATTATTGGCAATTGACATCTCTATTATGCATAATATGAATTTTCTTTTTGCTAACACCAGAAAATACTACAGTACTGATGACTGATTATGAAAAATCACAATTGATCATCGCATCAGATGAGGTTAAACGATCATCGATTTTATCCAATCATCGGCTCATCGCTTGGAGATATCCCTCATCGAACACTAACAAGTTATATTGAAGTGTTAAAAGATGAACAAATATATCCTACTCACCACAGAAGAGGTATATGAGTTGGAAGAGCTGCGTCCTGCTTTTGACAACGTATCTAAACCATTTTCATATTTCCGTCCTGTTGGCGGAAGACTTGACTCCTTTTCATGGGAGGGACTACTTAATCTTGAATTTGAAGATGAAAAATTCTTGGTGAAAAAGTCTGAAGAACTACTTGTGTCTTTCGGTTCAATACTAGTAGTACGACTGTTCCTTCTATATTCCCGAGTATCTCTTTCCGATTCATATTGGTCACGCTTTGAAGTACGTGAAGACGACAAATCTTGTGTGTCCGATATCCTTGACCTTGGAGTGCATGAACTAAGTTCATCATCCATTCGGAGTGAAGAAGCTTTCTCACTAAGGCTAGCAATACTTGATGATCTTCGACCTCTCAGCCCACTAGAAGGACGTTCCCTTGGTAGGGTTGATGTTGTAGAAGATCCAAACTCATACCCACTAGAATATGATGTGCTGCTATGGTCAACTTTCAAAGGTCTGCTTCCACCAATACTTGAGGAACTATTTGTTGAACGGGTCTTAAAGTCACGAGTCGAAGGTCCATTCACAGTGAAGTTACTCAACTTTCTTCCTGATGAGTCCAAAGGCCCGGGTCCCGGCGGTAATGACCTTAAATTTGTTGTGATATTGGTCCGCGACGTTGGCCTATGGTTAGTAGTAGTACTAGTAAAAAGGGAAGGTCTTGACCTAGTAGTAGTACTGCCATAAGAAGCAGGACTTCTTGGAACACTGGATGCTCTACTGGACCTTTGCACAGTGGTCGAAGTCTGGTAGCTTGAGCCTTTTCCACTTGGTGGGTACCCATGGTAATCACTTGTACGACTCAGTCCTGGCATTTTACCAGCTGGTGGTAAGTGACTGTACAGGCGAATTGACGTCATTTAGTTATCCATGAATTCTTGGGACAGCATCCTCATCACACATCAAATAATTCTAACAAGGTCCTTTATGATCAAAATGGCGAAATTCTGCAGTAAAAAATCCATCATGTTTTGGATTGCTAAGGCCTGAAACCAAAAAGAGACATTTTTTAATAGATCTTGACATTTCGAAAGTAAAATTCAAAACTAGATACATGCAGAATATATGAAACAAGAGTACCACAAAGCGGTATAAAATACGCCTGTGAATATCCGAAACAGCAAAGAGGCATAACTCATTCAAATCGTCTAATCAAAACCCTGTTCGGGAAAACACAATTTCATATCATGGTGATTGAGCCTACCAAGTTTCATAAAGATCGACTGAAAAATGTTGGAGGAGATCTCCGGACAAGATTTCTATAGTGAAATAAACAAAGGGGCATAACTCTTATTCAAATCGTCTAATCAAAACCCCATTCAGGAAAACACAATTTCATATCATGGTGATTAAGCCAACCAAGTTTCATAAAGATCGGCTGAAAAATGTTAGAGGAGATCTCCGGACAAGATTTCTATAGTGAAATAAAGAAAGGGCCAAAACTCTTCTTCAAATCACCAAATCAAAACCCTGTTCACAAAAACACAACTTCATATCATGGTGATTAAGCCTTCCAAGTTTTATAAAGATCGCAGGAAAATGTAGGAGGTGATCTCCAGACAAGTTTACGACGGATGCCGGATGGACAGTGCCATACAATAATACGTCCGTCTTTCGACTGGTGTATAAAAAATAGCCTTCCGTAATTTTATTCCTGTTGAAAATGAGATTAATATAATATATTCATAACCAACTGAGTTACAAACGACAAACTTCAATACTTATATTTGTAAATTTTATGATAAATGCTTTTGTCAGGTTACTTTTGTACAATTCGACACATGTGCAACTTTCCTATTTTTTTTCAGTCGTCATGTTTACTAAGTCAAGTGCAGCAACTGATCACTACACACTGCACCATTGACAAGACAACAAAAAATATTAGCTTCCTATTCTTTTTGCTGCTTGTTTGTTTTTCCCTGCATAAAATAATTTACTAAAGTTATTCTGTAAACATGATCAGCATAACTGGTTGTGATTTCTTCTGAAAACAGACACCGTTTATAATTGAATTCTTTTAGCTATATCCATCACAAGAATGATTTAGTGACGAATAAAAAATCTCTTTGATCTTTTAAAAATATGGAGTTGAACAGGTGGTTAGGTTGATCCCTGGCAATATATACCATGGTCACCATGGGAGGAGTCACAGGGACAGAAAACAGTTGTGTTGACATGGGGAGTGACAGCATCTTGTGAATTACAGCATTATTATATATATATATCAATTAGCAGAAAACGACAAATCTGTGAAAACTTGTGTTAATGTCCGTTCAAATAATTAATGACTACAATAATAAAAGACTTTAGCTTTATCTGTGTACATGTCTGTGTATATATCGGAAAATCAAACAAAATCTCAACGTAATTTCACCAGTACAGAGTATAGACATTGTCAAATTTTCAAGGCAACCTGCCCCTTTATCAAGACACAAATATTACATAAATTACATCACATACATAAAACATCAAAAAAATACAAAGTTATAATCTAAATCAAGACTAGTAGTGTAAATTTAGGTATCTATATAATCCCTTTGGCTGATTGACGCCGAAAGCCTGTATTTAAAAGCATGAGCAGTGAAGTTACTTCTGATACACAACTCTACTTTTAATTTACAAGGGAAAATTAAAAAGTTCACTATTACATACACAGTTGAATTGTTATTAACAAGTACTTAATCATAGTTACTAATGCACAGATAGATTAAACATTAATTAATGAGTAAATAAGTTACAATTAACATAAACTGAAATACTTTCAATCATTCTAATCACACTAAGGTTGTTAACAGGTCGATGTTATTTCAATTATTCCATGTAGAGCTCTTTAAACCATTTTCTACTTCATAAAAAACAGAAATTCATCAAACGTTATGGCATGCATTGGAAAAAACAAAATGTCATTGATGATAATAAACAAGAAAATATCATCATACTGAAAGTTTGTAACAGATTTTGGATCAACCTTGTGATACAGAAAACAAAATCAAACACTGTCATACATCCATAACATATTCCCAGTTTCTATTTTTTCAAGTTAAGCTTTTCAAGAGGAAAATATCTTATGACATATTTGATATTGAATATCACATAAAAATGTTCTTTACATACTTACTTGGTGGTTACAATAATACAACTGTGAGGGTCATATACATACACTGTACTGCAGTATACACATGTATATATTAACTTGAGGTTTGTGAAATGTGTAATGACGTCTTGACTGACATACATATACACTTGTGTAATTTATATTACCTCAATGTGTACTGCAATGTAATCTGTCCGACGGGGACAAAACGGACAGATATAAGTTGTTCACATGTCCAGAAAGTGAATCAGACAGGTCGGATTCGGATTTCGTCATGTGCTACAGTAACCCCCTGAAGGCTGGGAGGTTCTTTCTTACGTCTTCCTCAGGTATTCCAGCAAGCCTGCTTACTCAGTTGTATTCTGATTTAACTGACCGTCGAAATAACGTCGTAGCATATATGATAATGAAGTGTTACAGTTGGTTGCACAAACTTCAAATATACAATTACACTCGTCACAAATTCCAAGACACACATCCCTTCTACAGTGTATTTGGCTTCCCCGGTGGTTTTGGACGTTTGCCAGCAGAACATTTATCGTTAACTTTCAGCGAATATTACAGACAATTGCTTAAGTTTACTAACTTATGTATGAGAAATCTGATATCAGAAATCGATTAAATAACAAACCAAACTTCAAAACTGCACATATGACACGCTTAGGCGAGCGTAACGTAACCTCTTGTATTTAGGTCACACCTTATATAGGAATGCAAAGAGCAAAATGAAAACTAACTGTTCCTGTTGATATTGTCAGTGTTTGCGAAAGTACCAGCGACTTTATTATATAGAGTCAATAAGCTTTGAACACATTTACCTAAATGAGACGACAAAAATGAACTATAATACTTACCAATCATCTCATCAACATAAACACCGACTGTTGCACATATCACTCCGGGCAAAGTAATCAACTTGACGCCATTTTGATTACGCGATAGTGACTATTTCTAGCCGTTGGCATAGTAACAAGGAATGTTTGCACTATCTGCTGTTGTGTTATATACTATACGTGTACAAGAAATGTAATAAATTATGTAAAGGACTTTCTTAACAATACTCAAAGCTTACATTTTGTTTGTTGAAGTAAAAACCTTCGAAAAAAATTACGCTAATCCCCATTCGAAACAATATTTGCTGCAGTACAACTCTGTATCATTTGGCGGGAAAAGTATGCTGGAACATGGGGAAGTCGTTTTCATTGATGAGATTAAGAAGGAAGATGTTGGCGTGGGAGAGAAATCTGTCAGATTGTGTGGAAGGTGGCAGTTTTTTTACTGTATAATGCCAACGTATAAACTGACAATATGTCTGGCTTCAAAAATGTTAATTCTAAATATCACTGAAGAATCGCTACAAATAAGAAAAGAAATACGATAGTTCGTCGTTAATTACTGGATATATTCAGAGAGGTTATATACGGCTCTGATATATTGAAATATTGGATTTGTCAAGATCAGTGAACACCAGAAGTAAACAAATTATATTTGTATACACGTAATTGATATGGATACAAAGATTTTTTCTGTGTCCTTTAAATATGTTGTATTACATCATATTAAATGAACCATAGAATTATTCGATTAACAGCAGTGGTTAATAATTGCAATGAAATGAAACCTACGTTATTATATACACACTTAAAAAGAACTTCTCAATGTAGTGAAAGCCTGAAAGGAACGAATGAATGTTACTTGTAATGTACATAAAACAAATTTGAACATACAATATTTGACCAGAGACGTATATATGTGATATATACGTCTCTGATTTGACCCATTTAGCACACGGAGCACGAAAATATTTAAGCAAATGGGATAGGGGACGTGGAAGCACTTGTAAAATTGGTGTAAAATCACCAGTATATAAGATACTGGTTGACGTGGATTCTACTTTTAGATTTCTGAGGCATTGATGACAAGAAAAACAATTAAACCATCAAAAACTGTAAGATATTTAATTGAGTACAGTTTTTTTGTTAAGATAAAACGAGAAAAGTAAAGTAGATAATTTGTGCATGGAACAAAATAATGAGGTGACAATTGAGTAATAAAATACGAGTGACACAGTGAACACTTCTACTTACTGTGATTTTACTGAACAATTGGACTCTGAGCAGATATTCAATAAAAATGTTTCAAGTTGTTGCAGCAAATGAATGTCAACATACCAGTATAATAAGTAACACACACTTATAAATAATCCTTGTTAATTTGTTTGTAAAACAAGTCTGGCATTGTGAGATAAAAAATTTAATTGCTATGAAAAGTGATAAAAAAAAATTTAGAAATTTTATGAAAGCTATAATTACTTAAAATACACAAACTTACCTCCCTTTACAGTTTTAGTAACTTGGGATTGAAATGGATCTTAAGGACAATATTTCATTATTTTAAAAAAGTTAAAACCCTGATATGAAATGAAGTGCATCACACTGTTACATGATCTATAGTAATTGTACTCCACTGTTTCAGACTAGATGATCACAACTTTGAAGATTGTCGGGCAACTCTGTCTGACCCACAGACCTGCTCAAGTGTGATCCTTGATACCTCTCTCGTGGAACCATTCGATACACACCTTGGTTCCATATTCCAAGTCATTGGAGAGCTTGAATACAGTGAGACAGATTGTACTGTTGTGATGCGGACTCGAGTGATTCGTTCAGTGGATGGAATAGACTTTATTTTGTATAAAAATGTGATAACTGCTCAGAGGAAATACATCAGTTCTCGTTCTGATACATAAGTTATTTTAATTTGAATAAAGAATTTATTTTAAGTGTGTGTACTTGCTCAGACATTGAAGAAATATACTTAAAGTTGTGTAGTGGAGAATGATATTTATGTAAATTGGCAAACTTGTGATAGTTTTTTATTTTGAATCTGTGGATGTAGTGTACTCCCAACAATGTAAATGGTATTATGTGTCTCAAATTTGAACAATTTGGTGGGTTTTGCACCCTCATTCAGGAGTTCTAGTGAACACTGCTCTCTTTTATTTATTTATTTGTTCATTAAACCTGACCCGAGTAATTCAAGTTGTACCCCAGGTTACCATATTGAATTTAGGTCAAGGTCATTTTTTATTACAGATGTCTTGACTTTTTGTAAAACACCTTCCAGTTTCATGACATTACATTTTTGTGTTTGGTTCATCAGAAGTACTTTGAAGGCTTTTACAAATTTTTTACATCGGTGACCTTGATTTTCTTTTCTCAAACTTTGTCTTGCTCCAACTCGGGTATTTATTGTAAATATCATCATTCTAGGCCTTTTTGTTAATCACAGGAATTCATATGAGTATTTTAAGACATTGCAAGTCTGTCCTAGAATGTCAAGGTCATTTCCTTTTCACACTGTGTTAGGCTTTACATCAGGAACTCGTGAGGCCAAGTATTATGATTCTAGGCCTATCAGTAATCTGCAGCAGAGGCTTGAGTGTTTTAGAACATTTGAATGTTGACTTTGAATTTTGGACAAGACTATTGTTTTGCCATCTTTGTTGGGCTTCATCCAAGGAATCTTTATTAGTGAATACGAAGAATTAATTTTAATGTTGTAAAAAAATCTAGCCACCTTGAAGTGAGGTCAATGTTGTTTCATTTTGCAGACTCCATTGGGCATAATAAAAGAAAGATATTTGACAAATATGACTTATGGTCATTGAAAAGATGTTTCCAGGAAAATATTGAAGCATCACAACATGGTATCTAAACTGGATACCAGATATCAGCTTTAATGCTGAGAGTATCAACAAATGGGATAGACCACTACCTTTAAACCAATCGATCGTTGGATCTTAACAGATCAGGCTTGTTCTCTTGATTGTTCGAATGTGAAAGCTCAATTTCTTGCACATCAAGAACATTCCAAAATGGCAACATAATCATCATCCAAGCTCAAATTCCATAAAACCAGGGCAAATATGAACAAAACAAAGATTTACACAGAGACTCCTGAAAAGGTGTGAAGAGAATAAGACAACAGTGAGGGTCTTCTGCTTCATCCACTTTACCTGCCATGTAAACCTTGGTTATTCCAAATAAGTAATGTGTTCTCAAATATACAACAACGGAACCAACAAGCATCAAACATCTCCAGCTTTATATCGCGTAAAGAAATGGAGTAGTTCCCAATGAGATCACTATGGCAACCATAGAACTACCCCATTATTTTCATAAACTGTTTTTTGAAAACCCCTATGTTACAAATTGTCCATCAATTGACTGTTGACAACTTTCGCGATAATCGTAGTCTCAATTTCAAGAACCTGGACCTTTCAGCTGTTGAGAAGTTATTTGAGGATTTCGCAACTAACACTGTCGTGACATTGATAATGGGTCAAGGCCATTCATTCCAGTATGACAGTTAAGCCATGTGTATTGACAGAATGAAATGAAGGGAAGTAACTCTGGGAGATCAAAATGCTGTTCTATATGCTGTGCGTTTTTTGGTAATTGGGAGTTTACAGATTTTCACATAATTGACCCATGTGACATTGAAAATAGGTGAAGGTCATTGATTTGAAGAAACTTAGTAGCCCTTCATTCCTTTATGCTGTCGGGCTGTTGTAAGTACCTCGAACCTTTCAGCTTAAGAAGTCGTGAGAGAGTTGACGCCGGACGCAGAGCTATGGCATCAGCTCAATTGCTCTTTTAGGTAAGTTAAATCATGTCAAACAAACATTTGAAAACTTCTACATAACCAAGTATCATGCTAGTCAAAATATGCTATCCTGCATATTTACTTAATCTCGATGGAAAAGTGTTGGCTACTGACTATCACGGGTTTCCATCGCAGACTGTGATAGACACTCCCTACATAGTCTCCGGTCTTGGGTAAGCGATACCTTTTATTATATATACATTCATCCTATGATCAGGATGTCGCACACAAAATTATCCGGTCGCATAAAAATCCCAACATTTATTATATAAGAAACCCGCGAATATTATCACTAGCAACATTTTCAAACTACTCACGACTGCCACACATCGCCTACTTTGTGATTTTGAATAACGCGGTTTTATTCAGAAATATTTATTTGCCACACCAGACGGACACTTACTAAAACACACGTATAGAGAATGGTTTTACAATGATGGAAATACAGAAAAAACCAATGAGGTCGTAAAGAAATTCAAATGTAAAGGATGGGGCGCCACGTGTGTGTGAAATTTGGCATATTTTGGCAGGTGAGTACGAAAGGTAATCTGAGTAATTATGCATTATTTTGTATCGACCACTGTCCTCAGTATCTCACTGTTAAATACTACTAAACTGCTATATCATGTTACAGAAATTCCAGTATATATAGCAAAATCGGTGGTTTTGCGTGCCGACCTAGCGTACAAAGTGATGAAAAAGATTTTGTAAATTCATACGGAATTACCATGGAAGACTATAACAGTTTTAGTCATTAAGTAAAATCTGGAGTAGAATTGTAACACGTAAGAAAATTAGATATAGAAAGTCTTTACTTATATCCAGAGACTTGTATCACAACTCTATCACCTTTTCATGTCCTTACCAAATCCAGATGATACTTTCAATAAAAAAACTAAACCTGGAACTATATCATTTCTTATGGAAAATTTATGATATCGTTGAAATTTATTTGAATGGGGTCTAAAAATGATTGATACAAAATCTTCTATTGAATCGTTGAAACTTACTTGGATCCGTCCTCTCTATACATCAGAGGGTAAATGGCAAATAGTATTTAGCATATATGCCGATAAAGATAAAACTGATCAATTCTGGACTTGAATACCTTCCAGTAGGACTGAAGTAGAAACAATGATATGGAAATGTATCAAAGTTCGACTTTTTCTTCAAACTTTTGAATTACTTCTTGAGATCCTTTTGATTCCATTTGCTTTTAATAAAAGAAAAAGAAAAAAAAATACCATGGCAGAAGAAAACTGCATTTACATATTGATCAGGGACGTATATGACATATACGTCCCTGATATTGATGCAAGAACACTGTTGTGTATAATGTAGGTTGTTGTTTGTTACGTTGTCCAGGCGATATTGCTCGGGATAGTGTCCGATTTCAGCATCTGAGCTTTAACACAAAAAAATATATCATCTAAATGAATTAGTTTATAGGTAGTGAACATCACGTACATTTGTGTAGGTAAAATGCCGTTACTAACGTATCAGATCATAACGGAGTGTTATGCAGAGTTATCTCCCCCTTTTGGAACTCGTAGCGTAGCTTGAAGAAGATGGAAGCGAAGACACAAGCAGTCATAAAAAACCTGATTCAGGGGAGACACACCGAGGAACACTTGATGTAGAACAGCTTAAAAATACTGATGTATTTTAACATCAATATCCCGAAATCTGATTGGCTGAAATACAGAGAAAATATTCTACGTCATATAAAAAGTAATAGATGATTGGTCAACTCATTGGTCTATTAATATGACAATTTTGCCCACCCGCGTTGGAAGTCGCAGATTTTGCTTTGCGACGGGATCACGACTACTGGATTTCAATGATGAAATAATTTAAAGTTAATAAAATTGCCTGCCGGACAAATGTCTAACGAATGCATAGACCAGTTCTCCAAAGATATTGTTTCAGCTATATTGCAATCCTCCAACTCTACCTTGCCTATAAAAAAGTACAAAAGCTATTTAAAACCATATTGGTCTAAAGAATTGTCAGAAATGCACACTTCGGTGCAAATTAAAAGGCAAAAATGGCTAAATGAAGGAAAACCTAGAAATTTCTCTCATAGTTTTCTGAAGTATAAAGAGAGCAAAACTTCTTTCAGAAGAAAACTTCGTGATGCATTTAATAGGTATATGTCTGAACAATTTAATGAAATAGAAAAATCCAGTGAACTTGACCAGAATTTATTCTGGCTTTTATACAAAGGTAAATCTTGTAAAAGCAAAACACTTCAGACTGAAATGAAATACAACAATGTAAATTTACGAGACCCCACAAATATCGTCGAAGCGTGGGCGACACATTTCGAAAATTTGTTCCATGATAAACCGAATGAAGAATTGGACAACACGTTCCAAAGAGAAATCATAAACCGCGTGAACGAAATTGAAAAGAAAGTTCATAATGAGGTAGACATATACCTGAACGAATGCATTACCACTTCAGAAATTGCCTTGGTGTCTAGAGGTCTCAAATCTAAAAAAGCAGGAGGGTGGGACGGTATAGTATACGAACACATTAAACATGGTGGAACAGTACTTTTTGAATATATCGCCACCTTATTTAAAAATGTCATAAAAAACGAATACATTCCAAAAGACTGGAAAAAAGGCATTATTATAACATTGTATAAAGGTCAAGGTAAAAAGAAAGAAGACCCCAACAGCTACAGGGGGATCACATTATTACCTGTATTTTTAAAAATGTTTGAAATGGTTTTAGCACAAAGAATCCAACGAGTTTTAAATTCCCGTGTATTTCCAAATAGACAACAGTCTGCCTATCAAAAAGATTTGTGTAGTCTATGCACATCATTCAGTCTTCAAGAATGTATAAGTCACAATATTGAATATGGTTCCAACGTCCATGTTGCTTTCTTAGATAGTAACAAAGCGTTCGACACTGTGTGGCACGCTGGACTATTGTACAAAATTTATGAATTAGGATTAAATGCGAAGACGTGGATTTTACTAAAATGTATGTATACAAATGTTGAAAGTTGTGTTTTATTCAATGGGTTAAAATCCTCCATGCACAAAATGGAACGTGGAATATTACAGGGAGGGGCATTGTCTGCCAAAATGTACCTAGTATTTATTAACGATTTACTAAATGAAATAGAGAATTCTGGCCTAGGAGCAGTAATTGTTGATTTAAATGTTAATGTTCCTACTCAAGCAGACGACATCTGTTTGGTCAGTACGAGTTTTAGAAGTCTTCAGAAAATGATATCAATAAGTGAAAATTATAGTAAAAGATGGCGTTTTTCATTCTCTGCTGTAAAAAGCAAAATTGTTACCTTCACAAACCCAAATAGTAGAACTTGCACTGTGTATAATGAGCTTTATCTGTACAATTGTATTATACCACAGACTGATGGCATTACACATGTTGGTATCTTATTAAACTGTAAACAGAACTCATTCGAGAGAACAGCACGTGCATGTAATAAGTTAAGATCGGGTACGATGTCCCTTGTTCGTTCTGGTGCACATCCTTGTGCTCTAAACCCTTTAACAGTGGCGAAGCTTATCAAAATTAAAGTTTATCCATCAGCCTTATACGGATGTGAGCTTTGGCAATTGACAAAAACCGAAATAATAATGCTAGAAAGGGCGCAACATTTTATTGTTAAATCTATTCAAGGGTTTGAAAAGAGAACCAGAACAGATATGTGTACATCTTTACTTAGTTGGACATCTATCGAAGCATATATAGACATTAGAAAGTTGTTATTTATTGGAAGATTGTGTAGATTGAAAACAATGTCTTTTGTTTATAAAGTTTTCATTACCAGACTATTTTTGTTTCGACTAGGTAGACCATACCAGATCGGTTTCATCCCAGACATAGTCAAAATATTAAAAAAGTATTCACTGCTTCAAAATCTAGATACTTTTGTAGAAACTGGAATTTTTCGAAAGAAAAGCCATTGGAAAACAACAGTATATAATGCTGTAATGAAATATGAAGAGTACAATCTAAAGGAACGCATGAAGTTTGATGATGATTTTACAAGGTTTAGAGAAATACATAACCAACCCAAACCTAGTATTTTATGGAAGTTAGCACTTCGATTTCCTCAATACAGAAAATATATACATCACATAATGAAAATAGTGGTAACCATTCGTAGCTTGACTACCATGGAATTATGTCACAAATGTGGGTTTCTATATCAAGACCCTATGACACATCTAGTGCTACAGTGTATTTATACTTCCGAGTTGAGGGACCAACTGTGGTGCTGTATAATTAATACCACAGATATACTGTTTAGTGTTTATTTACACTCTCTCCCAGACCTTCAGTTATTACATATATTGATTGGAGGAAATGTAAACTATCAAATTAGTGCAGAAGAGCTGATTGAATTCAGGATAAAATCCTGTTTTTGTGTGTTCAAGATGAGTAAACTATATTATAATTAATATACATAATGATAAGGATAACAAATAGTCCATGTACATTTTGTAGGAGTCATGTGACTTAACAATTCATTATAATTTACCTAATTTGTGTCAGAAAATTGTATTTTGAAACTCTTTGGGTATACCTTAAAATACCCCCTTTCGCTTAATTTGCACTTGATATGCCTACTCCTAAAGCATAAAGTACGCTTTGTATATATGTTCAACATTCTTCTGTAATCTTCATCTCTGGAGGCAATAAAGAGAATAATACAAAAGGTCACTCATGCAGACGCTCATTTTGATCTTATATGAGTATCGTCCTGCCCACCTCCAAATCCCTCTCCACATTTTCTTTTTTAATTACGTCGCCACGGTACATGTTGCATATATCAGGGACGTCCCTGCATATATTGACGTTGTAGGTACATAACAATTCTTATTTGTTCAAATCAGCCCATTTTGGCCGAAACTGGTTATAACATTTGTCAGGTATTAAGATTTAAAAAAAAAATCTGCGAATTGTCTGATAATGCTGAAGTTTGCGTAAATCATGCTCCGTCGATATCAAACTTTCGGCTATGGATTCCTTAATTTTACTAGTTTCATTCTAAATCAGTCAAACGTTTGTCTGAGCGTCTGTTTTTAAGCGCTATTCAGATAACGATCAATTGTTGCTTATGGATTCAAGATGGCTGCGATATCAAGACTGAATCTAGAAGTTGTCTATGGTAAGAATACAACTATTTAATTATGACAAATTGGCATGTACGAAATCATCTTTGTATTTGTTTGCCATGTTAGTCTGCTTGTAGCTGAGGTCAACTCGCAGCGCCAGGTCACTAGATTTTACGTAGACATTCATTGGTTTATGTGAGTTTGTCCGTTGGTTGTGATTTGGATGAATGATTACCAAAATTTTATGCGATCGGACCAGTTTTTCTACTTTAGGGAAAGCCAAAGTAATATACGATATACATTCATCAGGCATCCTCAATGTCGCACCATCTCCATTTTTAACCTTTACTGTGTCACCCCGTACTTTAATATATTGCACATCCTTTGCTTTTACTTTGTCTCACCATTTTTTTTTATTTACAGAATAGAACGGTGATTGGATATACAGAAATTGTAGGCCTGTCATTGGTTTTTTCAGGGTCCCGAAAGCATCAAGTTGAAGTCAGCCTTCCTCCAGGGCAGGCTGGAGATGTATTGACAGTTCGCCATCTTCGGGAAGAGGTCCAAAAATTGACAGACGTTCCAGCAGAAAATCAGAAGCTGATATTCAAAGGTTTACATTCCGATTTCTGATTTAAATTAGATTTTCAAATTCCATTTGAATTATTACATATTGACAAATGTCAAGTTCTTACAAAGCAAAATGTGACATTTTGGATGACAGTGTAAGTTTTGAATTATCGAGTTAATTTAAGTTACTTGAAAATACAAAAATCACTTGATATGCTCAATGCTGATTATGCAAAATAAAACTGAATAGAAAGAAAAATATCTTCTGCAATGGACGTTTTCCTCACTGATATGAGTGATAAATACTTGATTATGTTGTTATTCACAGGCAAGTCTTTAACCGATTCAGAAAAATCTTTGTCTGAGTTTGGCCTGAAGAATGGAGTAAAGGTGATGTTGATTGGCAAAAAGGTAAGCAATCTTTTGGGGGAAAGTTTGTTGTATCAATATGAAGTTTTCACAAGAAAGTATTATTTAATAATTTTTCTTATATTAGAATGAAACTGAACATGTATATTAAATCAAATGCAGCAGATCTTCATGTGACATTTCCGAAATCTGTCTTTAAAAGAATATTGACACCCCAAAATTCTTTGCAGTGTGCATTTATCATTATATTTTGCGATTACCCAAACTTAGACATTGCTTGATAATATTATATCAAAAGAGTTATTTGTGCATTTCTTCACAGCCTGTTCCCAAAGATGATCCAGAGATGCTCGGTCTGAAGAAAGTAGAGACTAGTCTTGCCAAAGAAGAGGAAAAATTCAGTGTCGTCATATATAGGCTAGATGGAATACACAGGGTAAGAAATGAAAAACTTTTACCAAAGACAGATGTATCCACACTTTCTACCTGTGTAAGATTTTCTGATGATAGACTTAGGTTTAGGGGATTTCCCTTTACATAACAATGAAATCACATTGACACTTACAAGCATTGAGAGGATAAGCAGCTTATTTAGCCTAATGTGTGGCATTTTAAAAGGACATCAGGGTAAAAACATTAATTTTTTATTGGTCGTACATATTTTGTACACTTCTAATTACCTTTCTCTGCAATCCTGATATTGACAATCAATTTTTGGTTGGAGGGGTTGGCAAATTGTCTTGTTAAAACAGTGACATGGTATTGCAGGGTTTCCTGGATGAGCAGAAGAAGCGAGATACACTGGTCCAGTTAGATAAAGAGCTGGCACAAATTATAGAAAACTTTGAACGTATGCTGGAGTCCCTTGACTGTCTCCGATTTGACGAGTTTAATAAAGAGGGACGTGCAAAGAGAAAAAGCACTGTAGATAGAATCCAGGTAGGGTCTTTTGATACTTTAGTCAGTATCATTTCCTGAAAGAGACTTTTACTAACATTTATACAAACAAATTTTATCAATTAAATCCTTTCGGAAACAGCAAAATGTCTAACTAGGATTTCTTTGTTTACAGATAATTGATACCAAACAGCAGAAAATCTTTACACTTTGGTAATGATAAAATGGTATGCCTTTATACCTGCTATTTAAAATGTAATTCCATATTCCATTTAATGATTAATTGGTCCAGAATTTGATACTATAAGTAGAATGTGAAATCACCAATCACTGATCAAATTTGTTACAGAGACTGTACTTAATATCCAAACTTACGTACTTATTTATGCACTATGCTCTGTCGAAATTTTGATGGGATGTATGATACAGTGTTAGCCAGCCATGTATCCTCGTCTCGTTCTTCACTTGAAATCTGTCAGTTTTTCAACATGTTTGAAACTTACCAGGAATTGTTATCATGAATGGTCACAAAATATGCTTTGTTAAGATTTGTTAAAAATTTATTGAATTTAATGCTTCTGTTTTTTATACTTCTTTTTTTTTAAACTGATCCAGATGTTTTTTTTTTCTTTTTTCCAACAATTTATTAGAAAATTAATTAGGCAGTATTATTGCATAAAGCTTTCTTACAAGATTTCTAAATGAACATTGTTTTATGATATCCTTATTTTGATACAGGATTGTTCATAACTTTAATATGTGATTTTTATCCCACAGCCCGAAAGGGTGTGGGGTATTGCAATCATGCACGGCGTCTGTCTGTCCACCATTGCATTCCGCTCATTATCTCAAGAACGACATCACCGGCGATCACCATTTTCGCTGGGCATGTTGGGTCTATGGACCTACACAACCCTATTGTTTTTCGTTGTCACCCAATATCCAATATGGCGGTTACGGCCGCCATCTTGAATTTGCATTCCGCTCATTATCTCAAGAACGGCATCACCAGCGATCACCATTTTCGCTGGGTATGTTGGGCCTATGGACCAACACAGCCTATTGAGGTTCTTCACAATCTCAGCCCTGCACCCAACTTTATAATAAGGCTGTGGGGTATTGCCCACCTTTGCGGAGCTATTTTTTAATTTGTATTTTGTCCAGCATTGCAGTACTTGTCTTGTTCCAAAATTCCAATTTTTTGTCCTTGTCACATTGTCATCACCTTATCGTTATATTTTAAAGAGATATACAATTTCTCTTTACTGAATAATCATCTGATGTGCTGTATCATCTCTGTACTTTCTGTTACAGACACTCCTAGCTCGCTGTGATGGCTTGGTGAAAGGTGTGAAAGACATGAGAACCAGGTTTGCCATATTTTGATCCTTGACCTCTGTACTCAACTCTGAACTTTCACCCTTTGCCCTTGGCGCTGCACCTGCATGAACCTTAACCTGCACCAAAATTTTGGATTAACACTTTTCCTCGTAATTGGAACGCTGTTGGTTTTTTTCTCCAGATACATTTTTTGTGAAATTACTTCAGTGAAGAATAGAAATCAATTGCAATGGAAAGTTTTGAAACTAGTTTAGAGGGTCGTATCATTTAGTTTGGGTTTGGGAGTTTTCTTATGTATATACACAAGTGTTTTTTTTCTTTTGATATGTATTCTAGTATTTAATCATATGAAAATTGTTGAATATCAGTAAATTGTAAACAAAAAACTGTGATCAGGGTGTGTTCCAAATTTTTTTTTATTTATTTGAAAGACTATTTTTATCTATCATGTTAATATTTTCATTGTCTGCTTTAGAAATTGAAATCTTTTTGAAGCCTGGGATGTCTGTGAGCAGAAAGTCACTCAAAATCAGAAATGCAATACTTTGTTTCAGTTCAGTTTACTTTATGGAGAGAAAAGACTTAAAAAGCATAAAATTAACTGTAAATTGAGAAATATTTTGTTTAAAGGATTACTATTACAATTCGTATTGTCTTTTTACTATTAATTTTATAAATTTGAATCTTTTCCAAATTTATACAATGTTCAAGTTTTGCTGATTAACATTACTACCCTCAAATTTGCTAAAAATACATCAACACATTTTCCCAATTTTCTGTACATTATTTGTATTTACCAAATAAAAGTTATAAAAAAATCTTGTTAGCTGTCAGTGGTAGCTCTCAAAATGATCAGCAAACAATATTGGTGTTGTGCTCAACAGTAAAACCTTATTATACTGCCATCCTTATACATTAAAACCTTGTTATACTGCCCACTTTCCCCATTGAAATTAGACCATCATAAGGTTTGGTCATTACATCTTGAGAGTCATATACACAAATCTTTTAACAGGTTTAATGCCCAGTATTACTTCTGGCTTTTTGTCAGACAATATATCATATGATTTCTAACTGTTGTATAAATGGGGACCATGATATCAAGGCGTTATTCTATATGTATAAAGGATGAATTCTATATTAAGGTATTACTGTAATCATACCTAGGAATCTCTCGTCTGGAAAATGTGTCAAAAATGCATGGTTTTTTTCTTCTTCTTTTTTTTTTTTTTGATGCAGTTTGCTTAACTATACATGTATATCTTAAAATTATATCTAAGATATGAGCTTGACATAGATAATGTCCTACTTATAAAAAAAATATGTAGAGGTTTGTTTAATCACAAGTTTTAGTGGGACACCTTAGAATTAGATTCCACTCATTACTATTGCAATAGAAATACTGATATGCAGACTAGTGAACCCTGGATAGATTTTGAATCTTTATAAATCGAAAAGGATTGGGTCCCACTCCTTCAAAACCCAATAGTTCTACTCTGTACTTGTCCCTATTGTTGTTTTCTAAGAAACATTGTGATAGTTCATAAGTAGACTGTTTTCTCATGGTGCAGTGAAAATATGTTTATCCTCAGTGGAACTCTTGATTTTCTAGGTAACTTAGTTTCTATAATTTTGCATGCATTTTGTAAAAGTTTCAAAAATATCACCCATGAATTTGAAAGCAAAGATTTTTGGCTATTTTGGTGTTTGAATTTCAAGGTCTCTGTAATTATAAATACCAGATTCAACATGGTTTATGTTTAATGACTGATAATGGTAAAATCAGACAAGACTGATCTTGATTAAAGTATGACATTTACTCTTCTATAATGTGAGAAGTATTCCAGAAATCACAATTTAAACCCATAATATCTATGTGATTCTGAATTAATTTCAATGTGGTTGAATATTCACATTAATATGAAAAAAAAAAATCTCATAGCTAATAGTTTAAGTTAAATTTCATGGTTCAGTTGTAACAGGTTTGATAAGGGAGACAAGTTTTTACATAATAGATACTGGTCACTGCTTCTGCTGCAAGTATTAATGAAATTTTTTTTTTTTTTAAATTTGAAACTTTCAGGAGTCTTTGTCCAATGAGTTTGATTATCCAGTATAACAGTATAATTTGTTTGCATGTTGTGTGTTATGATCAACTATGCTCACTGCACCTTCAATTCTTTTTCGCTTACTGCACGGGGAAAGTTCTTTTAGAAATTGATTGAGATTTGAGAAGTGAAACACCAGGGATTAAATAATGCATGTATACACAGTGGATGTTTAATTAATGTCTCCTTGCAATCATATTCTATTTTTGAAACAGTTTTAAGAACTGTTGATGGTTACCATTACAGTATTACAGTAAATTATTCCAACTTTTGTGTGGTTTGACAAATTACCTATTTCATTGTTACAGTATACTGTTGTGTTGGTTTTATTTACATTAAGTTTTAACTGCAATAAATAATGTCAATGTTTTAGAATATTTCTCTTCTATCTTTTTTACATGATAATGAATGTTTGGGCCTTGTCAGCGGTGGAAAAAAGGAATATATTGGACACTTGACAAAAAATTCATGCCAAGTTTAAGTGAAAGAAAGAATTTTCAGTAAATTTCTTTGAATATTTTTGAAATCTTGCAAGTAAATTTACAGATTCATAAATGATTTTAATCTGCTTTTCTTTTCTAGTGAAGAGGAGAGTTGACGCTAAGAAAAAGGAGATAACAAGATTTTAAATAGTTATATTTGTACAAAGGTATAGTAATAAATAGAAAGTGTGAATTCAGATCAAATCATAGTGAATGCTCGCCTAGAGAAACAAAACTGATGATCATGAAGAGTGTGGTGAACAGGAACAATACAGTGACAGGAAATTACCCTAAAACGTGTTGTAACATAAACTTCATGTTTCCAATAGCATTATCCATGAAGAATCTCAGGACAGCCACTCAGGTACCTTGTTACAGGCTGATAGCTCAGCCAATTAACACACTTGTTCCAGCCCAGACTCTGGAGCGAGAACAGCCACTGAATTATTTTGAAATAGGAAAATTGGGTATCCTGTTAGTCAAATAGATATTTCAGCCAATCAGGAATTTCGTTTAACTTGGAGCAGCGACTGAGTAAAGACTTTTTCCACATTAATGATTCAGAAAAAAGACAACCATTGACTGTTGATGAAGAAAATGCAATGCAGAAGTACCAAAGTTGTGCCTACCTGCCAATATCGTCTGACAGCACACATGACTTATAAAAAAAGTTTGTCATACACTGCCAGCTGTTTTACAGACGAGCCATTTCCAAGGTTATTTGACTATGTCAGTTGGGTATTTTTAGTCTCTAGAAAGAAGTGTCATGTTTAAGCTGAAGCCAAAGGATTGATATCGACATAGTATCTAGATATAGACAGAGAATCTGGTATAATCAGACAATCAGGTATTGCAATATAATAAAACAATTAATATTTCAAAGTTGTCCATGAAAAACAATATGAGGGGTAAATACCTTTAAGACCAATTTGCTGGTTTCCTTCCTTTGTATATTTAATTCTTTAATGTTGAAAAAATCCCAAGCCAGTTCTTCAGCGAAGTTCGTAATCCTTACCTCATTTTGAAACATGTACTGTAGATGGCTCTTTATAGAGTAAAGATGTATTTTAGTATAAGACAGGGTTATGTTTTAAGCCTTGTTGTGGTGCTTTACATTAAACTGTGCATATTCTATATTATACACTGGTCTTATTTGGTTTGTTGAATTTGATCTGTTTGATCGTCTTGTAAAACTATTTATAATGCCTGATGATTTAATTACTGCAGTGTGAAATACGGAATAACTTAACTGCCGAGTGCCAAACCAGTAATAATCTGCATCTCTACTGGCCGAGCCAAAACACATGCTCTGTTAGCTGAGTGATGAAGACAATATTTAACACTATGTACAAAGTCACACTTACCTGCTCCTTATACATATATCTGTGTGGTGTCGTAAACAGCACCCATCAATAGTTCATTTTCCTCTCTTTATACCCCTCACAACAAAGTTGGGGGTGCCTAAAACTAAAAGTAGTGTGTCTGTCCATCTGTTTGTGTGTAGACACCATTTTGTACGACCTGTTCCTTCCAGGATTGTGCATGGATTTTGAGGAACCTTGGCACATAATATGTAATACAGGCATGTTCTTGCGTCTCCCTGTCTCGTTTGGTTTTTGTCAATTCTTACCAAAATTATGCCATGTGATGTCACTAAATGAATAATCATTCTGCACAATATACATACATGTACATCAGGGCATGTAGGCATGATTAAGTTATATTTGTGACAGATTATAGAGGTCATGGAACCAAAGGTCACAGATGAATTGCAGTACACAAAACATTTGACCCGATACACCTGAAATGTTCATACATGGATTTTTTTATAATAACTTTGGCCAAATATGCACCATATGAAATCGTGTCTTTGCAATAGAGTTTGTCTATCCTTTTTTTTTTTACCAGAGTTTACCCCTGATAAATCTGAATTTTTACTATTTTTCTTCCTTTAGGGGAAGGCAGCCTGCGGTGTGTTAGTGACCGCGACAGTTTTAGCTGCATGAAAATTTCAATGTTGGCTGGTATCGACTACATTCCATGAACTTGGAATCACAGAACAGAAATCAAAGACGTGATAACAGAATAATTTTATTCAACATTCATGATAAAAATTAGATCAGTAAAAACAAATAGAAATAAATAAAAATGTGTAAAAACAACTTTTAGGCTATCCATGTCAAGACATTACTATCAAGTCTCTCAAAGGTTCTGTGCTATTATAGAACTATCATGCTCCTGCTGGTATAACCTTTAAACAATCTGAGATTATAAACCCTGATTATTTCACAGAGTCAATGGTATTCTGCAAGGTGTTGTGATGTCTACTTGGCTGGCTGGAATTACTTGATATCACACAGAGCAGCCACTCCACGGAGAATCCAATGATCTGGGTTCTGGTTAGTCTTGAGTACTATGAAGGTGATGTAGGTTAAGTCGGTGCGGTTTGGTTTCTTGTAAATAGGACACTGATAAAGTCGTGGATCCTTGGGTGCGGTGGAGTTGATGGCAAACATGTGGACAACTGGTAAGGCAGTGAACAGTACCTTAGGTGTTGACTCACACAGACGACTGTTCCTCCTGTCCCAGGCAGCACCATCCAGGAATAGACCATAAACATATACTCCTTCCTGTGAGGTAGAAAAAGGTGATACAGTGGTACTTTAGAATAAGGACACTGACAGTCCAGATATATGCTGCATGTAGGAGCATGTATGACACAGTAATCAAACAGATATGATTTCATTAAACAAATATGTGGATAGCAAAGAGATAATAGAATGAAAGAAAACATAGGAATTGTTATTGGCTGGGTAAGTTTTAATGCAGAATGAAACAAGACCATTCATTAAATTACATATCCAAACCATATCCAAAGTATTAAGTTCCAATTACTTGTAGTGTAGTAGATTGAATTGTGGCAAACATTTTTTAATTTGAAGGTCAAAATGTTATTCACAGTGACCTACTATTGATACTTGACACACTGCCTTGTCAAGTTTAAACCATACCCAAAGTATAAAGTTTCAGTGACAAGTAGTGAAGGAGATTGAGCTCGGAGAAGAGAGTGGAATGACAAAGGACAGACACAATTTAAAGTTATGAAGCAGAAAGACGAAGGACAGACACAAGACAAAGTTTTGCCCACCTCCCAAACCTCTCTTTCCAGTGGGGACTAATAATACAAACTGTACTAACTTGACCCATGACCTACTTTTCTGACAATGCACGTGATGATAGAGTTGAGATCATGCAAACTTACTGGTGGTGCTGATGTAATGTCCTCCCTGTTCTGTCGTATAACTTCATTGTGAAGAGTAACGGAGTCAAGGGCCCATCCTTTGTGTGCCCTGGTCACCTCCTGTCTCATAGCTGTCAGGAAACCTAATAACAATCACAGCAAAATTAAATTCTTGTCACAAAATCAGCTTTCAATGGAATCCTTTTATTTCATATTTGATTATTGCTAGCAACTTGTTAAGCTGTGCAGATCAAAGCAGACCTGTACTTGGTGTCACTGCCAAGTATGATAAATCATTCTCCCTTATTTACAGAAGATTGATGAAGACTGAATCTCCATTATTTACAGGTATGTTCCTGTTTCTGCTAGGTAAAAGACAGCCGACACATGCTTTTACTCTCAAAGATGGATGAAGACCGAGACATCTCAAAGCCTCAAGAATAACAATCAACCATCTATGGTTCTAAATATAGACATTTTTCCTATCAGAACTCCAAGTTCTTGTCTCCACTTTGTTCTGCATATCTACCTTGAGGATTGAAGAATCCTGTCATCCAAAATACATCAGGTCGACCTACAAATACCCAGGCATAGAACTGTTCATTCCTCTCCAGTAACTCTGTGAACCAGAAGCCTAGAGTAGATGACTCCCAGGAGATCTTCCTCCATAGACTTGGAACTCGGGCATCAAACATGTTGTCCAGGGCATCACGCAAGTTCTGTTGTAGCCAATTTGTGGAATGATCTCACAATCATTAGTAATTCATATTTAGTTTTAAGGTCAAGAAATGGGAAAAAATGAAAATATTAAACTGTAAAATAAACAAAATCAGGAAGGGATAGTAGCGATCTAGCTACTGGCTTTAGTGGTGAACCAAGCAGTAGGAAATCAAAGAAATGTTTGGCTATTTATTTCTTGTACTAAAAAAGCAATCTGATTTGAGTTGAGGTTTGTTCAAGTTTATTTATTCTGATCATTTAAAGTATTTCATTTAAACTTTTTAAGTAAAACTATCCAGTGCTTCCGAAAATCTTGATAAACTTTTCATTTCCAAATATTTTCTTGTTTTTTATTTATGTTCTATGTAAATGCCTTCTCCAAAACACTTTATTTGTATGATCATTGACAAATTTCAATTATACTATTACTGTCCTTGAAACCTGGACATATATACTAAGGAATCCTCATTGTTTTATCAGAATCCCAAGAGAAATAAAGTCACCATTAAGTGATCATATCACCAAATTTCACATGATTTTTCTGATATTCTGGAAATAGTAATGGTGATCTTGACCTTCAAACCTTGACACAAGGACTCCTCTTAGTGAAGTCAGTGTGATATCTCTGAATAGGGTAATTTTCTATAAAATAGTAATATTGATAATTACATTAACTACACAGTACTTGTTAGAACAATAAAGCACTGATTTGAAAGACACCCTAAAAAAATGGGGCAAAGCCACAATTGGCCGGGTTGCGGGATGAGTGCAATGTTATATATCATGCTCAAAACAACATTTCAGCCAAAGAGAGGCTATCACGCTCAAAACAACATCTCAACCAATGAGAGGCAAAGGCTGCCATCTTGGATTTTCCACGCCAGACTGTTGAAAATGACTGAGTTCCAAAGCCTGGAAAGTCCAGGAAAAATGTCCGGAATGAATCTTAAGTTAATAGGTGCACATCTTCAACATATATATAAACATCCTACAAAGTGTCAAGCTTCTACGTCAAAACTCTAGGAGGAGTTGATTCTATAAAACTGGTACCCTTTTTCCCAGCCAAACTGTGGTAAATGACTAAGTTCCAAAGCCTGGAAAATCCAGGAAAATGTCTGGAATTAATCCAAAATAGGATGTGCACATCTTCAACATATATATAAACATCCTACAAAGTTTCAAGCTTCTTCGTCAAAAACTCTAGGAGGATTTGATTCTACAAAACTGGTACCCCTTTTCTCCGCCCGCCCGACATTCACCATACTATAACCTGGATTTGCACTATGTGCAACCCGGTCAAAAATTGCAGTGTCGTACTGGATGGACCAAGAGAAAAAAGATGATCAATTAAGGATTAAAACTACAGTAAATATAGGAATTGGGACAGTAAAACTAACCTCACTCAAGATGACTTTCCTAACTATCGTGGTGATAATTTTTCTATCTACAGCAGATTAGAACTACTACAATAGGAAGATGTGACTATAAAACTGACCTCACTCATGATGATGGTTCCATCTATAGCAAGTCTCAGATCTGTCAGTGTCACTCTTACTTCATGGATGACCCTCTGCATTCGGTCAATTTCCTGCTTGAGGAAGATGTTAAGGGGCTGCAGGTGTCCATAGCGTCTCAGTCTGTCACGTACCTGTACATACAAAGCATCATCAAGGACTTGTTTGGATATGTAAGTAATTGTGACCATTTAAACTATTTTCATGTCATAAAAAGGAACAGTGAATGATTTCTAAATACATTCAACTATTCTATAACATACATGATCAGGTACACGCCTAGAAATACTCCAACAACAAAATCTTGACATTTTTGATTGGAATCTGTTGAAAGACTCACAACATATCATTTGTTTGGTGTATATTTATTGAATTCAATGAGTTTAACTTTTTGTTTTGACCAATGATCAGTAAATTCTACTGAGGTGTACAACTTGATGGTGTGATGTTATAGTGCAAATATGAATTAAATCTGTCCCTGGGATCTGGAGATATCAGTATATTGACAGACATTGAAGTGATAACTATATACCCATTAATTATATCAGTACACTGACAGACATTGAAGTGATAACTATATACCCATTAATTATATCAGTACATTGACAGACATTGAAGTGATAACTATATACCCATTTATTATATCAGTACACTGACAGACATTGAAGTGATAACTATTTTCCCATTAAAAGTAAATGAAAAAATCAAATTAGTTTAACTGCCAAATATGTTGATTTATTGAAATCTGAAAATTGCCTACCTCATGTGGTATGTAGTTGCCTGGCAGTTTACTGAGCATGTCAGAGGCCATTTTGTATACAATGCTCTCCCTGGTCTCCCCAGCACCCCCACCACTGTCTTTGGGCTGGATACTCATCATTGTGTCCAAGACCGAGGTACTCAGGTTGGTCTGATACCTAAACATTGAAGGCCAATACTCAGGATGGTCTTATACTTAAAAATTAAGGCTAGTATTCAGGTTGATTTGATACCTAAACAATGAAGTTCAGTACTCAAGTTGATACGATACCTAAACAATGAAGGTCAGTACTCAAGTTGATATGATACCTAACAATGAAGGTCAGTACTCAAGTTGATATGATACCTAAACAATGAAGGTCAGTACTCAAGTTGATATGATACCTTAACAATGAAGGTCAGTACTCAAGTTGATATGATACCTAAACAATGAAGGTCAGTACTCAAGTTGATATGATACCTAAACAGTGAAGGTCAGTACTCAAGTTGATATGATACCTTAACAATGAAAAGTAATCAAGGAAGATGTTTTGAATGAAAAAACTAGACATTTTTATGAGTGTGAATACAACAAAGTCAGAAAATTTTCCTACTCCAGCATAAACAAGAGATATTAGCGGGATCTTAGCAGCCATCATTGTTTGATAGTGATCTGGTTTTAAAAGTCGGCATTTCCTTCATTTTTCTGTTTTTCCACTACATGAAGTTTGAAAATTCTTCCTCAACTAGGGACCAAGGGGAATCTTTAAAAGTTGAGAAAGATCAATCCAGTTCTTCTCAAGAATTTATCATCAGAATTTCATTGCTAAAGTCAAAGATGGTCACCTGTGAACCATTTTGTTTTTCTGATCAGTCCAAAAAATAAAAATGGTACAATGGACCTAACCAAAAAATTTACATCTGAAATTTGGGAAATATCTTTTCAGTAACAACTGAAACAACAATAATAAATCATGATTGTCGAAAAGCAAGGTGGCCCAAAATGAAATATCAACATACAGAGGGACACTGAGAGCAGAAAATAAAACACAGAGAGAAAGAGCAGACAGGAAAAATTGTGATTTATAATGTTGCAATGGAGGCATCAGATCTATATTTGTCCCTTCAATGTTTCCTTGAAAGGACACAGCTTTGAATTACTGGCAAACATATACAGCATGACAATTATAAATTTACTATAATTTGACAATCTTAATGAAAGTTTACTGATGTTGATTTATCGTACGTGATGTCAGCATTGGTGTGCAGACCCAGGGCCTCAGGTGAGTCGACCAATGGTAGGTTTTCTATGAAGCCCATGGTGTCATCAATGCTCTTCACTTTGGGAATCTTGTAGCCTATGTAGAACTGGAAACTGTCGAGAAACATAAAGTCTCCGAACCACACCTACAGGTAAACAAAACAGGATCTCAAATGATATCATATTGTGTAAAAGTCAGGTATGTAGCATCAATACTTAAGCTTAAAATCTGGAATGAGAATGTCTCAGCCCAGTGTTCATTCATCTACTACTTGAATAACTTACCCTTCCAAATGTGTTTAAGAGGCGCTTATCATAATCATCAGTAACTCGACCACCGTACTGGACCTCTCCCAACATGTACCTCACTGTAGTCCATGATATACCCTGTACAACACAGAAAATATTGACACAGTAGTCAATGATATAAACTGGACCTCTCTCAGTATGTACTTGATGGTGGCCAATATACTCTGAACAATACAGAGTATGTTGACACCAAAAATGTTAATTATGATGTCATGTTGATACTGTCCACAACAAAGAAAAGTTCCACACAATTTTAAAACTCCTAAATCTCCACAAAGTCATGCCCTTATGTTTTTTGTGTAGTGTTGTCTACTTTATATGTAATGCAGACTCATCAATCAGAGTTGACAACAAAGATATATCTATAAATGATAAAAGCTAGCCTGGCTGTGTATTAGGATACTGTTATCATCTTGTAAAATACAATAATAAATATCCCTTTGTGTTGAACAATGGCTTTGTTGGTCCTGATTGCAGTTTTGAGATTTGTTCCATCAGAACTGTTTTAAAAGGAAGCTAGAAATATTTAATAACTATTTTTTCTACTGAACCTTGTCCATTTAGTGAGAGATGAGGCACTGCTTTACTTTCACAGTGAGCTTTGCCCTTACAAGATTGGGTAAACCCTGATGGACTCTTAAGATCCATCACAAATCTTTTCCAATCCTTCCAGCCATTCTGGACTCTGGACTGATGTACTTTCAAGACAAAATCTATGGATTATAATTGACAAACCAAAGACAAATGCTGTAACATCAAAGGCTTAAGTTCACTAATTAAGAGACAGCATGTAATCATGTGATGTCATATTTTCAGTTCCAATGCACAGCTTGAATTTTTTTTTCCTCTTTTTTTACCTTTCTTGGGTCAATATCATCAAGGTGATTCTGAACAAACTGGACACTGGCAGTCCAATCAGAAGAGTTGAACTCATAAGGAATATTCCAACCAAGTGGTCCAAACTTTCTCCTTTCCTACAAAGCAGACCATCAAAATATTTTTTACTTGTATGTTTATACTGATGATTTAGCACAAGGCAGATCTTAATTTATGCTTTGATGTCTACAAAATTAGTTTAGGAACCTTCAGTAATTAGCAATTTTCTCTAAAACACTGAAGTTAAGGAACCCACTAAATTTAGTAATATTCTCTGAAACACCTAAAAATCACAGTTCAAAACCTTGTAAATTCAGTTTTACTGCTATTTTTGAAAATGCGTAGAAGTTTAACATTCACAAACCTTCTATATTTAATAATCTTTGATCTCTAAAACATTGTATTTCAGGAACTTACTAAATTCAGCTACTGTTACATTCTCTAAAATGATGAAAAAGCACATTTTAGGAATCTACTGAATTCAGTAATATTCTCTAACTGCCTACAAAATGTCAGTTGAAGCACCTCCTTTTCAGTACATCCTGTACAAATATGTTTCCTCAACCAGTAATAAGATATGATGCTGTACAGTGCTGCCTACCTGTACCACAGTATGAAGAAATGAGACCCCAAACAACATTGGCTTCCACTGCATCATGGTATTGATGTCCAGGTAGTCCTGTGTGATGCCAGCGTAAGTCCTTTTCAGGCCTGCCTTAATGCCCTGTGGCGGCTCGTTAGTGAATTTGATGGAAGACTAGAAAGAAAAAAAAAAAAGAAGCTCAAAGGCCTAAACAGTCATCTGACTATAAAGACCTATATATGAAAGACGCCTAAAATAAATTGCTCAACTAATCTACAGCTTATAAAGAAGACATTGTCGTTTTATAAAAATACGACTTCGAACCTATTGCTTGTTAAAAGAAGAAATTTTAATATTTCAACATACTTCACCCTTGGGATCTTGAAAGCAGGTCAAGGTCATTTTTATCATATTTGATGCATGTGACCTTTAAAGGAGTAGGTCAAGGTCATTTATATGAACTTGGTAGCCCTTCATTCTAACATGCTACAGGTCCAATATCAGCACTCTGGGCATTTTGGTTGTTGAGAAGAAGTTGTTTTAAGACTTTAACATATTTGGCACCTGTGACCTTGACAGTGGGTCAAGGTCATTTATATTAACAAATTTGTAGCCCTATATTCAAGCATGCAACAAGCCTAATATCAGCACCCTGAACCTTTTGGTTATTGGGAAGTTGTTTTATGATTTTAACATATCAAGCCCCTGTGACCTTTAAGGCAGGTCAAGGTCAATTATATTAACAAACTTTGTAGCCCTACATCCAAACATGCAACAGGCCTAATACAAACAGTGGATGAAACATGGCTATAGGTCATCCTGATGACCTAAAAACTGGTTATCCTAAAAGTACACTCATGGACTCATTGCAGTAGTAACCAATCATCAGTAATGATCAGATTTAATCACAAAATGTATTTCATGCCTGTTACATCCTCAAGGTAGAGTTCCACTTATATTTTAGTTGTACTTTAACAGTAAGTTAACACTATTACAATCAATGTGTCACTGAGGGGTACCTGTAGTAAACTGATGGGGAAGGCAGGATGAACCTCAGTTGTTATCCAAACTCTAAACTCCTCATGGACCTGCTGGGTCTCTACAATGGTCTCCAGTAACTCATCCATGAAATCTAGTCCAAGATGGCAGTTCTGCAGCATGGCGAAACCACCCTGTCAAAAGATTATAAAACTATAGATTTGTTCCAAGTTCATCAATTCTATTAACTTAAAATCTAACAAACTTAGACGCGGTAATAAATTGTGTACGCTTTCACACTCTTCAGTTACAGGTACTGAATGTGATTTTTAATGACTAAATCATGTAGAGGAATGAGAGGTGGTTTCACATATTTTATATACACTCCCTCAGGTCTTCATGTTTTTATCATAATCTGGACATTCATTGTTACTACACTTTGTTTACCATCAAAATGAATTATAATACTGCTAAAATATATATTGTGTTAAATAAACCGATAAATGATGTCATTTAATGATGATATTTCAATCATAATTTAGTATAATGGGTAATATTCGAGTAGTATAGAATACTTGAAATCATTAATTTTTGTGGAGGATTTATTTTGGTTGGTTTTGTGTGTACTATTAATCTGACATATATGTCCACGATCTGTTAAAATTTGTGTAACTGGATTTATTGAGCTATATTTAGCCACAAAAAATCAAGTGTCAATGAAATAATTATATAAAAACCACAAAAGCCCCATGAAACTATGTGATTTTAAATTAATACAGAAAGTTTTGCCTCACAATTAGTGAAATTCTATGTAACACACAACATTTATCACTCACAGAATGCATGAAAAGGCTGATGAGTTTCCTTGCATGGACTTCCTGTCCTTGACCCATGGAAATAGCTCGGAACTCTGAAACATACATTAACCTCATCTTTTATTTTTTTTTAAACATTGTGTTCTATTTTCAAAGAAAATTTTAGAAACACAGGAGGTGAACCAGCAGCAACAATTACGGAATGCAAAATCAACTTGGAACATTGAACCGGGCTAGCCCAGCACTTGTAACATGTCAACAGTCCTTTGTTTATAACCTGCTCTCCCACTGCTACTGTCTAGTGTCAACATAGATAGTTTGGGCTATTTTTTGAGCAAAGATCCCTTACTTTTGACACTCAAAATCTTGCCTGTTGGAACGATCTACAATATAACTAAATAGAGAATTCAATTGTAACATACATGAAACGCAATATGCAGATTTATTAACGATGTAGAATGGCTTCCCCTGAACAGTGAGCTTGACTTCAGGCCTCATCTCATTGCTATCATTTGAAACTTCATGGATAACTAACATACCTAGATTAAGTTTCTTACACAACCCCTCTATCTGATTGGTCGGGTCAGAACCCATAGACAGTAGACATATGAGAGGTGTTCTGTTGTCACTCTCTGCCCAAGTTGCTTCCATGTTCAGGATGACGGACTCTGCATATTGCAGACCCATAGCATCCCCAATAAACTTTCTGGCCTGAGGAATGGTTCTGTCAGGACACCAAGACCTAAAACAAACCCAATTAACTGAATCATTTCAATCTCACTTCTCATCAGAAACAATTGATCTTTAGAAAAGATATCATTCCAATACAGATCCAAGGGATCTTTAGAAAAGATATCATTCCAATACAGATCCAAGGGATCTTGGTGCTTGCTATTGTCTGATCATCATTTGTACTGTAAACCAATATCTAAATCTGAGAAAAATACAACTTTTACTTTACAAGAAAATCACAAATTTACAAAGTCAAAATCCAAGATGGTCACCAGTAACACATTTTGTTTCTTTGATCCTTTGAAAAAGGGCACAAGAGACCAGAGGGAACTTTGGTATGAAATCTAAAAATGATTCATCTCTTACTTTTTAAAGAATAGCAATAACAAGAATTATTTAAGGACAGAGGAGGATGATCAAGGACAAATGGTGACTTGGACAGTCCACCATATAATAATGGTGAGCTTAAAAAAAGTCAACATTTTTCTACTTCTTAAAGGATTTTTCTCTCTGCAGCAGTTGAAGAGTTTCTGGGGTGTAAGATGTACCTGATGAGCAGCAGTTTGCGGAACGAGTCAAGCGAGGCACTGTAACCATCTGGGATCTGCTCCTCCTCAGGAGCCTCTGTATCAAACCATGCCTTCCAAGCTTTCTCATTACGTGATACCTAAACAAAGATGTTACATCTATATACCTGAAGTACTGTCATACGGAGCAATATCAAAAGTATTAGGATTTAGAGATGTTTTTGTACTTAGATAATTAGGATTTATTAGGATTTATTAGGATATTTAATGGACGCAGGCACACAGTGCCTCTATATCCATATCAATCATAATCATACAATTAAATTATATAGTCACTTCCGATTAGTGAATTGCAACGAGCCAGATGGTTAAATTTCAGTTCGAGATTTTTCCAATGATTGTCCAAATTAATTTCAAAGTCTCTGATTGTTGATGATTGGATTACTTTTTCTGGTAGACTGTTCCATAGGTCTATAGTTCTTAGTCCAAATGAGTATTTCCGAATGTCCAGATTACATGATTTCTTTTTCAGTTTCTTTGAGTGGCCTCTTGTTTTAGAATTTTCGTCTCGATCAAACATGCCTTTGGTGACTTTTTCATCGTGAAATTTATCCATAATTTTGAAAACGTTTATCATATCTCCCCTCAATCTACGGTATGCCAATGTCGGGAGTCCGAGTTTATTGAGACGGTCGCTGTAGGATAGTTCTTTCAGCCCCGGTATAAGCTTAGTTGCCTGTCTCTGCACGCGCTCTATTGATTCAATATCCTTTATTTTGTATGGGTTCCAGACGCTTGCGGCATATTCTAAGTGTGGGCGGACTAATGCTTTGAACAGTTGTTTAAAAGACACTTCATCAAAGTATACAAAGGACCTTCTAATAAGACCAACAATACTGTTGGCTTTGTTTACAGCTTGTTGCATATGCATAGAGAAATTTAAGATCTTTATCCACCGTTATGCCAATATCTTTTTCTGAAGTTATGTTTTCCAACACCACGTTGTCCTCTGCTCCTGCCATATGGTATGTCCATGTTTCTTTCCTTTTTTGCTTTATTGTTAATACTTTGCATTTTAGTGGATGGAATTTTAGAAGCCATTTGTTAGACCATTCTTGCAGTTTATCCAAGTCTTGTTGCATTGCCTTCCTGTCCTCATCACTTTTTATTTCTCTATAAATCTTAGTGTCATCAGCAAATAGGGAGGTGTTCGAATAAGTATAATCTGGCAGATCATTTATATAGATTACAAATAGAATTGGGCCAAGTACGCTGCCCTGGGGGATCCCACTTAATACCGGGTGGTCTTTGGATGCTTTTCCATTAACTAGTACTCTCTGCTTCCTTTCGTGTAGAAAGTTTTCTACCCAGTTGAAGACTTGGTCTGCTATTCCGTAGCTTCTTAATTTTTCAATTAACCTGCGATGTGGTACCTTGTCAGAGGCCTTCATAAAGTCCATATATATAACATCAATTTCCCCACCGTGATCTAGTATATCCGTCAATCCTCAAGCACCATAAGGAGCTGGAGAACTGTGGACCGTTTCGCGATAAATCCAAATTGCTTGTTGCTAAAAAGATCATTGTTTTCCATATGATTAACGATGGAATTTCGCACAATTTTTTCCATGGTTTTTCCAACTATGCTGGTGAGGCTTACGGGACGATAATTCCCTGGGTCCGATTTTGATCCTTTCTTGAATATTGCTGTGATGTTGGCCTCTTTCCATGCAGATGGAACTATCCTCCAATGATTTGTTGAAAATAATACTTAGCGGTTTGTTTATGATCAATTTTAGTTCCTTCATAACCTTTGGGTGCATTTGGTCAGGTCCTTGAGACTTACTGGCCATCCAAGTCTGAGAGGAGTTTTCCGACACTTTCTTCAGAGCATATGATATCTCGAAATGGGTATTTTATTATTTTATTATGCATTTTTGGTGTGTCGCCTGGTGGTTCCTCTGTGAATGCACTACTGAAAAATGTAGCCAAAACATCTGCTTTATCCTTGTCTTGTGTGGCAATTTTTGATATGTTATCATCTAGTCCCTTCAAGTCCGAAATTCCTGTTTTTACTTTTCGATAAAAACAAAGTACTTTGGGGTGGAGTGTGATATATGCTCAAACCATGCTTAAGGGAAAAAAAACACATTGCATCCTGATAAATACAAACATAGAAATGAAACAATAAATAGGTAAGGAAAACGCCAATGTGAAAGTACAAATTTTTGCCATTGTATTTAAATTTGAGCAAAATCAACAGATAAAATGATAGATACAATTACTCTTTCCAAAACTTAAGTCAAAATTCCCAACAGGGCAACAGTCTTATATGTATTGATAATAAAGTATACGAAATTCAGAGTATATGAAGTCTACAAAGATTTAGGAAATTATTCAAAAATTGAGAGGGGAGTTCTCTGGACAAGATAGAGATAATGAAACAAATAAGGGACAATAATTCTTCCAAATGTAGTCAAATCAGTCTGGAAACACAACCCCATGTTATTGAGATGGGCAGAGATTGGTTGAAAACTGTGGGAAAATTCTGTTCAAATTAACACTAGTGCACCTCCAAACCTAGATGTTTGTTTAGTTTTTTTTCCCCACTGATTTGGATTTTCCTCAGTTGCCTCCGAGGTTTAAAAATTTCAGTTCTTTGCCTCAATGACGAGTCCTAGGAGGAAATAGCTATACAATGCAATTTATTTAGCTCTACTTCAACTTCAAATTTTTACTGAAAGGTGCTATTCTCTTGCCTTTAGGAGGATGGATGGATGGACAATACCATAGACTTGCAATGACTTCATTTCATTGAAATAAAACAAGAATATGAATATAGATCTGTACCTGGTTTAGAATTTCACTGAACTGAGGAAGACCACTGAGCTGTACAAGATTGAGCCATGTCATGTCCATGATCCATCGTGCTGGTTTTGGTGTCACAGCATTAAGGTCCAATGCAGCACCACCTGTCAATATGCACATAACTCTATGTTATGGAAACTTTTGACAAGAAAGAACTCGAAACATCTTCTATACTTAACCTGTAGTATTTCTCATGCTTACTTTGGCAGATATTCATTCCAATACTGAATATTGTAGTGTTTTTGTTATGTTTAAACAGAATATTCTTATCTCACAAGTAAACCTACAGCAGACATTTTTGACAATTTTAAAGATGAATCAATGAAACATCTAAATAACCTTAAAGCTTTTGATTTCCATAGTTATCAAGTGTGACCTAACCTTGACTGTTTACCACCAAATCAGGTTTAGAGCTAGATGTTATATCACAACCTGAACCAAAGAGGGGTTTATAAGATGCAATGCACAGTGATAAATGTCTGGGTAAATTACCTTTGATAAATGTCCTGGTAAATTACCTTTGATAAATGTCTGGGTAAATTACCTTAGATAAACATCTGGGTAAATTACCTTTGATAAATGTCTGGAACTCCTCATTTCTAATCTGTCCCTTTTGGATGTTGATTTTGAAGGTAACAAGCATTGTAAAGAGAAACTTGTGTTCCTCATACAAACTACGACAGGTGTAGCGGAATACTTCATATGTCAGGAACTCTATAATATTGTTGATCCTTTTGGCTGGTACAGGGCTTTTCTCAGACCTGTCGTACAGCAAAGACAAAAGCGTGTGATTAAGAAGCCATGTAATTTCAGATCAAGATAAAATGAAAAGAGTTCTTCATTCAACAACAACAGAATTGGACTCAAAGTTTAAAGCAAAACACAGGGATGAAGTATCCCGTTATTGCATGGTTTCTGACAAGTAAACTAGTAAAGCATGGCCCCAAGTGATACTTGATAAGATACACATTTGATGATCAGAAATAATGTCCAATATCTACGCATGATATTCATGATGCCAAGTCTAAGTCAAAAACAGGTCACAAAGACCTACAGATAAGACATGAGTTTGCACTGCTTAAGATTGATGCAGTCCACTATCATGTGGGGACATAAAACTTTGACACTTTAAATTAATAAATATAAACTATCATACAATTAAGAAAAGATAGGACACCTGATAAACATCTGCAGATAAAACTCTGGTCTTACTTTTGCATGGAGATATCAAACAGACCAAGAAACTGCTTGAGAGAAGTCTGGTACATCTTGTTCACCATACTCATATCACAGACCAGGAAATACAGGATACTACCTCTTGTGGCCACTGTCAAATGTCAATACATGTCCATCACCAAACTTATCAAAATCATCACAATTTGTGAAGTACCATGGTCAGTATTCTCAAATTAAAATCAAATATATGATAATTCAGTTTTAGAATTTATAATTTCTGACCTGTACATTGTGTATCAGATCAGTTATTTTTTTGACTCAGGCCTGTACACTGTAGGTTTTATGATGAAATTAATTTTTAAGTCCTTTTAAGAATTTACCAGGCCTGTACTCCTCTCTGGCCTCGTTGATCTTTATCTCAGTTTCTGCTGCCACAGATAATTTCTCACTGACCTCAGCAGCAGTAACCTTCGTGTTGGACAGTACCTGTATGAGGGACTCATCATCCACTAGAGAGCCCTGTCAAATATTGATGCAAGTCCACATATTTAAACTTTTGTATACAAAATACATTTAACTAGTTTGAACTTTGATTTTCAATATAGAAATTTAATTGAAATTAGCATTATTGGAACAAGAGATCCAATTGACCAGTGTTACTCATCTAAAAAGTAAGTGATCATATAAACAAACTGATCACCCCTTATTCCAGCCTATTATGTTTTGATAATGTGACCATCGTGACATTAAAAGTAGGTCAAGGTCATTCACTAAAGTATGCTACAGGCACAAAATAATGACCCTGAGTATTTTTGTTATTGAGAAATTGTTTCAATTTATACAAAAAATGTTATTTGACCTGGTAACTTTAAAATTTGGTCAAAGTCATTCATTCCAACATGCTGCTGGCCAAATATCTTGATTAGGACCTCTTGGTTATTATAAAGTTGCCAGCTGCTCGGCCGAGCTAGACTTAATTTGCCTACTATCAGACACACAAGATTGTGGTGATAACCTACAGACCTTTGTGCTGGTGAGTTTGTACAGGAGATTATCCTCCAATTCCTGCATTTTCCTCTTGTTCACAGTAACGTCCAGCATGAGCTTGGCACGGTCAGCCTCTAGTTCCTGTACATACAACATACCACTGTTAAAGTTACCATCTGCTGTGACATGCATCAAATGAATTTAAAGAAAGACAGACAATACTGTAAATGGAGGAAGCAAGAGTGATGACGATGAATGTCATTTTCAAATCCTTTATTTGGTAACATAGCCCTTTAATTGGTCACAGAGCTCATCTAAGATAGCCCATCATTGTTTAGTTTCATAGCAGTTTGTGTAAGCAAGAAAGACTGCCAGAGTGATAACATAAAAATGTGATGGAAAATCACATGATAAACAGACATAGCAAAATATCTATACCAGTTACATATATAATATTGGCAGATTCTGACTTCACTACCGCCAGGGATTACCTACATTTTTCTCCGTCATGATGACACGACCAAGTAGCTGATCCTCCAAACCTTTCATGGTCACGGTGAAGTCTATAATGGCTGTCCTGGCACTCACCTAACAACAGATAAACAATCAGTAACATAGGTTCCCTTATATCAGCACCACTTGTCAAGGAAATCAGACTTCATCCAGAAATTATCTCACATTTTACCTAATCCAGCATATGTCTCAATGTATTTAGGGTATTTTCTATTTTACATAAACATCAACAAATGCTAGTGTAAACACTATAAATACATAATTTACAGACAGAAAAATCTTTAGTTATTTAATGCTATTCTCTAGACTTTAAGTCTTCCACTTGTTCTCTATAGTATCACACTAAATTATTGTTCTCTATTGTAATTGTTTTTTATTGAACATTTAAAATAGGGATATATAAACTTTTGTAAGGAATTCACTCTAAACTATTCAGGGACTATCTATTCATAACACTTACTTCTGGAGTGTAGGAGGGGTTTGGCAGTTTGGTTGTGATGTACAGGTAGAAATCATTCATCACATCACATTCTTTATCACCTACTTTGACCTAAAAATCATCATAAAATATAAAAGAAAAAACATACAGCCAATGACGATAAATTGGTGAATCGTGAAACACATCATACACCAATATATGTACCCATCCAATAAAATATTACATTACCTGTATCAATTCTCTTGTTTTTGTTGATAATGATTAAAACAAATTATATCCAGCATTTTCAAACAACTGGCATCTTTATTAAATGCAGGCAGTATCAAAAACTAGTGTGAGGCCTATCAATTTCCAGGAATATAATTACTATGGAGAATGAATGAAGCTATATGATTGGTAGATTCCGGTGCCAATAAGCCAATCATATAGCATTTCATAAAAGGTCTTTTGAAACAAACCAAACCTCATGGTCAACAAGCCTAAATGGGTTTGTCAAAATGATTGTGATCTATATCAGATTGTTGTTCATGTATCGCGATGTGTATCACATCATGCAGTCACTATAATTCCTAGCTTCAGCTAATAATATTTCATGAATGCTATAAACCTCACCAAATAGCTACTATGATTCTGATAGGAATCAGTTGCAATTTCATGATTGATCCTCAGATTATCTGAACTGATCAATGATCAACTGATCGAGTATGGGAAGGACATAAATTTCCATTTTTGCAATAAGATATTAATAACACCATACATAGATGAAGAAAAATTTAAAAGTTAAGAGTGTTTTGTACTTTGCACTTTCTTGCCCTATTATGAAGAATGGACTCCACCATTTTGATTCAATTTGTGCCATATGCTGTTAATTTTGATCAATCGGCAAGATGTTTGATCACTTTGTAATGTTTGTTGACAGGTTTGAGATTTTTTTTTCTGCTAAAGATAGGGAAACATGAATGTCACTTTTCATTTCAGCAACAATCGATCATGAAATATTGCAGTGCGTTAACTAGTCACTTGGCATAACAAGACAATACTGGACAGAGTTGATTAATGGGACAATCACTAACTATCACAACTAATCATACACAATATAAAAGTAAGTCCAATGTTTCAGTATTTAATAATACTTTGGTTACTTTATGTCAACAACATCCTGCAGGTGAAGTTTGAAAGATTGCTGCACAAGTTTAGGAGTTGTGTGGACAAACATCTATAGAAAAACCTGATCTGTTATTGTGGTATGGTTACTATGGCATCTACATTTTGTGAAAAAAATAACCAAAATGCAAATATACATGGTGACTAGCATTCCTCTAACATTTCTGTGTAGTGTCATTGAAATTGCTCCACAAGACAGGAGTTGTCTGGACACAAATTTGTTAAAAAAAAAGTCGTTTATAGTAATTGGTTACCATAGTTTGGTTACCATGGCAACCAAATTTTTGGAGAAAAGAAAAAGTATGTACACCTATACATGGTGACAAACATTCCTTTGTAGTTTCATTGAAATTGCTCCACAAGTCTAGATTGAAATGTCTCGACAAAATTTTTCTATAGATGGATTGACAGAGAGACAGGCTGATTCCAGTATACTCACCTCTACTTAACTTCATTGTAGGAGTGGGGTAGGCGTATAATAAGTTACACAGGATAAGAAATGATGTCTATAATAATGTGACAATACGGTAGCACAGAGTGACATTGAAAACGTCAAAACTCAATTACAAAGATTGATAAAAGGATGTGGCACTGCACTGGTCCACAAGAGTGAAATATATTGTCTTGCATTTCAGCTGACCTTGAATGTTGATCCAGATTTAATGAAGTTTTTCTCAAGGACATTGTCAAGAGCTGGATCAAGCTCCTCCTCAGCATCCTCCAACAGAAGGGGACGTCCTAGGGACAAAGCATCCTCAAGGTGGGTACGGAAGTACTTGTGGTTCAGAGAAGTCACCTACAAATTATTTGTTACCATGTTAATGACAGGAACCTGTGACAATATCAATATGAAAACCTGGTCAATAACGTGCAACTTTATAACAATAAAAGTCTTAGTGATCATGAAAGTAAATTACTAAACAGATGTAGAAAAAATTTTACATTTCAATTAATCATAATAGTGTAGCATTCAGTTCCTAGTTACAAACATTGCCTGATATTTCATGCAAAAATAATCTCATCTAGTGAGATCAAGCATTATCATGTGTAAATTAACCAGCATTGTAGCCCCTGGAAAACTGTAACTTGACTCAGACCATGAGATTAAGGCTTGAAGTCCAAGGAAGTTCTTCAAAAACAACATCCATGTACAAAACATTTGTGGTGATATGTCAGGGATGGAAACAAAACATTTGTGGTGATATGTCAGGGATGGAAACAAAACATTTGTAGTGATATGTCAGGGATGGAAACAAAACATTTGTGGTGATATGTCAGGGATGGAAACAAATAATTTATTACTTGGTACTTAAGGTCAAAAACAATGGACAGAGCTTGTAGAAATGGTTGGAAATAAGAGGGAAAAAAGAGAGGATAATGAAGAACACACCTGTAGGTCACGTTCTTTCTCCCGGTTCTTGATCCATGTCTTGCCTTGGCCCTGTGGGTCAATCAGTAAAGGGTAACGGGACGCCTTGGTAGTTACTATTCCATTCTGTACAGACAGCTCGTCATTAGGCAGTCCCTGGATATTCCACTCACCTATCTATTGACAACAGTAGTTTTGACATCAGTTCAAAAGATCTAATTTTTTTCTCACAAGTGAAAACTAACCAATCTACATTTTCAAGCAAAAATATGACCCACCAGTAGTAAACTATTCATCAGACCTATCTAATCACTCTTCCAAAATTAATACAAATGTAATGCACCAGCCAAATAGAGTCCCAAGATTAATTTCTGAAGACATCATGGCTACCATATGTAAATATTCAGCCACTGATTCTGCCAACTTGTCACAATTCCCTGAATTCATTGGATATTCTATGAATACATTCATAGTAACTTCTCTGTTAATTACGAAAGACAATAAATGAAAGTGGTACTCACTGTGGCATTGTCAACAAGCATTGTGATGAGGTTAAGGTCACTGGTGAAGGGGATGTGTCTGCTGGACAGTTCCCTCTGCCAATTGTTGAGTAGCTTGGTGCGAAACTCCTGGTTAAATGGTCCCGAGTAGGACAGGAAACCTGTACACATCAGAACATCACCAACCAATCTGTAAAGTAAACATTTGTTCTGTTATTTGTATGGAAAAGAAAAACGTACCACACTTTTGAGTATTAAAGATTAAATTATTGAATATTTGAACATGACATCTCTGCACTCCTGCAAACTAATTGTCTAATGTTTCCTCTTAAATGCCTGCGCATGTATACTGGCATACATTTCAGACTATTGTAATAAAACATTAACAAATATGAAATTCTACACTCATTTAACAATGTTTTTAACACCATATCTTGCAGCCAACTTAACCATCTGAACAACAAAATCTTAGTAAAGATTAATGTGTTTACACTGATGTTGTACCTCTCTATCTGTGATTTAAACAGCTTGCTCTGATGTGTCCACCGAACTTTCTCTCCAGCTAAGCCTCCAATAAGGGTAGATGCAGCAGTCATCCTCCTCCTACAGGATTCAGCATCATCCAGCAAGTCCTGTATACAGGTAACACCTCATACTGAAATCTGGCATCTCAAACTAAAGGTAACACCACATACTGAAATCTGGCATCTCAAACTACAGGTAACACCACATACTGAAATCTGGCATCTCAAACTACAGGTAACACCACATACTGAAATCTGGCATCTCAAACTACAGGTAACACCACATACTCAAATCTGGCATCTCAAACTACAGGTAACACCACATACTCAAATCTGGCATCTCAAACTACAGGGAACACTACATACTGATATCTGGCATCTCAAACTACAGGAAACACCTCAGACTAAAGCCTTTTTCAAAATTCAGGTATGCCACATACTATTAAATTGTATGACCTTGACTTTGGCAACTTGGTTGAGGTATTCTCCTTCTTAACCAATGACAATAGGCAAGTAAGTTATACAGTGTATCTATATACCCTGGAGAGTAAAATGCATTTGTAAAATGATCTTAAATTGACATTTGTCAAAGGTAATGCAGTGAAACTTACTGTCTGATCAGAAATGAAGTACTTCGTAATAAATTATGCATAAATGTTAAGGGACAGTGTTGGTAGCCAAACTCAGGCTGAAGGATACCAAGATACACTTGAAAACCATTCACATTTAGCAAAGTCTTCTTGAATGGAAAATAAAACGGGACAGATAAGACAAATGAACAGATACCCTAAAATCAATGAAAAGTGAGAGATAATAAATTAACATACACACAAATGAACCAATTAAACGATCTTGTCGTGATAGGGATATAGTAATTGCCGTACCTGTTTTTCTTGCATAGCTGCATCATACATAGCCTGAACAGCATCCAGTTCTTTCTGTTTATCGTCCAGCTGTCCTTGAGCTTCACTCAGCTCTTTTGTTGCCACCTGGAGGCGAGCCTCTTGCTTGGCTAAGTTTGCCTGACAAATATAAATTAAAGCAAAACCATGAATTCTGCTTTCTTGAATGTAACTACACAAATCATGTCCAATCACAGCTATCCAGAAATTGCTTTTGAACTCCTGACTTTTAGTACGTGAATAGACTTACAATTGTACAGTACATAGAAATAGCCTTTGTTAAAACAAATCTACTAAAACTGTGATGTATGAGCCGGCACCAGACTTAAAACCAGATATTGATATGTGAAAGAATGAAAAGAAAAGCTTATCAAGGTATCAGTCTGTGAACAAAATAGCAATAAATTAAAGATGAGCAGGAGTACTACATCAGTACAATCTGTGTTAACTCAGCAGAACATGTGCCTACTAGTTTCACTCAATTCATAGCAAGCTGTATCAATTCATCAAGATGAGATTCCTTCAGTCTAGCCACAGTGAATATAGTCACTGCTTCAAACTGCTGGCGTACCCATACATCATGCCATATATGTAGCAGTTTGTGTTGAAGCTTACCTTTAATGGCAGAACTTCACGGTTGATACCAAAGAAGAAGGACATGGCAGTGGTCCAGGACAGCAGACCAGCCACACTGCCACACACCTTCTTAGCAGTCTCAAAGGTGTAGTCCTCCATGTTGAGGTATGGTGCCAGTAGCTCCACAGTCTCACCATTAATGGTGTCCTTGGGAAAAGTCTGCAGTGTTGTCAGGAAGGATGAACTGCTCAGTAGCTAAAGGGCAAAATAATACAAAGTCTCTGGAGTTAATTGCCTCGGCAAACATAATCAACATGAAATTTTATCAAAGGGCAATAACTCTGTAAATAAAAGGTTGTGGGTCTTGAATCTAGTACACTGCATATTGTTTGAGTGTGAATAATATATATGATCCTTATTTTACTTTGGGAAAAGTTGTGCTCCGTACACAAAAAGGGCAGAAAGATGGATGGACAGCAAGATGAATAGATGAAAAGGGGGATGGACAATGTGGCAAACATATGTTCCCACATAAAATTTCGGGGAGCATTAAAATAGCATAACTGGTATTTCATGTTGGATTCTCTCATAATGATACTTTTATAGTTTTATTTGACTCATACAGAGAATATTCAATACCTGGAAAAGGTACATAGAAAACATATTGGGATATAATAAGTAGGCTCCAATGTACAGGAGTTTCCAACAGCAACATCTGTTTTTAGTTCTGATTTTATAGTCACCTTCAAAGATTCACTCCATGATGGTTTTGGACAAATCCTCTCTGGGTCTTGTGTAACACTATCTACTCTCTTCTGGAACAGAATCAGCACACAATCCATAATCCTCATGATGAGATGAGGTGGTTTTCCTAGCTTCTTCACAGTGGCAATGTCAGAAGGTTTAATAGTCTGGAGAAAAAGAAGCAAACACACTAATGTCAACATGAAATACTGAAGTGAAAGAAATAAAAGATATTTTGTCAAAATGTCATTGAGGAAACACCAGTTTAAAATCACTGTTCATAGAGCCTACTAGAAAGTTTAAAGAAATTAGCTAAAAACCGAAAGCAGCAATCTGTGGACAAGACTCCAATGTTGTGAAAAAAATGGTTAGGGAAAGGGGCAATAACACTTCAAAATCATTGACCAAACCAAAATGCAGTTCATTAAAACACAATTTCATGTCATGGTCATTAAGTCTGCAAATTTTGAAAGCCATCTGTTGCCTTGTCTAATGATATAATCTACCTTGAGTGCATTCTCTGCTTCCTCTAAAGCAGGCTTTGCAGCCTCAAGTTTTGCCTCAGCCACTGTTTTTTCTGAGTTGATTTCATCTACAATCTTCTGGGCACGATCCTTCACTGTCTGTACAGCACTTTTCACTTTCTCAGCTGCCTGAGCACTAACTGTGACCTCTGCCAATACCTGAAATTGCAAATCAGTGGCTGTAAAACACAGCAGCATTCAAAATCTTCATTGTTCACTTGTATATTTCAGAGATGTATGCTTCTACAAAATGTACAAAATTTTTCCTGAAATATGTACATTTTGTCCTCAAAGAAACCATTGATTCAACATTTCACAGCCAAATTAATTCTTTGGGCTTTCTTGGAATAAGTTGAAAAGACAGATCTTTGTTTGAAGTTAAAGAAAACAAGTGAGTGGCTAAAAGATATGAATTCCCCCACTCCTGTAACCTGATCAGGTGTAGAAACTATAGAGTATATCTGAACTGATCTGCCGAGATTTTTCAAGATATGACAGATTTGGAAAAGGACTTAAAAATAGCTAATAGAACATATGCCCCTCCCCTTTTAAAATGACCGGGACAAATAGAATCTTCCCCTACCCTACATTCTTCCGCGAGAGCAAAATGACAGACTACAAACGCAATATGAATAACCATTAGAAATATTAATTTTGTGGAAATTAAATGTTTTAATTAGAGATAGATACATGGAAATACTTGTATTGAACAACATTTAACTCTGTATCATTTATTAAGGTAGGGTAGGCTTGCTGCGATGTCACGGACAAAAAAGGGATTTCCCAGTTTATAATGACGTCAATTGTTTATGCGCGCGAAAAATTGCAATGGTGAGAGTGTCACGTGTGTGTTCATTTAGAATCAGAGCCATAGATGATCCTTCGACGTTTATTTGTGTTCACTGGACAAGGATTGATATAGTTAATGTTAACTGTGATGTTACAGTCGCGCATTACGGAACCTGCAAACAAAGCATCCACTCGTCGGTTTGAGTAAGTTGTGATAGCCGACTGAGGTCACCGAGTGCAGTCATGTGGGATAGATTTATCCTCCATGGGTGTTCCACATGGGACATGCCTATCCTACATGGGCAGAGGTGGGAGAAATAAAAAGGCACAAGACCTCTAACCCTTAGTATTGGTTGGTAGAGCTGTGAATTATCACAATGGAGGCCAAGGTTGAACTGAAATGTGTTTTACTCCTGAAAGCCAAAACCATTCAAATCTGAACAGGGTTTTCCATAATTTTGTTAGTAGTAGGCTGTGTAGTGAAAGTAGGAGGCCGGCCTGCCGTGTACGTGTAGTCGTGTACGGAACATTATTACGGAACTGGATTAGTGTAGGCGGCTCTTATTAAAAACCCTGTTGAAATTTCGGAACTGATAGAATTAACACTTAATCCAGAGCTGTGATATTAAAGACTTACTTGACTTGTAATATCTTGCACTATACTACAAGTTCCCTCTCTTTCCTTACTTGAATATCAGTTAATTGTAGTAGTGGTATACCTTGTCTGCCCGTATATTAGCCTGAGCCAACTCTTTCTCTTTGATAGCCAGCTCCTTGGACAGAACATCCACAGATGCACTTGCTTCAATCAGTTTCTCCAGGCCAGTGTTCATTCTTCTTGCCATCTCTGCAATGTCAGCATGCTGACTACTGTACACATTCTTGTAGCCATCCAGGAAAGACAGGTAGGATTTGGGAGTCACATGTGTCTGACGTCGATACCTTACAATCAAAACAAAGTCATGGTGTGTGGTAGATAAACAATAGGCAGAATTAGCCTTGCACATTCTATTTTGCATACTTTGTTGGTCCCACAATCTCTGGACAAATGTTCTGTTCTATTGCACACTTGCCATGTAGAAATATTAATTAGTATTCAGTCTCATCCTCCAAATCAAAGTAAACCAATACTTTATGGTTTTGTATTTATGAATTACCAGTTAAGACAGTACATAACATTGGCAAATAGTCCTTCTTGGAAGACTTTCTCAAACAATACAAAGTGGACATTTCTAGTGTCATATGTCTACCTGCACATTGTTTTTAAAAAGTTAAGTCTATAATTACACAAGAGTGTCACTGTAATATTCAACTGAAACTTTTCTGAATATTATTATTGCTTATTTATCATTGAGTTTCTTTTTACCTCTGGAAATAGTCCACACAAACAGAGGCAACATTGTCGTGGACAGAGCCCATACTGTGGACAAGCTGGGATTTTGTTTCCTTTGTACATGCAATGTCAAAACTATTGAGAAAATGTCCAGACACCGCTATAAGAGCATCCTTTGGCCAGCGACTAAACCAATCCATGGTACAACCAGAAATCAGTCCGGGAAACTTCAAAGATCTGTTACGAAACTTCTCTCCTACCTAGAATGTCACCAGTAAAAGTAGACAAACAGAGAAAAGTCTAAAACATATATTCACAGAACAATTTTTAAATCTATATTGAACAAATAACAATTTGAAATTTCAGAACAAGATTAACTTTTCCATGATAACCTGCTTAACTACTGCTAAATTCTTAGATTACATCGTTTTGAAGTATCTACTTTACCCTGGCCAAAACTCTCAGATCAATCATCATTGCTGTGTAGGAGTTTACTTACAGGAGAGAAGCAGAGAACAGTGTGTAAATTACTGCGAGCCCGGCTGATAAAATAGTCATAGAGGGTCTCCTGCGTGGGAGCTCGACGAGGGAATTCTTTCTTCATCACAGGAATCAGCTCCTGGGTTATTTCATCTAACTCATCTCTCGCGAACAGGTTAGAGACCTGTAAGTAGGCAACATCAACAACTAATCAGTAAGATAGATGTAAGCATAAAGGAAATTCTACAAAATATAGGCAACAACATTAAAATACAATGAAATTAGGAGAAATCAGGACAAATAAAATAAGTTTTGTCATGTGCCATGGTAATATTGTGTGAGTATTGATAGGCTTGATGTTGCAGAACTTTAGAACATTGACACAACACTCAACTGCACAACCATAAAATCTAGCTATTGGAAATGCCCATTGGAAGTGAGCTAAGAACATCACCTCTCCAGAGCTAAGAACAATACTTCTCCAGAGCTACGAACATTATCTCTCCAGAGCTAAAAACAATACCTCTCCAGAGCTAAAAACAATACTTTTCCAAAGCTAAGAACATTACCTCTCCTGAGCAAAGAACAATACTTCTCCAGAGCTAAGAACATAACCTCTCCAGAGCTACACCCACGACCTCTCCAGAGCTAAGAACATTACCTCTCTAGAGCCAAGAACATTACCTCTCCAGAGCTAACATTACCTCTCCAAAGCTAAGAACAATACTTCTCCTGAGCTACGAATATTACCTCTCCAGAGCTAAGAACATTGTTGAGGTATTCGAGGAAGGACTCATCCTTGATCTCATTGTCTGTGAAGAGGAAGGTGATGCCCTGACCCTGGCCACCTGCCGTACGATACAGGAATTTCAGGTCCTCCATCAAGTTGGTGACATTGTAAGATCTGTGTTAACACAATGGCACATACAGGAAATTTTGAACATTTTGTGAATTCAATAAAACATGACAACAAAGGTTCCAGAAATTCAAAACAACATTATTTTTCAAGATTCATTTATTTCAATGTAAATGTCATACCGATCAGACGAAATAATATTTTTGTGAGTAAAAGAAGAAAAGACATTAGACATGAAGTCCATTAATTGGCCACATCTCCTTCAGTTTAAAAAGACTTTGTTTGTTAAATTGAATTCTAAAACTAGAAAGCTGATTTTCCAAGCATACTACTACACAAATACTATGAAACAAGGGCTATGACCATTTAGGTGGGTCATGGTTATTAGAAACAAACTTTGTAATGCTTCATCCCAGCGTGCAACTAGCCCAATATCATTATTGACCCCTGTGACCTTAAACAAATTTGTTACCCATCCCAGCATACAACTGGTCAAATATATTTTGATTTTGAGCCTCTTTGTTATTGAGAAATATTCATTTAAAGAGAAAGTTGAAGCCAGATGACACAAATGATGGACACAGCATCTTTGGGCAGTTGAGCTTAAAACCAGTTTCATGTCAGATTGAGCCAAAACAACTTGAAACACCAAATATTTGTTTACAATACTTTTACTATTAGTGGAAATTACAACATTTAGGGTTGGTGAGTATCTACATGGTCTGTGCAGCAGTAAGGTAAACATATTTTACAGATATTAATGCATCTGCACATTCAGTGTAAAAAAAAAGAGCACAAGAGAAAGAAAATCAAAGTACATACTGTATTAATAAGTACATCTACTCTTCCCTAATATGCATTCAGTGAATATCCTAGATTTAGTCTTAAAATCTACTGCCATTTTACAAAACAGATATGGTTTAAAAACCTCCTCCTTAATCATGGTAAGCATATTTGTACTGGAGAAGGGGGCTCATTTGTGGCAAAATATGGCACTCTTGGGGAAGCCCTATTTGGAGCACAAATTCGGACTTTTACCATTTAAGTATCATTTTATGGTAAGTTGGTCAAAATTTCAAATATGTTTTTATTTGTACACCGATTCTGTTCTGCTGCTTTCTTCAGTATTGATTCTGATCATCATCGAAGAACAATTTGCTTAACTGCTTGTCTAAATCAAACAACATGCTTCACTGAATCCAAGATACAGTTTAAAGTCTTGCACTATATGACGGTTTAATTCTCCATCAGCCAAATAAGACTGATCCCATTCACAAGCAGATAATAACATCCCATTTGAAATTTTAAGTCTAAGAATAATATACAATGATACACATGGAAATGACAATGGCCTAATCAAATATGTAAAATTACCTACATGATATATATACTTTCCACTCTAATGCTTTGCTATAAGTTTGCAAAACCAGACCTTGTGTCCTAACTTGTCAGTGAATCAAAATATAAAATGGATCTTTAATTTATAACTTCTTTTAGATATTAGATATCCAAACTCAAACTCATATCATAAACTCTTGATAATAAACACTCGTCGGGTGATGGCGTCGTAAGATTAGTTGTTCCGCCGCTACACTTCACTACAGCTCAACAAATGTTGCATCCAGCAACGTTTTCTTTGCTTGTAGCTCCCCCCTTCCGAACAATTAAGCCGCAGTGCTTCCAAACATCAGCCTTTCCCTTCGGGTTTTTCACTATGCTATCGTCCATGCCTATGAAGGCCGCCATTTAGGATACGTTACTAAGCACTCGACGATGGATTCATCAATACTTATCGTCTCATAAACATCATAAATTCGAATGAATTATCATAGTATTAGAGATTTACGCATAAAAATAAAAGTATAAATGATTTTAATAATTTATATTTAAAATTTCCATTACTAAACAAACTTTTCACGGAAACTAAAGATGATTCCCGTGAGGCTCCAAGTGAACCGATACATCTAAATCATATCGCGATATGTATCTTTTTAATGACGAACCTTGATATACCGGTATACCGATAATACCTCACATCCCTAGTCCTAAAATCTCTGTATTCAAGAATTCTACCTAGGGAATTTTTAAGTCTCTCCAAATGTGCAGTATGTACTTCGGATAAGAAGAAATGCATCAATATGGTAGTGATATTAAAGATACTAGATTATGTAAAAATCATTAGCAAGCAACATACATGCGTCTATCTATACAAAGGTGCAAAAGTGAGAGTGATGACCACAGCTAAAGGGAAAGCATGCACATCTATACACAGTATTTACCACTTGATCACTGGCCAAGACCGATGCTGTGAAAAAATATAATATTCCTAAAACATCCAAAATCAGGTAAAACTGTCTTTGTGTCAGAAATAATTCAGAACTGGACGATAAATGAATTTCATTTTAAGATCAATCTATCAAAATTACAAATTATGAAAACAGAAAAGTCAGGGACAAGACATTGGCGTTATCATTTTTAATGAATGTGATACTTTTCCCTGTTATGCCAAGAAAAAGTTAGATGTATTATACCTTGTAAGTGTGATCTGAAAAATTTTATAGCCTGCGATGAAGGAAGCCAGGCGAGTGAGGGACTGTTTACCGGATCCTCCTACTCCTACCAGCAGGGCTGCTCCTCGGGGGGTACGGATGATTCGAGAAATCTGCACACACAAAAAGGAAATTAGAATTGGTGCTTCACACTCATGTACATCTCATCTCTTGAATTTTTTTTCTCTCTTCTTTTTAAGGAAAGACAGGAAACAGGAAATAAGCAATTTTTCAATCAATACAGTAAACATTACACAGTCTGTCACACTATATACATGTTAGTTTATAATGAGTTTTTAATGTTGTTAGAGTGTAATAATTACCTTGATGAGGTGTACCATGGCATCCTTAAAGAATACCAGATCCATGTGTGCTCCTCGCACCATTTCATTGTACTGTAGCATGTAGCCTAGCAGCTTTTCATTCAGGAAGTCGTAGTCAGGAATCTTGATGACAGCACGAACATTTTTTATTAAATAGTTTCTAAATGCTAGAATTGCCGTCCTATACATTTAATACTATACTTTTATATTCCAATTCCTGATGAAACTCTAACAGAAAGTGGGGCAGGCTAATTGTTATGTACTTCAGGAAACTCCATTTTGTTATCCTGCTGTACAGGCTATTTCAAGGCCTTGACTACCATTGGTTTTTATACTTGTATTATATACATGATTCTACAATTTATGTCTCATATACAACTTTCTAACATTTTTAAGTCAACCCTTTCACATGGTGTATGGAAGGCAATAAATTGGACTTACTGCCTCATATATCTTTGGAGCATCAAGGACAGCATCGTCAGCCTCTTCTCCTGTTGGTTCTGGAGGGTCTCTCAGGAAATCTACAAAGTAGGGTTCATCTGGACACTGAGCAGCATACTCCTCACCCAGCAGGTTCTTCATCACATTGACAGCAGCATTCTCAAACCACAACTTATCCTCATGATTGGTGAACCTGTTACAGATAATGAACATCAGACAAATCAGTAAGATTTCAATATAACACAGGAACTTGGTTAATTAACTATACAAGTTATACATTTTTAGATATATATACATAGAAACCTAATATATTTTACATGTAGCAGAGAGATTACTCATCTTCAATGACCCTAGTACACTTAAGTTTCCACAGAACCATGATTACCTGTCTGCTGTGACCCTAGTACAGTCATGTTTCCACAGAACCATGATTACCTGTCTGCTATGACCCTAGTACACTCATGTTTCCACAGAGCCAGTAAAGTGGTCTCGTTTTGGCACTCCTCTCCCTGTATGGTCAGCATTCCCTGCCAGATTCTTGACAAATCTCTCAGGTTGAAGATGTAGTGAAACTTTGCAGGGGTGGGCAACATCTTAATCTAATAATGGAAAACCTCTTGAATTTCAAATTTAAATACAAGTGAAGCTAAATAAATAGGAGCCTCATCAAAAGCAAACTGCTTCCTACAAACTCAGGAAAGGAGAATTCAACTAATAAACCAGAGGTCATGGGTACAATTCCTATACACCAATTAATTAAGTTATAACATCAGTATTTGTTTTGGAATCAATAGATGGCTAAAATGTTGCAGAATATGATTGAATCCATAAACTGATTAAGCTTGGCTGATAGAGAACAAATTATTTTGTTTCTCATCCCTTCGATTTCTCTGAGATAACAGTTGATTTCATTCTAATTTTGTCTATGACAATTGTCAACAGGAAATCAAGTATTCCCAGCCAAAACGTTCACCTTTGTCATCTGCCAGAGTGTACGAGTGGCTGGTATCAGGTCCTTGGTCAAGGTACAAACTTCAGCTGCAAATCTCTCAGGGCAGAAATAACCACACCCTATAATTCCTGTGACATGTAAAATCACCATACTTTTGTCAAACACATATTTTTTCCCAATTTATTTAATAATCTGTTCTGTGACTGATCTTATAGATTCAATTTCTTGCCACTCTTGTGGAATAAAATAGAAATCTGAAGCAATAAAAGAAATAAAAAAATCTGTAGAAATTCATGACTTTCTGTCAAAAAATACCATCATCAATGTTTAAGTAAAGCTGAATCAATAGGCACTATTATAAACTATAGTAGAGAGTATGTCCTAGGCATATCAGGTAAATAAAGATTTGTACCTATGTTCTGGAGGTGTGATAATATAAATTAGAAAAGGCATCATCGTATGGAGCAAAGAAATGGCCCACTGCTTTTGGCAAAAACTCAGCACTGTTTTGTTGTGGCATTTTTGTCTTTACAATACTTGTTAATTTCAGTTGATTATGCCTCCCATCCAGAATGTTGGTTTCAAATCCTGAACCATAGAAGGAGAGAGAAATTCAATAAACCCTGTAAAAAGAGATTGAATTATGAACCTGTCAAATCTTACCAAAGATCTTGTCTATGGAATTGTTGGATGGCAGTGTGCAGTTGAAGATCGAGAATTGGCGTTTCAGACGCTGAGGGATGTCATTGCGACCGCCACCAGGATGGATCATGGCAGCCACGAATTGGAGGTCAACAATGGATATAAAATCACCAGGCTTGTCAAGACTGTACATGCCATGCATCTCCATCATTTGACGTGTGATTTCGTTGGTTATCTGTACACATTTATTCAATTTAATACAAAATACAATTTCATTATTTTAAGTTTCATATCTTCAATCAATAGCTAAATTTTCAATTTAAAGGAAAACAATTAAGTAACCATTTTAAAGCAAGGTACACCTCCGAATGGCTATAACCAAAGTTTACATGATAGGTATTGTTGATAAACTTATTTCTTTGTACTTTTTCAGGAGTTTGTTATTCTATTGCTCACATTTTGCTCGATTTAATTTTTTAATACAATTCTGTTGAAATGTTGGTGCTCTCTTCACTTCTAACATCTATATTTTCAGGAAAGCTTGCTATCTCATTCCTGGCCTCAGGCTCTGGTCATACCTGATCGCCCCATTCATTGATGATAGGCATATTGATGTCATCAACAAACACAGTCATACGCCTGCCCCCTGGTGGACCATAGGTACTTCCCATTCTCTTGTCCACATAACTTTCCACTGTTCGCTGAAATCACCAAATATTTACATCAGATCTTGGTATCAAATGTAAATACATATCCTGGTTTACTACAAGTTGTAACAATATAGCTACATGTCAAATATGTCAACATATTTGGAAAAAGGAATTTCCACACTAGTAACACTTCCTTACTACAGCACTAACAGAGTGGCATGCAAGTCATCCAGGAGAACTCATATACCACACTATAGAGTATAATCTGTTTTCATACCAGAACCAACATCACTGATCATTTTATAAAACATTAAACAGGGTAGGTATATCTTTGCTAATGAAATACAATGTGTAGAACCTGTATTTACATGACAGAAAACAAGAAAACATTCAGGGCACAAATTAAATACAATTTAACAAATTAATAACCATTACTACAAATATACAAGTTGTTTTATGTTCTACTCCAAGTCTGACTACAAACACCACTGCCATACAAATGCCAGTTGATCATTCTATTTTCACAGAGAGTTAGCAAGAGAACAGAATATCTGAATTTGGATCATTATACCAGATAAATCATCTAATTGTGCCTCAAAATCAACAGTGACTAGAACATATTTATATTATGTTCTAACAAAAAGTATGTACAAGAATATATATATATATTTTTTTTTTATAAGTATTGAGTCAACACACCAAAAAAAGAAATACGACACAGGTTTTTAAAGTTGACAGTGTCCAGATAACACATCTTCTAGTTACAACAAAGGAAAATGCAAGGATCAGATATCCTAGTCAATAAATGTATAGGCAAGGCTCATTTACTTGCTCTACTTTAACAATTTTACAGTATACTGTACTTGGAACATCATAGGAGTGGAAGCAGAGGAGAAGTTGAAGCTCTTTCCAAGGTGAAGGTCAGGGTCATATTTAGCCATGTAACCTTTGATCATCACTGTCTTAGCTGTTCCCTGTTCTCCTATAAGAAGCACAGCCTACAACACGCCAATTCAATTGTTAGATTTTCCTTATATATACGGGATTGTACTGATAAGATATATCTGATAACATGTGTGGTTATTATTGTTAACGTAATCTTTATTCCAAAAATTTGGTGAAATCGTCACTGAAAACTGTTAACTTCAAGTTAATTGACTTTGGTCTTGAAAATAGGATTCAAGACAGTCCTTCACCTGTCCAATGACTTATAAATGTGTGGGAAATTGAATCACTACATATCTCATTCAAATTTAGGTTTCTATGCCGATATATCCAGCATAAAAAAAGTGACAACTGGTTGTCATCTTCAGGACATAATAAATACCACACTTGTTTCTGTGTAATGTGAATTATTTTATTAAATGACTCCATAGATAAGTATTCATTGTTTTTTCCTTTTTCTGCATACACATCATATTGTTTCAGTAAAGAAAGTACCTAATGCTGTAAGATAACAGATTGATAACTGAACTGGACTATCAGTTACTAGATCACTCTTGTTTACAACTATGTCTCCAACCACAAATTACTATTGCACCCTAATGCAGTTACTTATAATGGACGTAACTGACTGCATCAGTTCATAAGGAAAAGGATCATCATGAAATAAAAGATAAATTACCGCTACTAATAGAGCTGTCAGCATTCTAATTCTATTCTATATACAGTAAAATTTTAAATAAGAATTGAACTAACCTTGTGTTGCTTGGAAACAGTGTCTATGAGGAAGTTAGAGCGGACATTGTCCACATTTGGAACAAGAATGGATGAAAATTCCGGTACAGAGTCTGAAGGGTAGATATACTCCTCCACTCTCCTGGACCAGTGCTCCCATTCACCTACATCAAACACAGTCAATTACCTACATCAAACATAGTCAATTACCTACATCAAACATAGTCACCTACATCAAACATAGTCAATTACCTACATCAAACATAGTCAAATACCTACATCAAACATAGTCAATTACCTACATCAAACATAGTCACCTACATCAAACATAGTCAATTACCTACATCAAACACAGTCAATTACCTACATCAAACATAGTCAATTACCTACATCAAACACAGTCAATTACCTACATCAAACACAGTCAATTACCTACATCAAACATAGTCAATTACCTACATCAAACACAATCAATTACCTACATCAAACACAGTCAATTACCTACACCAAACATAGTCAATTACCTACATCAATCACCTACATCTAACATTTTACATTTCATACATTTTAAAACAATTACCTATATCGACCACAGTCAATTACCTACATCAAACATAGTCAATTACCTACATCCAACATAGTCAATTACCTACATCAAACATAGTCACCTACATCAAACATAGTCAATTACCTACATCAAACATAGTCAATTACCTACATCAAACATAGTCAATTACCTACATCAAACATAGTCAATTACCTACATCAAACACAGTCAATTACCTACATCAAACACAGTCAATTACCTACATCAAACACAGTCAATTACCTACACCAAACATAGCCAATTACCTACATCAATCACCTACATCTAACATTTTACATTTCATACATTTTAAAACAATTACCTATATCGACCACAGTCAATTACCTACATCAAACACAGTCAATTACCTACATCAAACATAGTCAATTACCTACACCAAACATAGCCAATTACCTACATCAAACACAGTCAATTACCTACATCAAACATAGTCAATTACCTACATCCAACATAGTCAATTACCTACATCAATCACCTACATCTAACATTTTACATTTCATACATTTTAAAACAATTACCTATATAGACCACAGTCAATTACCTACATCAAACATAGTCAATTACCTACATCAAACATAGTCACCTACATCAAACATAGCCAATCACCTACATCAAACATAGTCAAATACCTACATCAAACACAGTCAATTACCTACATCAAACACTGTCAATTATCTACATCAAACATAGTCAATTACCTACATCAAACATAGTCACCTACATCAAACATAGTCAATTACCTACATCAAACATAGTCAATTACCTACAGTCAATTACCTACATCAATCACCTACATCTAACATTTTACATTTCATACATTTTAAAACAATTACCTATATCGACCTACACAATTACCTAGTCAATTACCTAATTCAAACACAGTCAATTACCTACATCAAACATAGTCGATTACCTACATCAAACATAGTCAATTACCTACATCAAACATAGTCAATTACCTACATCAAACAGTCACCTACATCAAACATAGTCAATTACCTACATCAAACATAGTCACCTACATCAAACATAGTCAATTACCTAATTCAAACACAGTCAATTACCTACATCAAACATAGTCAATTACCTAATTCAAACACTGTCAATTACCTACATCAAACACTGTCAATTATCTACATCAAACACAGTCAATTACCTACATCAAACACTATCAATTACCTACATCAAACACAGTCAATTACCTACATCAAACACTATCAATTACCTACATCAAACACTGTCAATTACCTACATCAAACACTATCAATTACCTACATCAAACATAGTCAATTACCTACATCAAACACTGTCAATTACCTACATCAAACAGTCACTCACCTACATCAAACATAGTCAATCACCTACATCAAACACTATCAATTACCTACATCAAACACAGTCAATTACCTACATCAAACACAGTCACTCACCTACATCAAACATAGTCAATCACCTACATCAAACATAGTCAATCACCTACATCAAACATAGTCAATTACCTACATCAAACAGTCATCTACATCAAACATAGTCAATTACCTACATCAAACACTGTCAATTATCTACATCAAACACATCAAACACAGTCAATTACCTACATCAAACAGTCATCTACATCAAACATAGTCAATTACCTACATCAAACACTGTCAATTATCTACATCAAACACAGTCACTCACCTACATCAAACACTATCAATTACCTACATCAAACACTGTCAATTATCTACATCAAACACAGTCAATTACCTACATCAAACACTGTCAATTACCTACATCAAACACTGTCAATTACCTACATCAAACACTATCAATTACCTACATCAAACACTATCAATTACCTACATCAAACATAGTCAATTACCTACATCAAACACTATCAATTACCTACATCAAACACAGCCAATCACCTACATCAAACACTATAAATTAAGTACATCAAACACATTCACCTATATCAATCACAGTCACTCACCTACATCAAACACAATCAAACAATACTGAAAGATTACAAGAATACACCATTCTAAATATGTATATTTTGTTCCTTACATTTTTAGACAAAACTAGATGGACATAATTAAGAAAAGCCATTCATTGTGACCATGTAGGCTTTATGAAATTATAATAATAATTAACAGTACAGTGTCATTTTGAAATGTTACAGTGGCACATTCCATATCAAACATATATTTCAAATAACACATAACAATTTGCATATTCAGATTTCATATCTCCATCATCATTCATCCTGCAATAATGAATTATGATCTATTTTCTCAATCTATTTTCTCAACTCTTTAATCAGTTTGATTGAATATCTTATCATGCCACTGTATCTGCTAAGTATATTGATGTCTTATGTATATTTTTGCAAAAAGACTCTCAATTGTTGGAGGACAGCAGTAACAACTCAACTTTTCAGCAGTTTACCAACACCCTTGGACTAACCTTTATCATCCATCACAAATTCAAAGATGGTTTCATCCTCCTGGACAGGAGGGAGGTTCAAGGAACACTCATGGTTTGTGACAAATTCCTCCATTTTAGCACGGCCATCCAATTCCAGCAGGGCACCAAGACTCCACATCAGACTAAAAATGAATAACTTCTCCAACTGGGAGGCTGGTAGAGCACTCTTGTCATCTCTTTTGGGGATCAGGCCCTCTAGCAGGTCACAGGCCTATAGCAATATAATAAGTCTAAATTAGGTCATAGGTGTGTAACAACATCACAAATCAAGAGGTCACATGCCTGTAACAATAAAACATATATCAAAATAAGTCACATGCTTGTGACTATGTAACAGGTCAATGCAATCAATGAAAAGTAGGTCATAGGCCTATAAAGGGTAGCAATTTAAAAGGTCACATGTCTGTAATGGCATAACATACCACAATTAGGTTACAATCCTCTGACAACAAAAGGTCCAAGAGGGATCTTGGCGACCACCATTGTTGGATCTTAATTTGTTCTTTGAAAGTTAGATCTTTTCTCTTCTTTTCTCTTCTCTTCTTTTGTTCTTAATGATAAGAACATTCATATCCAGAAATTGCGATGATAATCTTTAGTGGCCAAATCTAAAATGATCGCCTGCAAGTCATTTTGTTTCTTCTGATCAGTCCCAAGATCAATCAGGCACAAGTAGAGACCAAAGGGAACAAATCTACGAAATTTGAGAAAGATCTATGGAGTATTTCTCAAGACATGGCAATAACAAACTTTCAAAGTCAAAATCCAAGATGGCCAACTGTTGGCCATTTTGTTTTTCTTATCAGTCCCAAAATTAAATGGGCACAACTAGGGACAAACCTGGAAAGCAATCCCAAGCAAGCCTCTTTGGTAAGGAAGCACTGCATGAAGTTTGAGTGTAATTGTCCAAAAAAAAACCTCAAGTTATCACATGAAAACCATTCTCCTATATTTGGTAACACTGTCCTTGACTTTTGATCATCAAACCTCAAAAGTAATCCCAAAGAAGCATTTTTGATGAGGAAGCAATGAATGAAGTTTGATCTTGATTGGCAAAAAGGAACTGAAGTTATGAAAAAAAAACAACCTAATTTATAGTAAGAGTGACTTTGCCCTTCGGACCTGAAAAGCAACAATGTAGGACATATAGGCTTGTAAAAACAATGTAACATATCAAATGTAGGTCATAAGTCTGTAACAACATATCAGACCAAAATTAGGTCACAGACCTGTAACAACCATGTAGGTCACAAGCCTAAAAGGACACAGCCTAATGTAAATCAAAGGTCCACTTCAGAGGGCACAACTCCATATTGTACCCACACTTCACATGAAATTTTAAGAATGTCCATTGAAAACTGAGTGAGAGCATAGTTAGACAAATTTTGTCTACAGACAGACAAGCTGACTCAAGTACTACCCCATCCCCTCCAAAACTTTATTGTAAAGGGTATAACAATGACACTTGCCTGTTTTATCTGATTACACTGTAGAACATCCATTTTCTTTACAAGACTATTGTTGACATAGTTGTACAGATCGTCAAAGATTTTGTCAAATAGATTCATTAGTACTTCACTCTCTTGTGGGGTCCGTGTCTTCAGCCAACCCTACATAAAAAGTATGCAAAATTCAACAAATCAATGTGAATAACTAAACTCTAATTTCCAGTCTCTCACAACTAATGTTGATTTTAACTTCCCTATATTAATCATTATATATACTGAGTCTGTCCTCTTATGTTTGGAGAGAGAAAATGCTTTATTCTTCTTCTAATGAGAAAAGAAAATTATGGGTTTAAAATTGCACTGGTTACCTGAAGAATTGGCCTCCAATCAAGAGCAGAGGAGCTCATGTAGACCATACCATTCCTGGAGACTGTGGCTGGGGAGGCATTATCAATGTTGTGTACCTCAAATACAATCTTACAGGAGGGTGACATAGGGATACGGTCTCCATTAGCAAGCGTCAAGGTCTTGTTGTCATCCAAGACAGAGTTTAAGTTCTCAATCCAGATAGCATCCACAGGGCCGTCCAGTACCAACCAAACATTCTCACCTGAATACCACACATAAGTATTGGGCAAGCTTATTATGGGTAATCTAATATTTTTAATTATCAATTTGATAGACAAGTTCTTCAATTTTTGCACTGAGTAAACAGCATCAGAAACAGCTTGACAATCTTTTCATTCACATTTCAGAAAAATACAAACAGAACCTTGGTTATTTTCAACATTTTAAACAAAATATATATTTTAATTCACCTAGATACATTCTTCGAAAAGAATGAACAGACCAGCATACCAACCTTTCTTGGCTTTAAGTGTCCTTCTCCAGAGCGTGGAAAAGATACCATCCGTCCAGTCGTTGGTAGCCACGTCCAGTCTCCCAAACATCTGTGGGGCTGTAATGGCTTTTGGGTTCATCCTCATCTCCCTATGAGGTGTGCCACAGTCAGCCATGCTTTTCATTAGAACATAAATACAACAGGTCTTGCCTGCACCACTGGGTCCTAATGTCATCATACCGTGACGCACACGCTGGGTCTCAAACAGCTGTCAACACAACATACACATATTGTACTGTAACAGGACTAATATTGGATATTGATCATTGTGGTACAGTGCACCTTACACAAAAATATTTTAATGGTTAAGGTGCGGTAATCTACTTGTAGATTTTGGTCTGATGAACCAAAAAGTTTTGGGAGTATCCTGATTATATTACCGACATCACAAATAACAAACTACTTGTTGCAGTCTTGTAGCTTTCCTGTACAATCCATATAGCAAATTTTACAACTGGTCAGTAATCATAAGTATGTGCTGCAATAATACATGTTTACCTGCACAAGTTTTAGATTCCATGGAGGATGGTTGATGAGGCCAGCATTATCCACCTGGTTGCCAATAGCAACCTGTAATTCAGCATATGTGGCACTGTCAAGGGTGATTCCCGGAAACAAGTCAGCAATCAGACTCATGAACAGTGGCTCATCCTCATCTACCTGTTGGTATGGACAGTAATAGATATCATAAATAGGGCTAAGAACACAACAGTTATCACAATTTACAGTTCAGATATCAACAACTGTCTTACAAAAAAGGCTTTCCTGAGATGCAGGTTGATGAAGATTTAGCTGAAATATCATAGCTCTGACAATATTGTGATTTTATCATTCATATTGTGTTAATTACAATGCACCAACATGCTTCTACTACAGCACATCATAATCATTTATTCTAAATAACTACATATCAAAGCACAAGTTCTTGTTTTGGTATTTCATTATAATTATAATAACAAATTGATGAAATAATGCATCCTTTTCATAATATTAAAAGATTTCCTGCAAGATTAGCTATTCATGAAGCAAAACACAGTGATTGGCTGCCATGGCAGATCATGCAGGATGTTATCTCAAATTGTGTTTCTGAATATGGCATCTAAATACTTTAAAATGCTGTACAGCCTTTGTCAAAGTCTATAAACAGTAAAAGTGAATAAACAGTAATTAAATAAATAGAAACTAACACTAAGTGAAAGCATGAGAAATGATACTGAATTTATTTTTTGAGGTGTCACTGAATCTCACGAGACTGGAAAAGAATTAAGTTTTCCATCGTGAAAGTCACTTTAAATGCTATTGTCTCCCCAAAAAATCTGATAATAAATGAAACTGTAGGTAAAATTTTAAGATTTCAGAAACAAATCAACAGATATGGTTTATCTTACAAAACTGTGTACATATCAATACTAATATGCAATGAATTGTGTTGTGAAATCACCGCTGGATTGATTGACTGTGACGAGGAATGAGGATGAAGGACTAGGGCTTGGAGGAAGCCAGATATTAATATTTGTGTTAATGAAGGCTATGAGAAAGTTTTAGGGCTGCCCCTATATTTCAATGGAAACACGATGTTTACTTGCCCAACTCAAGTCTGATGTGTTTCCTGCCTAATTATAATATGCCTGGTGGTTTTGATGCTGTTAACCATGTTCTCAAATGACTTGCTTCACCACAAAGATATTTCAGATGAAGCAGAAGAATCTTATCCTTTTTGAACACCTAGTCTTAATATCCTTGTATTTTTTTCAGGAATCACTCTGTAAATCTCTTCATTATTCATATGTTACACTATCTTTAAGTTTAAATTAAGATTCTGTTGACATGGCAGTCGTTTCTTGTTTTTTTTTTAATTTCTTTTTTCACATCAGACTAACACAGAAAAGTTTGCTCACTTGAGAAAATTATTGCAGTTACCTGCAAGTACATTTATCATGAAGGAATTTTTCTTTGTCACAAATGATGCCCATCATCTGTCATGACAAACATGCATTGACATTAATTTGCAATCATAATTAAGTAATACCAAAAGATTGTATTGATGGTGAAAATTGCAACATGTCAAGTCTGGCTCATCTTCAAGGGAAATCAATTAAACAGTGCTTATTACTGACTTTTCTATTTGTATCATATCATCAAATTTAACATTAAAATGGAGATGAAAACTACATCTTGGATTAACACTAAATTTCTAGAAATGATGCCTGAAAAATGTGGTGAAATGATTACCAATTTGGAAAGATTCATGTCCCTCAGTACTCTCATCACAATCGTACTCTCAGTGTCATTGGGCCGGGCTCTCTTATTGGCTCCGAGTGTTCTCAACACAGACAAGATGTTTCTCAAACCAAAGTCATAATGAACCTGTTAAGACAGAAAAAAGTTGGTAAAAAGATTTACTATTCAAGAAAATGGCTTCAGACCAAACTTGTACAATAGACAGAACTGATTTCCCTTCGACAAAGACCAAATTTGGGAAAAATCCAAACATTCCTACATGGCTAGAATTTAAAGAATTTTCTATATTTCCCCTATTGGACCCTGCCACTTCCTCATACGGAGGCCAAGATTTGGAGATTCACACTTCTGGCCCCATAACATAACTGGAGACCTATAGAAGGACAATAAAGCTTGATCTTTATTCAGTACTACCATTTATATCGACTGATTTTATATTCTCATTTTACAACAATTGTAAAACAAGTTTTATCAATTGATACTAACTGTTCTTGGACAGAATGCAGACAGAATGAAAGAACATTGAGGGTCTTAATGGTTTAGTATACTGTAAACAAACTTTCTTTTATAGCTACTAACTTTCACAATTTCAGTAATATAACAAATTAGCAGCAATTGACTTTCCTAAATTCTGAGTAACTATTGTAAAATTCAAAGTACACTGTCTTCATATAAACCATGTAAGAAGCCCCATATCAGGCCTTTACTTTGTTGAGCTTAATCTTGGTTGTTCAAAGGATATGGGTCAGCAATGGCCTGTTCATAGACCGAAACAAAAATTAATCACAAGTGAGAGAAAATTTGTTTCCAGTATTCCACACATCTAAATAAAAAAACTGAATTGGATGCTGTTCTTCTCTGATAAATCTGTTGGTTAACCTTGTGATAAAACACTTGTATATCAGAAATGGTTTTTTTTTTCAATATAAGCTTTTATGTAAATATTCAGACTTATCCTATTTTTCCTTGCAAAAAAAAACATGCCTGTTTGGAAAGCTGTTCCTCACACAGTTTGTACAGAGTGTAAAATTTTTGGGCTAGAATGATGTTTTCCTGGAAACCACAACTGGCCAACTTCACCCTCATGATGATCTGACGGTCTGGAACCATCATAGCTACTGTCCTGAACTGGACCTTCAGATTCTCTGGCAGCTCCTGACGACCAGCATACCCAGGGTTCTGTCAAAAGAAAATTTCTGAGTGCAGGAAATGTTTTGTTTTGAAGTTCATCACAATTTGATATTTCACAAAATGGTAAAATTTGGTTGTATCATCAATGTAACAATTTTTGAGAATGTGACATTACTTACTTGGACTGACCCAGGTTTACATGGCTTGTGTCATCATTGAACCAGAAGATGCTTACTCTTCCAAAACACCTGGTCTTATTTTCCTTGAACTTTTTCACGAGTCTTCGTGTAAATCTTTCTTTTTGTTAATATTTTGCCCTAGTCTTATTTAATTTGAGTTTGGATCATTATATATTGACATGTTGGTATTTTGTTGTTGTTGTTCTTCTTTAACATACAAATACCCCATACCATGGTAATGAACAGGCCAAACTCTGGGTTGAGATCAACATTGTCACCATCTGTGAAGATGAACTCTTTCTTTCTCTCCTTTTTGGCAACTAGCACAATATAGATCTGTTGTGCAGCTACCGACAATACAGGCAACTCAATTCTGTTGAACTCATCGAAACATCCCCAGGATCCTGACTGGGCAAGTCCTGTAAAATTCAAACAAAGTTGTAAAATCAAAACAATAATAATAATAAAAAACAAAAAATCTGCATAACAAGGATTCTATAGTTTAAGGATCTTAAAAGAGTTTCCATTTAACATAAGATTAATAAAGTGAGTCAAAGATGTATTTTTTCAATTTGTAGCCTTTATCATGTTATTCTTTCAATTGTCTTGGTACTATATGGTCTTCATTGTGGTGTTATAACATAACCTGCAAGTTAATGAAGTTATTTCATGAAAGAATAGATAATATGATATGAAATCATACAATATATGAAATTGGTGAATTCACTAAATAAGACAGTAATCATGTTATATTACATATTAGCAGTTCCAAATTCTGACTTTGATGTCCTGTTCCTGTACCTTTGTAGATTCGACCAAGGCCTCTGAAGTCCATCTGATCAGAGCAGTTGAAGACCACAACATATTTGCCGAGAGCCTTGCCCATATCTTTAGTGGTCTCTGTTTTCCCTGTTCCAGCTGGCCCTGCAGGTGCTCCACCCATGGACATTCCTAAAGCCTGGGCCAGTGTAATGTAACATCTGCACAAACAAAACAAATCAACAACTTGGAAGCTAAACAAAAGCTAGTCAAAACAAATCTAGTCCAATGAGAATTTAAATTAAGGCTGTATGAAATTATTCTTGATTTTGAAAAAGAACTTGGAAATCTTTTTCTGTATATTTTGACATCTGCTACGTGCTGCCAAAACTTCTTGAATTATTTCTTCCGTACGCACACCAGGATCAATTTCAAAACAAAAAAGATTATTTTGCAAAAGACATTTGAGAAAATAATCAACTATGAACTGTAGTTTACGATGAATTTTTTTTTTTGCTTTTATTTGGGACACCAAACCAGATATATCAATGACGAATGTCGCCATCTTTAGAATTACAAGAACATATATCTGATACATAGCTTAAATGCTAAAATAACCAATTTGAACTTCATGTTTTGCAGAATAAAATCTCGATTATGCATAATTTGTCATAGAAAATTATTACATGTGCCAAGAAAAGCTTCAGTGGGTGACTTACATCTCTGCTGATATCGTAATAATTTTTCTCAGACAATTTGTTATTTATTGCTTAAATTATCATGAGCACTGGTAAGGTGACAGTAAAATGTTCTGCAACCTGGTTTTCCCCATGCCATGTTTCAAAAGGTCTGATTGGTCATATAAAATAACTTCTAATTGAACATCCAATGAAACATGGTGATTCAAAGGTGAACAGTGCACACTCTATTCATTATTTTTGTCGGCAATGCAGAGTTGTGATCTTCAGAACACACTATATTAAAGTGGCTATTACCTTAGATTTCAACATCAAGAAATGGAGAATTCGGCTTATGAATAATAAAATATATCCATAATTAAGTGATACATGCGTCTATAACATCAAATTTGTTGTTTTTGTACATATTTTCGGCTTTGTAACATTGTTTATCTTGACTATTGTTTATAAACATGTTCACACTCGGTTTATTACAAAGAAAGCCGAGTGGGTCACATGACGAAGCATCATTATGAAGCCTATACAGTGATGGAGGAATAAATTATATGGCAAAACATCAGCTAATGACACTGAGGTGTCGAGTACGAATCTGACCAGGTGTAAACTGAACATGACATGAATTGTCATGAACCTTTACGATAATTTATGATAGCAGTTAAGATATTTCAAAGATTAAAGGAACAAAAGGTAACGAAAATCAGTGTTCTTACAGGAAAAAAAATCAAATCACAAATTTTTATTAGAAACAAGTCAGTTTAGCACATCTGAAAATGAACTTCGGGGTTTAGATGTCTAGCAAAATAAATGTGTCAACTGTAAATGTTACGTTCCACTTAACATCACATTTCCCCTTGACAAATGGAACATGATATTAAGCAGGTTTCACTGTATTCCAAAAACCCGAGGAACTTATTCTGATAGATAAAGTTCATATATTCAGACATTTGTGAGGTCCACATACCTGTCAGTGAGTGGGGTGATAACAAGTCTGTCAGTACAGCCAAGGAACTCATTCTGATAGATGAAGTCTACATCTGTTATCTGGACGATACACTGATCCGTGTCCTCCTTGAAGTAAAATCTAGCCTGTTTCAACCACTCAAAGTCTGTCACTGACTTGATGTGCATTCTCGTCTAAAATGGTGAATCAGAGAAAAAGAATAGAAAGGACATTTCATACACTGATGTTCTGATGATCATACCATTCAAAATACTCTTACTTTATGATACAATAGACAGTATTATGTATTAAAACCTTCAGCATTGAATTCTTTGATTGGTTTTTCCTTTTCTACAGTTGATTTCTATTATCCTGGTGAAACAGTTTGTACGTTGAGCAGTTAACAAAATTTGAGGTTTTTTTAATGTAAAACCAATTTTCATGATGTAATACTTACCATAACTTTAGTATGCAAATACAGTACCTACACCCATCTTTGTATCCCAACGACAAAAGATTCAAAAGAAAAACAATACCGCCCTCCCTACGATCCATGAGCCATCACAGCAGGAACGCAGTGATCTCCCTTCCTCTAATAACCTTTATGGCGTACCCCACAGAGGGGCAGCCAGGCAGATAAGGAAGAGGGGAGGATAGGGTGGGACTCTATAAGTTATGGTAAGTATTACACCATGAAATTGGTTTTACATTAAAAAAAACCTCAATTTCATTTCAGTAATAATTACCATAACTTAAGTATGCGAATTCGTCTTACCGTAGTGGTGACTAGAAGCCAGGCAGCCCCTTCAGCACAACCAAACTAGTAGGGAGGGAGAACACAGTGCCAAAGTGAAGGAAGGGACCTCTCTGTGAAAGAGCATGTGTACCCACATGCCATCGTACGGAAAGACATGGCCCAAGGCTAACGAGGAGGCCCAGCCACTGTTGCCACCACCAAAGGTCTCAATGAATACAGGCCTTCTGAGTGGGAAGCTAGGGATCGCAGATAAAAATCTGTGAAGGTATCCCTGCCCTGCCAGAATGCTGCAGACATGACCTCCTGAAAGGAGGACCCATTGAACGAAGGGCCCAGGATGAAGCAAGGGCCCTGACCTCGTGAGACCGCGCTTTCGCTCTCGCCCTAGCCAGATCATCAAAATGCTCGTAAGCATACTAAATCACCTGGCAAACCCACCTGGAAACCGACTGGGAGGAGATATCTCGTTGTCCCTGTTTGATGGGCAAAGCAGACAGGATCGAGAGCCTAATGGGATTGTGCGAGAACCCCAGAACCTGATTCTTCGCTAAAAACAACTATCCAGAGCAAAGCCTCTGATTAGGGCAGAAAGAGAGGAGGACTAACCTATCTCCTTCCTGCCATAACGAGCAAGAACTCTGGCAATAGCTGTCCGATAGCCATCAATAGTGCCAGGTGCCAGATAGCGGTACCTAAACAGAGAGATTAGGAAGTCCGCAATCAAATGTAGAGGCTTTGAATGAATAAGCTTCCTTGCCGACACACCAATCACAGAAGATCATCCAACGTGACTGGTAGACGGCAGAAGAGGAAGCCCTGATTGATTGCTCAAAGAAATCCGACACCTCTTGAGAAAAGCCTGCCTTGGCATGGCTTCCAGAGATAGCCTCAACGCGTGAAGGTGGAGGATCTCTGGTCAAGAGTGTGTCGTTCTGGGCCAAGGCTGGCGAAGGAGATTCGTTCTGGTGGTGAGAGCCAAGGGCTCCTCCACCAGAAACGACAAGAGCTCCTGAAACCAAGCTTGCCTCGGCCACAGAGGGGCTCTCAGAAGTAAGGAGCAGTGATGCTTCCAGAACTTCTGTAGCACCCTGCCCACCAGGTTGAAGGGAGGGAATGCATATGCATACGTCCCTTCCTATTCCAGAGAAAGGGCGTCCACAGCCCACGCCTTAAGGTCCGGGACCGAGGAGACGAAGGTTAGCAGCTGGTTGTTCAGGGAAGTGGCAAACAGGTCTATAATAGGTCTGTCCCATGCCTGACAATTCCCCTTGAAAATCAAGGGACACAGCTGCCATTCCGTCAACACCGGCTGGTGGCGCCTGGAGAGTGTCCACCAACACACTCAGCCTGCCAGAAAGATGCTTGACTGCTATGGTCAACTGCATGTCCTGGCAGAGAAGAAGGATGTGGATGGAGAGGGCACACAGGACATGAGACCTGGTGGCCCCTGTCTCTCCAGATACGTGACAACTGTTGTCGGTAGCCACACTTTGGACTGCAGGATACCCCTAAAGGACTGCAGAGCCAAATGAACAGTCTCATATCGAGTACACTGATGTGCTCCGAGAGCTGTTCACCAGACCACTCCCCTGAGCGGCATTGGCCATCGAGGTAAGCTGTTATGAACGCGTCCATGAACAGGATCATAGACGGGATAGGCTTGATCAGAGGTACCCCGTGGAAAACGTTCTCCTGAATGGTCCACCAGCAAGAGAACTCCCTGACCGACTGGGTAAGCGGGATCCAGGCCTCCTGGATGGCGGAACCCAGTCAGACAGGAGGAACATCTGGAGAGGTCCGATGTGAATCCTCCCTAGGGGGACCACATCTGCCAAGGAATTGAGATACCCCAGAAAACTGAGGAACCAATATACCTGGACAAGCGACCAAGCGATGAAAGTCAGAGCCAGAGCCCTGACCTTCTCGAACTTCTCCAGAGGTGGAAGGGCTAAGCCCCGAACCATGTCAAAATGGTTCCCCAGGAAGACGAAGTCCTAAGATGAAGGAACCTCTGACTTCTCTCTGGAAGGAATGAAGCCGACTCTGAGCAAAAGTTTCAGGACCAGACGAGTGTCCTTCACTAACGATTCCCACACCAAAAGAGGCATGAGGGAGTCGTCGAAATAGATGTGGACATCCATTCTGCGTGAGTGAAGGAAATCACCAGCAGCAACTTGGTAAACACCAAAGGAGCTGTCCTGAGCCCCAAGGGCATCGCTGCCTTGGCAGCATGGTCCCTACTTCCTCCTGGAGCACACGTGCCCTTTCCGAATCCCCCGGAGGAGGAAAGAAACAAAAACGGCCGGGAGGCGAGGGACGAATCCTGAAGAAGGGGAATACCTAGACCCTCCCTGACCACCGACAAAAGCCCAAGCGTCATCTGTAATATCCTGCCACTGGGAAAGGAAAGCAGAGAGACGTCCGCCCACAGGGAGTTCCGGATGGGGCAGATCAAGCCCCTGCCAGACCAGCAAATCGTCTGCCCACTCGGAGCCTGAGCCTGCGGGAGAAGGACATGAGCCCGGGACAGGAGAACTACCGTCCACCCGGCCATACCCTTCGCCTTTCGCGGCCAAGAAGCAGAAATAGTCAGGAACCCTTCTTCTTGCCCCCAGGAGGTTTCTTACCCTTCCTACCCTTCCCCTTGTTGCCGTTGAAGTGAGGCTGGGACTTGGGCTGTGCAGAAAACTGAGCAGCCGAAGACTTCGCCTTCTTCTTCTGAGGCACTGACCCCTGCGAGGCACTGGCCTTCTCAGCCTGAAACCTCTTCACCAGAAGTGCTGAGGCGACCGAGTCCTCCTTCATATCCTTCTGAACCCAAGGAAGAGCTCCCCTGAACAGGGTAGAGCCCTAGAAGGGGGCATTCAACAAGCGGAAACGGTAGGGTTACTGGACTGGGCGGAATTTCAGAACTGAAAACTGCCTAGCCAACACGGCATTGACGAGCAGAGAAACCTGCAAGGCTGCCGTGTCCTGTATGTCGGCTGTTCTGTCTCGGATAACCGACACTCAGGCCAATCGGATACCCTGTATAGACAAACTGTCAGGAAGTCTATGTATGACAGAACTTGGATGGAGAGGTGCAACATTCTCTCCATCCTGTGGTGCTCTTTGGGATCGAGCACCACCTGGTCCACTGATTTGCCGGGCCAGGCAGCCAGCTGTCTCAACTCCAGCTGTGCTGGTTGAGAGGCCAGCTGCCCGTCATGTGTGGCATAGTCGGAAGCTGAAGCCTCCGACAATTCACCAACACTGAGCTGCAGACCGACAAACCCAGGAATGCGGGTAGAGAAGGAGTCCTTCTCTAAAACCGGAGCCCGGGCCGTGGCCAGAACCGAAGACATGATATTGCCTTCTGGCAGAGACCGATCTGAGCGAACGGAAGCCCAAGGAGCCACCAGGGAACCCAGAAGGATGGTGGATTCAGGCACCGACGATGCTGAGGCGGTGGGCAAACCTCCGCCCTGAGAATCTGGGAGATGTTGGCCCGAAGGACCCGCATCCCCGAAAGCACATGCTGAGCCTCGGCTTCAGCAGTCTCAGGGCCATCTTCCCCTTGTGAACCCTCTTGGCCCAGGAGAAAGATGAAAGACATTGTCTTCCTCTGCCGAGCCCGCACCCTCGATGTCCATCTCCTCCTCAATAGAGACCGAAGTCCCCTTGGGAGGAACAGGGGCCGCCAGAGGAGCCATCTCCGGAGAGGGGAACTCCTCTATATGGCGTTTAGACGCAGTGCGACCAACAGCCGTAGCTGTAGGCTTGGGTCGGAGACCCGAAGCCGACCCCTGGGAACAGGAGACCGACGGGTCCGCGCTGGAGGCGGAAGTCCTTAAGGTCTGGCAAACCTTTATAGGACCAGCCAACAAGGCCCCAGAAGTACATTGGGGGGATTCCGCACTGCTATAACATCTCCTAGAGGAGAGACCAACCCCTATGGGTTCCACGAGTGAAGACCCATGGGGTAAAACCCAAACCCCTGAGGGAATGGGAACGGTCCAGCGGCCCGGGAGTGACCCCAGAACTGGCCAAGATGGCCTGCCTGAGTCTGGGGCTGGATACCCTGTTCAAAGGACCAGGATGAACCGCCACTCCCACCAGGTGGAAACCCAGACATGTACGGACTAAGCCCGTAACTGCTGAGTAACTGTTGGTACCCAAAACCATCCGCATTTTGGCCTGGGCAACCCAGGAATAAGTGCCCGCAGGCACCCCTGCTCCCTGAGCCCGGGGGAAAGGGAGACCGGAAACCGGACTCCTGGACTGAAGCCCCAAACCCTTGGGGGAAAACCCCCTGGGAAACCCTGCACTGGGAAATCTGGACTGGGAAATCTGGACTGGGACGGAAAGTCCCAGAGCCAGAAGCCTGTGAGGGTGGGAAAACAGACCCCGCGCTGACACCAGGATTAGTGAACTCAAGTGTCACTAATCCCCGTAGCCACAGACAATCCTGACAAAAAGTCTGTGGCCCCTGACCCTATACCCGAAGGCACAGTTCCGGAGTCAAAGCGGCCCCCACCAACGAAGCCACCTGGCGCGCCGAGGTCCCTGAAGGAATCAGAGACCTCGACCGGAAGTCCCTTTCCGACGGTTACACCGCTGGCTATCGAGAACTACCGGTCAATTCGACCCTTGACTGCGCCGAGTCAGGGTCGGGCTGCCCCCCTACTCCAGGACGCACCTGGACAGGGGGAGCCACCCCCTGCTGAAGGGCGGAGCTCGGTGGAACGAGAGCACCCCCAGCAGGAACGCCCAAAAAACCTACTGGTTCAGAACCTGAGGAGGAGGTCTTAAAAAGCTTACTTCCCTTACCGGAAGAAGAGGACGAATCCCTCTTCCGGCGGCAAGTTAGCTGGAAAGGCATGGGAGCCTAAGCAGCAGACTCCATGTGCAAACAAAGTTCACATAGCGAGGTCTGGCTGCAAGGTCGGCAAATGGGACAGGTATCATGGGGTTCCCATTATCTATAGAAATAGGAACATCCATGTGCTGACCCCCGACGTAAACCCGGCACTATTATCCATCATCGAAACAATAAAAATTGTAACAATGAAAACAAGGACAAAAAGGTTTCTAACAATCAAAAAACTACGAACGAGAGCATAAAGCCTACTGTACGCAGCAAGATTGTACTGCAAAAAAAAGAAAACGGTCGTACGAAACGGCCGACAAAGCAGCAAGAAAACAATTTCAACTTCACGCAAATCCGAGCAACGAGACAAGTAGTCACGCACTCGAATACGTGGAGGAAAAAACGGCTGGAAATACGGTCAAAATAAACAAATGACAATACTTAATTTCACAATATAAGTTGGGAGATGGGTTTATAGACTACTAATAGAGTAAAAATATATGGCAGTACGAAGAGAAGGAGTAAGAAAAGCACTTAGCTCAGACACCTCCGCACTCATCGGCTGCCATAAAGGTAAGAGAAAGGGAGATCACTCTGCGTTCCTGCCGTGATGGCTCATGGATCGTAGGGAGGGCGGAATTGTTTTTCTTTTGAATCTTTTGTTGTTGGGATACAAAGATGGGTGTAGGTACTGTATTTGCATACTAAAGTTATGGTAATTATTACTGAAATGAAATACCACAATCGAGTAAAACTCACCAAGTCATCAAATATGTCACGCTGGTGGACGTGAATTGTGACAAGTGTTTCGTACTTGACTCTTTCAACCTTGGTGAGGTCATGTGTGGTCTGCTCAATCAGCTTGTTGAGCATATCAAGGAAGCGCTGGTTCGTTGTTTGCATGATCTTCTTGTCACTGCGTGCATGCTGCAGTGCAACTTCTGCATCTCTGGTCCATATCATCTGGATGCCTAATAACCCAACCTAAATTTAAACAAAGAGAGATTTTTACCATCAAATGCTGTCATCTCTAGACAAATCTTACAGCCAATTTTTCTACCTACTGTTAATGGTACTTAAAAAAAATTCCATGTAATAACTGTCACATGACCAATTCACACTGGATTTCCACTGTTGTTATCACTTGCCATGCCTACTTAACCAACAGACACATTAATTCTTTAAACAAACCTGAGCAGGAAAGTTGGCGAGGAATCCCAATAGTTCAAACTCTGGGGTGTTGATATTGCGGAATGCATCCCTGATGACCCCATGTAAAGACCTCTGTTGTTGATAGAGTAGTTCTCCCAGCCACATCTCCACATTTCCCTTGGCACTGATCTCTGACTCCAACTGTCAACATAACAGTTTAAATATGATCATTATATATATATACATCTTTTCAAGAAGAATCTTCAGAAAATTGACACTGCTATGCTTTTTTATTTCCTTTCTGTGGTCTGCTCATTTTTCATTTACTATTGTTTTATTTTTTTAGTTGTTGTATTCCTTGTAAACAATCATCCAATAGGCTTTTTCACTGCCATCAGATCTAATCTACCAGATGCCTCACACTCTTTGCTGTTAAATTTAGCAGGTAAACATGGATGTCCCCAATGTAAACCAGAATCACATCAAGTATTATAGAACTTGATGTTATGATATTAGGGGGTACATATAAACCAAATCTTATGAGGTTCTTGTGATATGACATTGATTCATAATGGACCGACATGAGTAACTCTATAGTCCCCATAAAGTGCCAAGGCATAAAAATTGCTGATTTCTTATTGTAATTTTTCATCTTCTTTGAAGATAATTTCAATTATCATAATATGAATACATTTCTCCACTTGATTTTAACTCAATATACTGTTATCAAAAATGTATAAAAGAATGTTTTTAAACAAACTGATGCACTAGTGTGTTATCCATGACTACATCTAAGGACATATATAATGACTGTCACTTACCATAATCTTTTCTCCTTCCCTTGAAATTACAGCAATCATTCTATCATAATCCTTTTCATGGAACTCCACTTCGTTAACATTCTCAAATATTCCCAGCAAATGAGCCTACAACAACAAAGAACATATGGTTTTCATGCTCTTAATGCTGTATATCATTTCATACAAAACACACATAGGCTTCTTAAACAGAATTTAGATATATGATACTATTCAAAATATCTGATATGGTCAAAATAAGTTTTATATCTAAAGAAAAATCAAATCTTACATATACATAAAAAACAAGAGATAAAGTTTATTTGCTGCTGACAATTTGTGATGAATTCAGTGTGCTACAATTTCATCTGTCTAAATAAAACAATGTTACACGGGACATGTCAATGAGACACTACATATCAGTAATCTTGAAGTACCTGTCAATTTTTCATACCTGGATTGTGTGGGAATCACTGGCCTGTCCAAGAATTTCCAACAAAGCTGGGTCAGATATGAAGAAAAATCTCGGGAACACTAATCTCTTTTTCTCCAAATACCTGTAATAGAACAAGAGTTCCTCGGAACTGTATGTGTTGCCTGCATAAAGTGTTACGGTCACCCAGAGATCAAACTGGATGTCAAAACTAATCTGTACCTTTCCAACAAGAAGCCATATACCAAATTTCATTTCTATAACTCAAAGCATAACCAAAAAAAGTCCAGAAAACAATATTCCCAGAGAATTTTCTAAGTCCAAAGGGGTATAACTCTGCCAAGAATGTTTACAGAAAGCCAGGAATCGAACTTAGTCTGTACTGTTCCAACAAGAAGCCATATACCAAATTTCATTTCAATAGCTCAAAGAATAACCAAAAAAATCTGGAAAACAATATTCCAAGAGAATTTTCTAAGTTCAAAGGGGCATTACTCTGCCAAGAATGGTCACAGACAGCCCAAAATCAAATTTAATCTGTACCCTTCCAACAAGAAGCCATATACTAAATTTAATTTTGATAACTCAAAGCATAACGAAAAACCCCAGTTAGTCCATTGCCTCATACAAAGTGCAATGTACAAAAACCAAACAATTTTTGCCCCATACAAGCAATGTACAAACAAATTTTTGTATGGAAAAAAAAAACCCTCCCGTAAATCATTATACAAGACATAACACCATTCCTAGTACACTGAAAGACCTGCCTGGCAAAACATGTCAAAAGTTCAATTCTAACAGAGAGTATAAACTAAATTACATAAAGTTCCGACACACATTACAACGAGCTGAGAGAGAGAATTCTGACACTCATTACAATCTGAGTGAGAGAAAATCTAGATAGACATTATGAACTAAGCAACATAGAATACACACACATTTATGACTTGAATGTGGGAAAAATCTGACACATTATGAAATTAATGAGAGAGAATTAAGTCATAAATTACAAACTGAAAGAGAGAAATCTTTAAAAATGTAGGTAAACAAGAGATTTCTGATAACCATAAAAATTACAAACCTATTGTGAGCTCTGAAATTCTTCACTGATTATACAAACCGAATGAGATCCAGTGAGATAGTTCAGACAGACATTAAAAAAGCCACTGAGAGATTTCTTCACTGAGAGATTATGACACACAATAAACCTATGAAGAGACACACAATGCAAATCCTATGAGAGAGTTCTGACAGACAATACATACCTGATGAGAGATTTCTGACAAAAAATACAAACCCAGTAAGAGATTTCTGACAAACAATACAAACCCGATGAGAGATTTCTGACAAAAAATACAAACCCTGTGAGAGATTTCTGACAAACAATACAAACCCGATGAGAGATTTCTGACTAACAATACAAACCCGATGAGAGATTTCTGACACACAATACAACCCTATGAGAGATTTCTGACACACAATGCAAATCCTATGAGAGATTTCTGACAGACAATACATAACCTGATGAGAGATTTCTGACAAAAAATACAAACCCAGTAAGAGATTTCTGACAAACAATACAAACAGATACAAACCCTGTGAGAGATTTCTGACAGACAATACAAACCCAGTGAGAGATTTCTGACAGACAATACAAACCCTGTGAGAGATTTCTGACAGACAATACAACCCCAGTGAGAGATTTCTGACAAAAAATACAAACCCGATGAGAGATTTCTGACAAACCAGTGAGAGATTTCTGACAAACAATACAAACCCTGTGAGAGATTTCTGACAAACAATACAAACCCTATGAGAGATTTCTGACAAACAATACAAAACCAGTGAGAGATTTCTGACAAACAATACAAACCCTGTGAGAGATTTCTGACTAACAATACAAACCCTGTGAGAGATTTCTGACAGAGCTCCAACTGTTCCAATAGATGAGGTAACAGCTGACCCAAAGTCTCATCCCCTACACAGCATTGCACTACATTGGTGACCTCATGTGCACGTAGCATGATCTTCACCCAGGACTTGTCAATGTTCTGGAATCGTTTTGCTTCCTGAAAGTAAAGTGATTTATTGTCTTACAAGTTATATTTACAATTATTACATTCATTTATAATTATATTACATTATACATACCCAAAGTTTTGTATGTTTGAAAAAAGGACTTAAAATTTCTATTCTTTTGCCACAAATACACATTAATTTACTCAGTTTTGAAGAGTTGTGACTTAAAAGAAGAATGTAATGGGGTTGTGTGAAAATATCACATAATGAGGAGCGAAATTAGCAGCAATATATTTTTTTATCAACAAACACTTTATTAATTATTATACAGAATTTGAATCAAAAGGTGCTTTTCAAACAGTGTCTACTAATAGTCTTCAACTTTAATTCAAGTACATCACAAAGTAATACAATATTGAAGAAGTACAGACCTGTGGGAGTTGTTTGGCAATATCTCCTCCCACAAACACAGCCTCCAGGTACACCCACAGGTTCTGTACAATGAGCCAATTCTCTAGAATGTCATTGGTGTTGGACAGCTTGGCCACCCACTCTTGTATAGTTTTTTTAAATGGGGCATTGTACCTGTATAGGAAAACTCAAGTCTTCACTGGAATTATCTTACATCATATGAAAATATCACAACAAGTCTCATCATGTGACTGAATTCAGTGCCAATTGTTACAGCAGTTATTTTTTAAAGAAGCTATGACATGAAAGTGCAAATGTCCTGACCATCTTAAATAAACATGAAAGTGATTATAGGTTTTTGATTATTAGGAGAAACTAGAGTTCACCTCTCCCTGAAAGTTGTTCTTATGTAAAGCATGTCTGGATAAAGAAGTAACAAGACATATTGTGTGGCAGACTTCAAAACCACAAAAAGGAATGTATAATTGATCTTTGCCCATTAACACAATTTAGTCTGATGGGGACCTTATAGTATAGCATACAGGTGGCACGAAGAGTGCTGAGAAAACAATTCAATACCTGGTCAGGAGTAAAACACAGACAGTGAGGGCACAGTCTGTCTATAAACATCCATTGTAATGCTTGGAGAAAACAATTCAATACCTGGTCAGGAGTAAAACACTGACAGTGAGGGCACAGTCTGTCTATAAACATCCATTGTAATGCTTGGAGAAAACAATTCAATACCTGGTCAGGAGTAAAACACTGACAGTGAGGGCACAGTCTGTCTATAAACATCCATTGTAATGCTTGAAGAAAAAAATTCAATAACTGGGCAGGAGTAAAACACTGACAGTAAGGGCACAGTCTGTCTATAAACATCCATTGTAATGCTTGGAGAAAACAATTCAATACCTGGGATGGAGTAAAACACTGACAGTAAGGGCACAGTCTGTCTATAAACATCCATTGTAATGCTTGGAGAAAATTGTGAGATAAGAAAAATGTTACTAATGAATCACCACACCAATCCAAAACCTAGGTATAGTGACCAGTGTCATAATAAGGTGACCTGAACTTTTTGAATCAGAATGGTGTTGTTTACATCTAGGCATAGTAAGTAAAGTATTATGAAGATTTGCCCAGCAATTTCCAAGGACTGCAGAAATGATGGACAGTTACATGGACTGTGTGATTACTATAATTATGGCCTTGTTTCCTGAAAGAACTGACCTGTTGCTGAGAAGAGAACTGAGAATCATAAGGCTGTCCTCCAGCATGGCAATAATTTCAGCAGTCTCACCACCTTTCAACAGCAGCTCTCCACGAGCCTTGAAATTGGAGAAGCTCAGTATCCGCCCATTCCAGTCAGCAATAACAACAGTGAGTTTAGCTTCTATGTCTTTTTCTTTAACAGCAGAGATACAAACATCCTGTAATATAATTTACATCAGAGATACAGACATCCTGTAATATAATTTACAGCAGAGATACAGACATCCTGTAACATAATTTACAGCAGAGATACAGACATCCTATAACATAATTTACATCAGAGATACAGACATTATGAAGTTTCATCTACAGCAGAGATACAGACATCCTATAATATAATTTACAGCAGAGATACAGACATCCTATAATATAATTTACAGCAGAGATACAGACATTATATAATATAATTTACATCAGAGATACAGACATCCTATAATATAATTTACATCAGAGATACAGACATCCTATAATATAATCTACAGCAGAGATACTGACATTCTATAATATAATTAACATCAGCGATACTGACATCCTGTAATATAATTTACAGCAGAGATACAGACATTCTATAATATAATTTACATCAGCGATACAGACATCCTGTAACATAATTTACAGCAGAGATACAGACATCCTGTAATATAATTTATATCAGAGATACAGACATCATGTAATCTAGTTTACAGCTGAGATACAGATATCTTGAAGTTTCATTTACAGCAGAGATAATGACATCCTGTTATATAATGTAAAGCAGATATACAGACATCATGTTATCTAGTTTACAGCAGAGATACTGACATCCTGTAATATAATTTACATCAGAGATACAGACATCCTGTAATATAATTTAAAGCAGATATATAGACATCGTGTAATCTAGTTTACAGCAGAGATACTGACATCCTGTAATCTAGTTTACAGCAGAGATACTGACATCCTGTAGTATAATTTAAAGCAGAGATACAGACATCCTGTAATATAATTTAAAGCAGAGATACAGACATCCTGTAATATAATTTAAAGCAGAGATACAGACATTCTATAATATAATTTACAGCAGAGATACTGACATCCTGTAATATAATTTATATCAGAGATACAGAAATTATGAAGTTTCATCTACAGCAGAGATACAGACATCCTGTAATATAATTTAAAGCAGAGATACAGACATCCTGTAATATAATTTAAAGCAGAGATACTGACATCCTATAATATAATTTACAGCAGAGATACTGACATCCTATAATATAATTTAAAGCAGAGATACTGACATCCTGTAATATAATTTAAAGCAGAGATACTGACATCCTGTAATCTAGTTTACAGCAGAGATACTGACATCCTGTAAAATAATTTAAGTTTTAACACAAGGGCCATCAGAAATGACTTATACTACCTGAATGAGACAAAATTAAAGCATGAAAAATAACAAAGGGTAATAAGAGAGTGATGGTTCTTGTGTACTGCCCTCCTTCTTGTTGAGATCAATCTACCTATGAGGTTTCATGTTGATACCTCTTATAGTTTTAGTTTAATGCTCTTGACAAAATTTAAGTATGAAAAAAATAACAAAGGGCAATAACTCCTACATCATAAAAAGCGTGATGGTTCTTCTGCACTGCACTCCTCCTGGTTGAGATCTACCTACCTTTGAAGTTGATGCTGATGTTGATACCTCTTACAGATTTTTTTAAGTTATGCTCGTGACAAAATTACGATGGATGTACAAATGGACGGACAGACAATGCAACGACTATAAGCTCTCCCTCGGGGAGCATAAAAACTTATTTTGTTCAACTTCAAGTAAGCAACCCCAAAATGTTTCCTCACTTAAATACTGAGACACAAGTAATTTGGAGACATACCATCTTAATACTTTTTTGCATTTCACTTAAAACTGTATCTTTCTTTCTAAGAAGCAAAAAATAGGAAAATCAAAAATAGTCAGAAATAATATAAATAATTGTGTCACTGCTTAGGATATAAAAACACAAAATACAATCTCATTAACAGCTACTTTAGAATACATCCAGTGTAAATGAAGCTGATACCTCAATATCTTCCTTGTACTTGAGAAGAGGTGCTTTCATTATGTCCCGGAGCGTGAAATTTTCTGAGTCAAAGTCAAATGTGTGCCCAGTGAGCTTGGCAATACGGTCCCAGTGGCGCTCCTTCATTGCCTTGTTTGACATAAGTTCTAGAAGAGGACAGGATTCACTGAAGTCGTCAATCTTTTTCTTAAGCTCCAGAAAGGCTTGCCACTCTTTTAATGCTTTCGGTAGTCGTCGACATCTATATTGACAAAAAAGCAGATAAAATGAATCTATATCCTTCATATCTTCCAATTCAAAAGCTTTACAATGTAAAGTGCTTGAACTGGAACAAATATTAACATCAAAACACTGAATCTTAACACTTAACTCACTGCTAACAAATTCAATACAAATTAATTAAGAATACTGGTCATTGTTATATCAGGCAAATCTCTGTTAACAAGATCACATCTCTCTAAACAATATCATATTATGCTAATCAAATGATATTCTACCTGTTTTGCAGATCACTGAGTTCTCCATTGATCTTGTCAATGTCCACTTCTGTCCACAGGATGTCGAAATAGCCATTGATGACAGACATCACAGTACTGTAGAGGCTGTAAAGCTTCTGTAACAGGCCAAGCTCCTTACGGATCCTCATCAGACTGGGATACTCTGTCACTGTTAAACCAAACAACTGTTCTCCAGCACTGTAGATACCGTACTTGTTATACAGTTCATCAAACTGACTCTGTAAACGTAATATGATATCATTATTAAAAGGAAAACAACTCAGGACAAAGGGAAACGTGCACATAAAATTTGAGAAAAATCCATCTTGAATTTCTCAAGCAATAGCAATTTATCACTGTGAAAATCCATGACAGCAATCTATCAGTCATTTTGTGTTTTTCTGATAAGTCCAAAGATCAAAATAGCACAACCAGGGACCTACAGGAACCAAAATGAAAGTTGAGAAAGATCTGTCTAGTCCTTCTCAAGAAATAGCAATGACTTTCGTCGTAAAAATCAATTTTTCTGATTAGTCTCCGAGTCAAATAGGCACAACTAAGCACCATGTTGTATTCCAATCAGTCCTAAAATCAGACAAAGCAAAAGGGACCAAGATGAACCTACATAGAAATTTGAGGGAGGGAGGGGGAAATTATTGTTGTGTAGTTTTAGAGTTTATAGCAAAAAATTGAAATATTTAACATAAAATGCTTCATAATAACATTATCACTGTTTTAGTAATTGCACCAAAAACAAGACAAAGAATCTTATAACCGTGTTTGCAAGCATTCTATCATGGCATTTCCTTTATGGATAATTGAAATGCACCTACATTTATTTTTCTATTTTCACACTCTTAACTATACATATATAGACAGGAAAGAAACAAGTCAGTCTGCTTACCTGGAAAGCCTGCAATCTGTCATTAGCTTCAGTAGGTGTGATACCCTCACACATAGGACCATCCTACAAAAAAAAAAAAAAAAAAATGTGCATCATTTTTTCCATCAAACTGTAACTTTCCATTTCAGGAATCCAATTTTTTACCAATAAGATAATTATTAATCTTACTTTAAATCAAAGAAACTTATTTCACAACATCATATTTTGAAAAAACTGTAACTACGGGTACTAAAATAATATATAAGATATATCAAATGAAAATTAACTTAGGACACAATCTGTATCTGATATGAATACACAGTAGTAATAAAGCACTATACTACTATGTGACCACAACTTTCAGTGAACATGATGAATACCTACAGTGTCATAATTGAGTCCAAAGTCTGCAACATCTTTATGAAAGACTTCGACAGACACAAGTAACTCACTCTTGAAGCCTGGCTGAACACTGACAAGCTCATCTTGCACATGATTCTGAAAATCAACTCATGAAATCACAATTATCTGCTCATTCAGACAACATTCTTATCCTTACCAAATCAGTGAAAAATTCCTTCAGCAATGTCATGTACTCTTTCTATAAGAATGATTCAGTAAATACTAATATTACTTCATAATTATCATAAAGTTCAAAACTGACAAGTCACCATTCTATCTATATATTACGTCTGATCTAACAGATACATTAACTAGCTTTATGAAAAAAAGCATTTCAGCTCAACCCCTTTTTTTCTATAACCAATGAGTTGCAATTATATAGGAACAACAAAAAATAAGCATGAAAGCTACAACTTACTGAGCTGGCAATGAGTTTGTGGAAGGAATATCTAACAGAATCCACTTTGTCTGTCTCCTCTTTTGGAATGGTCACTTCAAAGTCATGCAGCATAGGAGCAAAACTCTTGATGCATATTTTATTTGTCTTATACAAGAGATCCCAGAGGGACATGGCATCCACCATTGAATTATCTTTAGTGATCTTTTCTCTACCTTTATTGGAATAACAAACTTCCACTGTCAAAATTCAAGATGGTCTCCAGACAACCAAGTGAACCTACACATCAAGTTTGAGAAAACCACAAAACTCTTGATGTTTCATACAACACACCTACATATTTTATTTGTCTTATACAAGAGATGAATGTTGATTTGACAATACTAATCTGATGATGCTGGGCTGAAAATGTTACTTAGTATTTCCTTAGCAATTTATTGTTTATTTCTACATACATCATCGGCCATGCCAGAGAAGCCTTAAAATCATTAACTGCCACGACTAGCTTACATTGACATAATAACCTAACACTCCTAACAAAGTTGTGAAAGTATTTTGTAAAGATATCAAGGATTTGCTTTCAGAATAAACAGAATGTTTCAAAACAACTACTGTTCTTCTAAACAGCAGTCAACACGTACATGTATTCCTCCTGCAATGTTACAACGTTGATATACCTACAAGTCTTGTTTGACCTTTAATGAAACAATAAAGGTGACATGCCAAATTGTGCAAGGCTGGTTAAAGATAACCAATGGTTAGTGAAATTTTTCAGATGTGAACTAAAAATAACTGGAACACATTTTATCACTTCACAGCTGTGGTTTGTTGAGACAGGTCAGATTGATATATTTAGAGTATTAATTTTGCCTTTGATACTCCTGTTTGTTCAGGTTAACTTTTGAGCCACCAGTGCCAGATGTCTCTTATCTTACCTCCACTGGCCCTAGTGTCATATCTATCTGTATGGTGTTTTCTCTGATGTCAGTCAGAGCTGCCATGGCTTCCCTTACATCTTCAAGATCTCTGATTGGACGAGCCAAGCGTTTGCTATAATCATCTATGAAGTTGATGACTTCCTCCATTTTACTACGATACTTTCGGTTGAGTTCTTTTCCAAACAGCAGCTTCCATGCCTTGATTTCTACTCGCAGGGCCAGCTTAAGAGGCTCTACAATATGATAAATGTACACTTAACTGTCGCTATATAATGTAGGTAAACCTCAACTGTTATTATATTAATACTAAAGTGAGAAAACTAACAGCATTATGTTTATTGATCTAAAATTCTAAATATCTTCTACATACCTGTATCAAGTCAACAGAACTGAAATTCCTTCAACTTAGTACAACAACCCTTGGAACAAACATTGACGTGTCTTGGGAAATACACACTTTGGGCATTATTTCTTGAGGAAATTGAAATAGAAACTTTGATACTAACAGTCAGGTGAGATTTTTGCTCCTATCACATTCATTGCTTAAATTTGTTTGCATGTATTGAATGTTACCAGTAAAGAGTTCTATGGCCCCAACTTGTTCTGAAGTATGGATGTCTTCAATATTGTCCTCTAATTTCTTGAACATAGCCACCTTTGCTTTGTACTCTGACAGAATGGGATCTTCTGCTATGAACTCCTGCAATAGTTGAACAAGACACCTGAATCACTCAATTGTTCTGCAGCTAACAAACAAGACTTTGTCACTTTGTTAAGTCAATTTTTGTAAACTTGAAACCCCATGCCTACAGCATGTTATTACACAGGTTATTGGTTATTAAAACAAAAGTTTAGGAAATGGAATTTGATGACTTTTGAACATTTCAAATTACAGTTAAAGAGTTAAGCACAATATATCCTTTAACCAGATAAATCAAGTGAGGTCTGAATACTTAGAAAAGTGATACTGACTGTTACAGCCTCTTCACGATCTTTCTCCCAAAGAAAGGCGTAGTCCGAGTACCTCTGCAAGGCTTCCATGATGTCCGCTTTCAATGTGCTGAGTGCAGATGACATCATCATTACATACTTCGACACATCCTTGTTGTCTGCAATACTCTTGTGATAGTTCTTTAACGGCAGTGGAGGCAGCAGCTTTGTCAGATAAGCCGAGGGATCTGGAAGGAAAAACAAACAGTATCCTCCAGAAAAAGTTGGAAGATTAAAATCACATCACATCTTATCAATTGCATTTGGCAATAAATCTTTCTTTACCTGTAAAAAATCAAAAGTTTCATTCTTAATCCTTTCATCTACTGTATAATGGAAAACTTTTGTCACATTTGAAGTATTTGCAAGAAAACGGACAGTCTTAACCCAAGCGATGGGGGAACCCTGTGGAAATACTTTCCTGAATAGTGTAGCTACCATGAAAGCTTTCAGATTACCTAGTTGAAATGGTTCAGGTGGTCTGGAATTATTCCGTTATACTCGAATACACATGTACCAGATGTTGGAACTGATATATGTAAAGCTCAAACAGTTTCGGAGTTTGCTGTCAAGCATGAAACAATTAACTTAAATACCATCCATTTCACTCCTACTTAACAGCACAATGAGAAATGTGAGTGCAACGACCCTACTTTATACTGAAATTCTGAAGACTAATGCTATTCAGCAAGTTAGTTTAGGACAAGTATGGTTGGACCCCTTGATCTGCTTGTGCCAAATATTTCAGTCCAGTCTCAGTGCCGATCTGTACCTGGTGTAGGTTCGACATTTCCACCCGTTTCAACTACGTACGTGAAAACGACCTAACAGTTTGAGAGTTTAATGATTGTTTCTGATCATGATTAATAGTAATAATAATATGATTTTATATTTTGTACATGTGCTTAGTTAAATCCCAACTAACCTGAAGGAAATGAAATAGAATTGAAGACCCTTGTAATAACTGTCAGGTGTTGTTTATAAGTAACTGAAATCCTGGCTCACCATGTGGATGAAAGGAGTTGGTTTCCTTGTGATCTGTTTGGAACTGACGTGACCGGTCCTGTCCCCACTGGTACACCTCTTTACTGATATCCACCACCATCTGTGTGGCTTTGTTCAAGGCGTGCTGTATGTCCTCCAGCCCTGGCTGCATCACCTGTACACACCATTTTTTTTATTTTAACTGTTGCTCTTTGAAGTATTTTTAAATTCTTGGCAAAATATTCTCATTAATAAGTGATATAATCAAAGACGTTTCTCATACAGGATTCTGTACCTTTGTACCTATTGAAACCATCTTCCTATTGCCCATGCAACTTTTTGGTACAAATAGATGCTTCATAGCATGAATGCTGATTGAAAAACACTTAGTTTAAATCTTTCATTTATAAATTATTGAAAAACACTTAGTCTAAATCTTTCATTTACAAATCATTGAAAAACACTAAATCTTTCATTCACAAATCATTGAAAGACAGTAAATCTTTCATTCACAAATCATTGAAAAACACTAAAACTTTCATTCACAAATTATTGAAAAACACTAAATCTTTCATTCACCTATTAAAAGTACTATCATATCAAGTTTAACTATAATCCTATTGTCCATAAGGAAGAAGGATTTTATACTATTGGTTCCTGCTTACAGCCTCTTGTTCAAAGTTCAAGACTTTGTTTGAAATTAATTCCAACATATTTGGAAAGTAACCTTCCAGAAAATGTTAATGAAAAGAGAAGATATTCCTACCTCAGGGTTCGAAAATAAAGATATGAATCTTATTGTAGATTGTATCCATATATGAAACCTTTTCTCTATGTCTACATAACAAAACTCACCACATGAGGGATTGACAAAGTGATGTTGGCAGTGAAGAAAGGAACTTGTCTGCCACTGTTTGAACCTCCAACACTTTCATCAAAATGCATCATGCCATGTCTTCTTCCTCTACAAAATCAAGAAATGAGACTGATATAACAGTGACACATTTATGATAATTAAGATCTCATAGATACTAAGATGGCATGAAACGTTATAAACATTATAAACGTATTACCCAGAAAAGAAGCGCCGTCTCATCACATCTAGAGAGTGCCTTGTGGCCTTCAGCAGAGCCTCGACAAGTCTGTGGTTGAAGGATTCTTTCAGCTCGTCGCATGCCTCACGAATGTTTTGCTCATCAGACATGTCACTGACACTGTCGTCCACACTCTGACCATCCGAGTTTTCCTCATTCGAAATAAAGATGGTTGTCACATCGACTGTAACACACAGGTGAGCAAGCTCAGCAACAGACTAAATACCTTGTCAAGCATCTCACACTAGTCAGGCACTTAGAAAACTATTCCTGTCAGTTAATTTTATTTGGAAAGATGTTAGATATCTAAAACACAAGAGCAAACAGATATATCCCAAATTTATGAGGAACTTTAATCATTTTTCCTACAGCATTATTTAAATGTATTTCAGCAAATCAATTTTTTTCTCATATGTAATCAAACACATTTAACACTATTCACCATAAATCTGTGTCAAACTAAAGAATGAAGCTACAGTCCTTAACTCCACTCTAAGACCTCAATGTTCACTAGATACCATTGAAATTATAACTAACCTGCAACCTTGATGAATAGCAAAATACAGTGAAACCTCACCTAACGACAACCTCAAAATTACGACCACCCCGCCATTACAGGCACTTTTTTTCAGACCTTTTCTATGTTTTGTGTGCAATGACGTGACCCGTTTGCCACGAACACTCTTTTTTGTTTAGTTTTTTCAGACGCGTTTGTGCATGACCACAGGTCAAAGTGTGCAAAGGCGGCTTGCTCATTTGCATTTATCGTGTCTGTACAGACGATTAAAATTTCCCATATAATTAATTAAAAAACCAATGGAAAACACACACTTGTATCAACATCGGCGAGGATAGTTCATAAGGATTATAGAAATACATTTTTATGGATGAATTTGTAACTAGAAAAAAACAAGAGTGCCGTGGACACAATATATGCCGCCACAAAATATAAAGATCAAGATTGGCCCTTTTAATTATCGCTTTTAACATGTCTGTATCATAAATCTAAAATCTAAATGATTATTTTAGGAGGAGTTGTATTCACAAGGCACCACTAAGAGCAAGCTACAGATACAAAGTTGAAAATAGCATAAATCTTACAAAAATCAAAGAACCAAAAAATTGCCCCTACATGCATATCTACCCATTGTAGCAGTGACTTTGAGCAAGTTTCATGAAAATCTGATTAGTTTAGGAGGAGTTGCGTTCACAAGAAATGGCCGTATGGACGGACGTTCGGAGAAGATGACGCCAATATATGACCGCCTCTGGCAGCGTATAAAAATTAACAAACTTGACTAAACAGCCCCTTTAAACAAAGTACAAAATGCTGTCTTACTTCCAATATCTGCAGTTGGCTCCATATCACCAATGCTCTGTCCCATTTGGGCTCTGTGTAAGAAAATCCGAATCAGCTCAGCCACAGCATCCTCAATAACGTGACTCATCTTGTTGATTTCTTGTCCCATGTCTTTGCAATATCCCTGAAAACACACCAAAACAAACTTCCATATCTAATTTTCTTCAACTTTCTGGACATCACATATATTTACAAGTTGGTCAATGCTGTTTGCAGTGTTTTCATCTGCTTATGCATATAATGTTGTTCAAATACAATTGTGAAAAATTTTGAACTCTTTCAAAACATACCTCTATAGCATCAAAAAAGGTCTTAGGTATTTTCTTAAATGAAACATAAGAGATAAAACAACAAATCTTTCTCTGCATTTCTGTCATCTAATGTATTGTTTATTGCATTTTAATTTTTGTGGTTTGTTTACAACCATCAAAACAACCAAACTTCTACCCACAAACATTTTATATTCAATGGTATACATCAAACAAGTTAAGTTATCTAACCTCCATCTTTTTGAGGAACTGATTAACTGTCCAAGGAGTGCGCTCAGGGAGGTCACAAAGCAAGGTCTCACTGATTTCTTTAAGCATGCTGTCAATCCTTGTCACCTTGATGTCATTCACCTTTAGCAAACACAAAAATCAGTACTCTCTAAACAGTATTAATCAAAGGATATCAGAGATAACAGAACTGTTAGTATATGAAATGAAAATCAGGTTGGGGGAGCGGGTCATATACCTGAAACATACAAAAATCTGTTCAACTATTCTCCATTTTACAGCCAATCACCATTATTCAATTGCTACCAAGTAACAGATTTTAAGTTATAATTTCTAAAAAACTCATTTTTGAAAGTTTCAAATAAAACCATAGGTTATTCAAAGCATAAAAGACCAAAAATGTTACAGAAGTCAGTTATCAAAAGATATTCACTATCATAATTTTAGCCTCTAATTCTATAATCTGAGCTCATGGATTATATCTCTGTAGAAGCCTTATTCCTTAAATCCTTACCTGTTTGACAACTATTCCAAGATCACTCAGGGCATTTGACACAATATCAAAGTAGACGGGCAGGCTGAGAGATGTCCATGTGTGGTTTACTAACCCAGGCCGTATTGCCACATCCACCTTGTTTTACAATGAAAAGAATTCCTGTTGTTGGGACTGATTTTTTTTTTACTCAAATTAATAGTAGCTCAGTACAAAATGTTTCAGTATGATTCATCTCATGTTTCAGAAAATTGCAGTACATGTAGCATTAATTATCAACCAACCAATGCCTTATTGTTATTGTTTAATGTTTATTCTCAAATAGGAAATTGAAATTTTACAAAACTGAGGCAAGACTTTTGATTTAAAAGTAAAAATCTACCTTCTTCAATGATGGCCTCAGGAGATTCACAAAGATGGGTGGAATATCTGCTCTCAAACTATTGTTTTCATCCAGCAGCAGCTATAAAGCAAAAGAAAAGATAAAAGAATAAGACTCACAGACTATTAAAGTACAACATGTAAAAACTGACAAAAACCAACCTCCTTCCTGTAAAGACTAAAGCTCCAATCAAGGCTCAAAATCACTGTAAGTAATTAAGTAATAAAGAAATGTAACTCTGGTAAATAATACCCACAATACACTGTTCAATAGAGAGGACGTAAACCATGGTAAAAACTAGCTGTAATATACCAATCAGCCAGAGAGAAGGTAACTCTGGTAAATAATACCCACAATACATTGTTCAATAGAGAGAATGTAAACCATGGTAAAAACTAGCTGTAATATACCAATCAGCCAGAGAGAAGGTAACTCTGGTAAATAATACCCACAATACATTGTTCAATAGAGGATATAAACCATGGTAAAAACTAGCTGTAATATACCAATCAGCCAGAGAGAAGGTAACTCTGGTAAATAATACCCACAATACATTGTTCAATAGAGGATATAAACCATGGTAAAAACTAGCTGTAATATACCAATCAGCCAGAGAGAAGGTAACTCTGGTAAATAATACCCACAATACATTGTTCAATAGAGAGGACGTAAACCATGGTAAAAACTAGCTGTAATATACCAATCAGCCAGAGAGAAGGTAACTCTGGTTAATATACTGCTCGGGTAGACAGAACTTTTCTTTATCTCAATCTGTGGAGCATAAGACTAGTGAGCCATGGGTACCGGTTTAAATCTTAGCAGAGGCATTGAAACAGATACTAACCACTGTTACAATGCTGCCTCTTAGCAGAGGTATTGAAATAGATACTAACCACTGTTACAATGCTGCCTATGTCAGGACTGGAGGACTAATACTTAGCATTATTTTCACAAGCATTGTTGTAATCCCTTGAAACACAATGACCATTTATCTGCTGATATTAGCACCATTATACTGCTCCACTATAGAGAACTTCTCTTTAGCTTGATCAGTTTAGCACAAGAGCAGTAAGCCAGGGGCTCTTGGTTTGAATCCTAGCAGACTAATGACCTCTTTAAAAACAGAGCAGAGGAAAGACTTGAAAATGTACACAAAAGCCTCTAAAGGCTCAGTCAAGTCTGGCAAGAAAGTAAAATCATTATGTCTGTCCTCATTTCATAAACAAACAACACTGGTCCAAGTGATCAAACCAATAAGTAAATACAGCTCTAGTAATTCTGATAGACTAAAACACTCTCTTGTGACTATGAACAATGTGATTAAAATAAACTGGTGAAACCAATCAATACAGCTCTAGTAATTCTGATAGACTAAAACACTCTCCTGTCACTATGAACAATGTGATTAAAATAAACTGGTGAAACCAATCAATACAGCTCTAGTAATTCTGATAGACTACAACACTCTCCTGTCACTATGAACAATGTGATTAAAATAAACTGGTGAAACCAATCAATACAGCTCTAGTAATTCTGATAGACTAAAACACTCTCCTGTCACTATGAACAATGTGATTAAAATAAACTGGTGAAACCAATCAATACAGCTCTAGTAATTCTGATAGACTAAAACACTCTCCTGTCACTATGAACAATGTGATTAAAATAAACTGGTGAAACCAATCAATACAGCTCTAGTAATTCTGATAGACTAAAACACTCTCCTGTCACTATGAACAATGTGATTAAAATAAACTGGTGAAACCAATCAATACAGCTCTAGTAATTCTGATAGACTAAAACACTCTCCTGTCACTATGAACAATGTGATTAAAATAAACTGGTGAAACCAATCAATACAGCTCTAGTAATTCTGATAGACTAAAACACTCTCCTGTCACTATGAACAATGTGATTAAAATAAACTGGTGAAACCAATCAATACAGCTCTAGTAATTCTGATAGACTAAAACACTCTCCTGTCACTATGAACAATGTGATTAAAATAAACTGGTGAAACCAATCAATACAGCTCTAGTAATTCTGATAGACTAAAACACTCTCCTGTCACTATGAACAATGTGATTAAAATAAACTGGTGAAACCAATCAATACAGCTCTAGTAATTCTGATAGACTAAAACACTCTCCTGTCACTATGAACAATGTGATTAAAATAAACTGGTGAAACCAATCAATACAGCTCTAGTAATTCTGATAGACTAAAACACTCTCCTGTCACTATGAACAATGTGATTAAAATAAACTGGTGAAACCAATCAATACAGCTCTAGTAATTCTGATAGACTAAAACACTCTCCTGTCACTATGAACAATGTGATTAAAATAAACTGGTGAAACCAATCAATACAGCTCTAGTAATTCTGATAGACTAAAACACTCTCCTGTCACTATGAACAATGTGATTAAAATAAACTGGTGAAACCAATCAATACAGCTCTAGTAATTCTGATAGACTAAAACACTCTCCTGTCACTATGAACAATGTGATTAAAATAAACTGGTGAAACCAATCAATACAGCTCTAGTAATTCTGATAGACTACAACACTCTCCTGTCACTATGAACAATGTGATTAAAATCTCAAGTCATAGCCATTTATCTAGGTCATCAAGAGCTGACAGGAATCTCAATTCTCAAAGTCTCTATCGATATTGATTGAAACAATTCTGTAAATACAGCGTCAAATCACTGAACAAAGTGATTTATATATTAAAACTGAAGTCTCAATAGGTTTGAGAAATTCATGTATTAAAAATGCAGTTTCAATAGGTTACAGAAATCACAAAATTATGGAAATCATCAACAATATCACCTGGAGTCTGTTGTTGTGTGTCTTGAGGGTGTCTCTAGAATGGACAAGTACTGTAGCTGCTTCAGGGATCTCCAGATCAAGCTTCATCATGTACTCTGCCTCCTTTATCACCTCAAATATGTAGGGGTCAAAGTTCACTAGCAATAATCCCTGTTTAGTAGGATGTCTCACTAGCACAGGGGCTTGTAGGACTGCAATATATTACAACCTGTTATAGCTATATTGTTACAAATTATTAGGTTGCTTCCAAATTTTAGCAGAATATAAAATATGTATCTACATAATATGACCTTTAATTCAACACAGGACAGTACAGAACCTAAGATTAATTTCCGTCCTTAGATTTACTAATTTGATTGCTATCAATGTTTCCATAATGTCCATTTTTCTGTAAACAAATCCTGATTTTGAATATCAAATCACTTTATTAATCAATTTTTCCAAATGTGCTGTATCAATTATCTGACCTCTAAATTACTAACAATTGGTAGCCACAGCTACAGACTTTTTCCAGGCATCATGATACAGCATCTCATACTCTAGGAGTACTCGCATCATCCTGTTGTAGTTACGAATGATCCTCTTAGCATCTTCAGTCTTCAAACAACTTGCTCGCAGCTTTCAAGAATAAATTCAAAACTCTATTTAGACGACACAATAATCAGGTGTTGGTAAAGTCATTATGTAAAGCCTCTCAATGTTTTCTTAACATAAAATTTTTATTTATTGTTGAATGATAGATATACCCTAACAATGATATATCAATACCATAGGTTTTCATAACTGCAATTAACACAAGAGAAACTACACACTGATAACAGGGAATTTCAAAATGTGGTTTTTGCACTCTGTACAAGTTAAATGAACAGCAGAAAATCTGTCAGATTTTTTTGTTTTAAAGACTGGCAGACTGACTATCAAAGCCATAGATCAGATGATCAAAGTCAGACGTATATTTTATAAAGTTGCGAATGAAGTGCATAGTTTCATTGTAGCTATATATTCATTATTTTGGAACCTTTGCCTAACATACTTAAATCATTTTGTGAAATAACAAATAATAGCTGCATGCCCAAAAGCTGTTGGCAATGATTCCTGTTCACCACCAAGGGACATAAAACTTCGTTGGGCTTCATCCTAGGAACATTCCAGCCAAATATCATGCCTCAAGGCCTTTCAGTTCATGAGAAGAAGTCATTTAAAGACTTGACCTATGTTCAAGGTCACAGGGGTCAAATTTATTGAAATATTCAAACCACTTCTTCTCATGAACTAAAATGTGTCGAGGCATGATATTTGGCTGATATGTTTCCTAGAATGAAGCCCAACAAAGTTCGGGAAAAAAACTTTGACTTGTATTCAATGTATGTTAAAAAAACTAACGCTCAATTTTCAAAACATAGCTCCCTTCACATAACCAGTTTTTGTAAGTTATGTTTAATAAATCCAAAAAATTTTAATGAATCTACTCGCTCCTCTAGCTGCTAGTTTTCCAAGTAGCAACTGAAAAGTACTTGTACTGAAAGTTTTGATCTGATTGCCACATAATACTCACTGCAAATATGTCCATTGGATCCTGTATCCGCTGTGATAGCTGTCTGGCCCATGTGATCTTGCCCGCCACAGGAGGCATGTTCCTTGGAATAGGTGGATCTTCTTTGTACTTCATATACAGCTGTGTAATACAGAATTACATTATGCTCAATCAAACCACTTCTGATCACTTGATCTTGAGTATGAAATACTGAAATCTTAAGTCAACAGTAATATGCAATCAATCAATATCAAACTAATCAACAAAGATCAACAAACGAAGATGAATGCTAACAACACTGAAATCCAGACCATATATTGAAACTTGGTTTAAACCAAAATTTTTTCAATTCTGATATATTTACTAAACACTTCATCATAAAAGTAAACAGCAAATGAATCTGTGAAAAAATATACAAGGAAAAGAAGAATATTGTGCTTATTTTAAAAAAATTTATGGAAGTACAGTCATAAATATGACACTTAAAATTCCAGTATAATTGTATTTACTCAAATTTAATAAAATTTCACTTTGATGAAGTTGAATCTGTTCCAAATCTTTTTTCGTACAAAACCAATACAAAAAAAAAATGTCATTGATAGGGTGCACACAGAAGACAGATGAGATTATAGTATACTTTCTTCAGTGCTAATGTGTATTGGTTTATTTGTGTTATATAATCACATTTCATTGCAAACAAGGTGATGTACCTTTCTGATTTCCTCTATTTCTCCTCCATACTGCACCATAATAGTTGCATATTTTTCCTCTATTTTCAGTCGTGGTAAGTTGAGGGTCTCAAATCTGTGATAAAAAAGATATCAACACTTATAATTTATAAATCATCATTTTCCTTTCAAGGTAGTTCCTTGGACTTGTCAAGACAACCTCCATTCAATTTTACAACATGAATTATTGGTTATCATTTAGCATAATATGATGAACGATGAAAAAAGTGCTAATTCATATCAATTTTATTCGGAGTTAAAATAAATCCATTTTTCTTGAAAGTAACATGTGCTATAGTCTTTGCACGTTTAAAAGGTCATCACATTAATATACTATAACAATACTTTTTCAGTCCTGACTATCTTAATTACAAATCTCAGAGATTACCTTGTGAGAAGAGTGAGAGCCTGGGTGGCGGACGTCATTTTTGAGAACGATCCTTCCATGAAACTTTGAATTCCAGACTGAAAAGCACAATTACAATTCAATGCTATCAAAATATCTTAATGAAATGAAAATATATAAAACGAAGTGTTTTACTTTTTCGAAAATATTTTACCCATGCAATAATTGAATACAGACATATCTAATTTTGAAAAAATAATGCAAAAAACAAACAAAAAAACCAAAAACCTCTAAATCTCCAAGTTGTCTTTTGAAGTCATCAAAATCATTATCAAAATCCAGTTTTCGATGATCCAAAATGTCGTATGGCTTTTTCTTCAAGCTGGAATAAATCTGCTGAAATCTGGACGCGTATGACTCAATGCCTTCTATCTTTGACTCGGACAGAGCTGAAAATGCCTGGATAGAATTCAGCAAGTTGATAATCTGTCAAAAAAAAAAAAGAAAAACAAGATGCCTATAGGGCTTGTATCATTCAACTGGTTTGTTTTGGTCAAAATTGCTTTATCCACAGATATACTTCTCTTCCCTTTATAATACTTTCCCCATCAGGCTCCTCCTCTCTGGCCCCTTCCCCCATAGTAATTTATTTGCAAAAGGGAAAGGATTTTAAAAAGCTTTTCCTATATTTTCCCTATCTAGCTATGTCCCTCTGTCTCCTGAGGGATCAGACCCAACATCTGTAATTAAAAACAATTTCTGTGCACCCAAAGGATGTCAATGACCAAATAACAAAGGGCAATAACTCCTAAATTATGTCAAAGAAAGTGACAGTTCTTGTGCACTGCACTTCCCATTGTTGTAATCTATCTTCTTATGAAAGTTTTATGTTGATACTTCTTATAGTTTTGTGTTATGCTCTAGACAAATTTCAGATGAACGGCCAAAGCCGTGACTATATGCTCTCCCTTTGGGGAGCATAAAAATGTTTCTATGGAAACAGCAAACGCTCTGCCAAAAGCTCACAAGGACAGATAAGCTAAAACTCTTCTCATAGCCATGATCTACAAAAGCCTGTAATAATGGGAAGGACTCTCTTGAGTTATAAAGAAACTTCTAACTACAGAAATACACCAAACATTCACCAGACTATTGGGCCTCCCAGAAATTTTACAGAAAAACACAATCAGTAGAAATGTTTTTGTTAAAAAGAGGAAAATCTAATAAATATTCTACTTTATATAAAAAATAAAAATACAAGGCTTAAATTTTTTTTAAAATGTGGCACTAAAATGGAGAATAAAAGAACATTAATTAAAAGACATAGCCAAAAGACAACCTTTTCCAAACGTTTGCAGAAAGTCTCAAATTTCCCAAAAATGTACATCTCTGAAAACTCAAATGGTTTTTCGCCAGGGGTTGCTTCAATCTTTTTCTTGGTGCGTTGGAAAATGGCTTGGTAGTTTCTGTAGAGGGTAACACAGTTCTGCAATTTCTCTATGAGCGGTTGTCGGGGCTGGTCCCAGATCCTAGTCACTCCTTCGTCAGTGATGTAGTTCTTGCAGGCTGTCACCATTTGATTAGTCACCTGCAGTGAAAAATTCAGTATATACCACTTCTCAGAGACAGAAATTCTTTAGTATTTTCATATCTTTCCTTATAAATATTTCACTCCATATCTTGGCAAATACCTTTAAATTGAATAGATTTTGACATAAAGTCAGGACAGAAAAACTATTTCACTGCAATATATCCTCCCAGGCAAAACTGTCAAGTCACTTACCTTAATGAAAAGGGAGGTCATCCTCTCCGAAGTGTTGTAGAAACGGGAAATACTGTGGATCATACGGATGGCATTAACAAGACCAGGCAAGGAGTCTGTCATTGAAACCTGTCCATCAGAGATATTCAAACAAAGAGTAACTACCACATTTTGTTAATAGTTCTCATTATATTCACCAAGTACAGGCGCGGACACTTTTATAACAGAAGTAAAGTCATTTGATAACTGCCACCCTATGGGATGTAAATTTAAATTCCGCTGGAAAAAATGTAAGAAAGTTGGGTGACATAAGAAATTTGTGTATATAAGCATCGAACTGCTTCAGTTAGCATTCATGGGCATATAAATGCCAACTGAACAAAGGCAAATTCAACACAAAGACAACAAAGAAATCTGTAGACCTGTAAGAAAATATCTAACCTTTACCTTTGAAATAGACCTTTATTAAAACAATTCATGGCCGCCTTGAGCCAACAGTTAACATACCGGATCACATCGATAGAGTGGTGCACAGTACTTCTCCAGTGTATAAAGGAACTTCACATTATCTTTGGCTTCATTTGCATTGTCTGTAATCTTCTTGTCCAATTCTTTCCATTTCTACAAAAGATAATCGTGTATCAAATTAAGACATTTCAGGACAGAATAATCTTTTTATCCAGGATGTTATATGGAAATAACAATTGAACAGACAACCTACATCAGATCCCAACTTTAAGATACAATTCTTTATTTCAGTGTTTAACACAGATCTGGTGTTATACTCCCTTCAGATTACTGTTTAGAACAAATACACATATTTCATTTAGATCCTTTATGCAGATTTTATATCTATAATCTAATGACAGAATTTGGAGTGAAATGATTGCGCCTACTGTGTGATTGCATAGGGTGTGCACAAACTCCCCTAGTTGAAAGTTTGTTAATTGCTTGTGCAAACTATTATATAATATCTAAGCATTCAGTATCTATGGTCCTTATCAACACCATGTTCCCAATATTATGTTTGTTGTTTATGTTTTAAAACAAAGTCATGAATCTTTGGATCTGGGATTCCTTTTAAAGTTAGGACATAAAATCAAGTGCTTTAACTTATGTCCTGGAAAAGCCTGTAGTATGTCCAGTTATTACCTTTAGAACTTTGGACCTTGCAATGTTGATAATGTTGATGACCATGCGGCACTTGGTGCTCTTGATTTGTTCCAAGAGTGCATTAAATCTAGCCATTAGCTGTCTCCAGTGGTCTAGTTCAGCCAGAGGACCTGTGTCGTCAGCCTCTTTTCTCATCTGATCACTCTCAGCTAGAATCTGTAAAAGTGCCAACTAAAATATCAATTTGTGTCTCTCTATAGTCACACTAAGCTTGGTCTGACCCAAAAAATAACAGTCAGGACCATCTGAAAATCATTTTAGGTAAGCTTCATCTCAATTCCACTAGTGGAACTTAAGGAGAATATTACAATGTAAAAAGTTTACACATGGCAGACAGTAGATGACACATGTATGAAACATGATGGCTACAGATCATCCTCACTTTCAGATCAGATTGACAACACATGTGATGGAAAATTGGTTAAAATTGCAGTGAGAAATTATGCTACCAGTAAACATGAGAATATGTCCAATCACTGCAGTGAGCCAAAAAGCTTATCTTAGATAAAGTATTTCTTTTTATCAACAACATGACCCTATCAATCTATTCAGGTAATTATGAACAGGTACATACAACATTTTTCTCCCATCAAAAATTCTTTCAAAATCAATTATACAAAAGCTTGTGCAGAGTAGATATATATATCAATTAAGAGTGCTTGTTTCACTCCAGATCATCTGAACATTTTTTTCTTACTAAGAGATTAGATGTCATCCGTGTACACCAAAACAATGATAAATACATGTAATGATCACACATGCCTGTTCAATCTGCTTGCACCAAGCCATTGCCAGGTCTTCCATGTCACTGACAACGTCTGGGTTGGCTGCTACGTCGATACAGTTATTGATAGTGGAGATCTCAGACAGGTTCACTTTGTCACTGGTACATTTAATCAGGTGTACACCCTCTCCAGCATTGGCCTGGGCACCTGTAAGACCATAATAGGTTATGCTTTTATGTGCAATACAAAAACTTTGCTTAGTACATACCTTTAAACAAAGAAAAAGGAATTCACTGTATCTTTTAACCTGCAATTCATTTTTAAACAAGTGAAACACTGATATACTTAAAGCTAGAAAGTCTTTTCAGAAATTGTCATTTTGCTCTCCTGTAACTTAGTGTATCTGATTCAAACTTCTAGCTCAGTTCATGCTAGGAGCACGGATAGAAGATGTGCCCAGTACAATAGAAGAAGAAATTCCCAGAAAATGTCCACTTTCTCTTTTAATAGCTATTGTTACTGATTCTACATACTTCTAAGGTATTGTAAAAAGTTCTCGAAATTGTCGAGGAAAAGCTTCTTGGACTTTCTGCCCTGAGGTGTAGTCATTAAGTCTCCCCAGTTCTCCAGATTTTTCAGGGCTGACTGGTAGATGTTAGACATGACATTCTCAAAAGCAGACAACACACCTGGTTCGTGAGACACATCAAGCACTCCAAACAATACCTCCTGTAATAACAACATCAAATGCTTCCCTGAAAATTTGAGTATTTCTCCATCAATAAGCCCATGCCTGATAAATAAGCCTACCATCATCTATTGCAGTTTCATCATCATTGCCTTCAAATAAACTCCTATGCCTATAATAAACTCCTATGCCTATAATAAACTCCTATGCCTATAATAAACTCCTATGCCTATAATAAACTCCTATGCCTATAATAAACTCCTATGACTACATTAAACTCCTATGCCTATAATAAACTCCTATGACTACAAAAAACTCCTATGCCTATAATAAACTCCTATGCCTATAATAAACTCCTATGCCTATAATAAACTCATATGACTACATTAAACTCCCATGACTACAATAAACTCCTATGACTACAATAAACTCCTATGCCTATAATAAACTCCTATGACTACAATAAACTCCTATGCCTATAATAAACTCATATGACTACATTAAACTCCCATGCCTATAATAAACTCCTATGCCTATAATAAACTCCTATGACTACATTAAACTCCCATGACTACAATAAACTCCTATGCCTACAATAAACTCCTATGACTACAATAAACTCCTATGCCTATAATAAACTCCCATGACTACAATAAACTCCCATGCCTATAATAAACTCCTATGCCTATAATAAACTCCCATGACTACAATAAACTCCCATGACTACAATAAAATCCCATGACTACAATAAACTCCCATGACTACAATAAACTCCCATGACTACAATAAACTCCCATGACTACAATAAACTCCCATGACTACAATAAACTCCCATGACTACAATAAACTCCCATGACTACAATAAACTCCCATGACTACAATAAACTCCCATGACTACAATAAACTCCCATGACTACAATTAACTCCCATGACTACAATAAACTCCCATGACTACAATAAACTCCTATGCCTATAATAAACTCCCATGACTACAATAAACTCCTATGACTACAATAAACTCCCATGACTACAATAAACTCCCATGACTACAATAAACTCCCATGACTACAATAAACTCCCATGACTACAATAAACTCCCATGACTACAATAAACTCCCATGACTACAATAAACTCCCATGACTACAATTAACTCCCATGACTACAATAAACTCCCATGACTACAATAAACTCCCATGACTACAATAAACTCCCATGACTACAATAAACTATAATAAACTCCCATGACTACAATAAACTCCTATGCCTATAATAAACTCCTATGCCTATAATAAACTCCTATGCCTACAATAAACTCCTATGCCTATAATAAACTCCTATGCCTATAATAAACTCCCATGACTACAATAAACTCCTATGACTATAATAAACTCCTATGACTACAATAAACTCCCATGACTACAATAAACTCCCATGCCTATAATAAACTCCCATGACTACAATAAACTCCTATGCCTATAATAAACTCCTATGCCTATAATAAACTCCCATGACTACAATAAACTCCTATGCCTATAATAAACTCCTATGACTACAATAAACTCCTATGCCTATAATAAACTCCTATGCCTATAATAAACTCCTATGCCTATAATAAACTCCCATGACTACAATAAACTCCCATGCCTATAATAAACTCCCATGACTACAATAAACTCCTATGCCTATAATAAACTCCTATGCCTATAATAAAATCCTATGCCTACAATAAACTCCTATGCCTATAATAAACTCCTATGCCTATAATAAACTCCTATGCCTATAATAAACTCCTATGACTACAATAAACTCCCATGACTACAATAAACTCCCATGACTACAATAAACTCCCATGACTACAATAAACTCCCATGACTACAATAAACTCCTATGCCTATAATAAACTCCCATGACTACAATAAACTCCTATGCCTATAATAAACTCCTATGCCTATAATAAACTCCCATGACTACAATAAACTCCCATGACTACAATAAACTCCTATGCCTATAATAAACTCCCATGACTACAATAAACTCCTATGACTACAATAAACTCCTATGCCTATAATAAACTCCTATGCCTATAATAAACTCCTATGACTACAATAAACTCCCATGACTACAATAAACTCATATGACTACAATAAACTCCTATGACTATAATAAACTCCTATGACTATAATAAACTCCTATGCCTATAATAAACTCCTATGACTACAATAAACTCCTATGACTACAATAAACTCCCATGACTACAATAAACTCCCATGACTACAATAAACTCCTATGACTACAATAAACTCCTATGCCTATAATAAACTCCCATGACTACAATAAACTCCCATGACTACAATAAACTCCCATGACTACAATAAACTCCCATGACTACAATAAAATCCTATGACTACAATAAACTCCTATGACTATAATAAACTCCCATGACTATAATAAACTCCTATGACTACAATAAACTCTTATGACTGCAATAAACTGCTATGCCTACAATAAACTCCTATGCCTATAATAAACTCCCATGACTACAATAAACTCCTATGCCTATAATAAACTCCTATGACTACAATAAACTCTTATGACTGCAATAAACTGCTATGCCTACAATAAACTCCTATGCCTATTTTGAGTATCACATTTAGTGTAGGCTGATCATAAGATCAATAATATATATATATATATATATATATATGTATAGTGAAAATATGGTAAATTCTACGTGTACACAATGTAAAACATCTGAAGAAGAAATGAAAGTGCTTATGTTTTACAGCTCATCATGTTTTCCAGTTTTTAAAGTTTTTTTTATATATATATAGTAATGGTGATCTGAAGTGAAAACAATGACACAGGCCTGACAGGGGACACAATTTTAGTATGACACTTCTATATCTGAGCATCTACATGCCACATGTTTATGATAATAGATCTATATATCATGTTCCACACAAGGTGATTAGAGTGCTACACCAGTGAACTACAAATTGAGGAAGTGTCAATCTCTTTTGTACCCTCCAGAAGTATAGGCAGGTCAGCAAAGCCATAACTCTGTTGCCATAGTTGAGCACAGGTTTAATTTTAGCATGTGCTATTGCCACTGTTTGCAACTGTACAGGCAAAAGAATGTACGAGATGTGCTCTGAACAAAGTGATCACACAGATAAAATGGTTACCATTCTGGATCAAGTGCTTTAATCAGAAATTCATTTTCCTTCAAGAAATATACAAATTACAAATGCTATATGTTAAGAGCATTCTTTTCTTCAAATAAATAAATGAATGACAGCAATAACCAGTGATTGTTTTTGAAGTGATATACTCTGATTATAATCACAGCCTAATTAATAATTAACCGTGTCAATCAAATTGCTAGATGTGGGCATCCTCTTGACCTAAGGGAGCCAATTTACGTGGCTCAGTGTCTGGGTTAGGAGGGCTTGTTATGACAAAAATTGGCAATACCAGTCACTGGAACTGTAAAGTAACAGTGCTTTATAAACATATTTCATTTCAGCAGGTGTAAAATAGACTTTTTGTGAAATTTCAGTCCCACTCTTGTCACTGTCTTCAAGCAGATTATTTCATACAAAATTGTAAATTTTCAGGTTTGACCCACACAAAAAGGGTGACTGAACAGTTATGAATATTCTTAGAACTTTTGTTTACCTCGCCAATATTGTTGGCAGTTAGATTTGATTCAGTCTTTGTGCGCAGGAAGTATACACATTGGCCATGCAGAGCATTTCCCGAACCACTTGTCACTAAAATGCGAGGTACAACTGTGCCTTTAGGGGCTCCTTGTACAATTCTTCCACACTCTGAAATCAACACAATCTTTTTCCTGCACCTGTTCTCTTTAAGATTACATGAAAAATGAAAAACAAGAAAACAAATGCTTCAAAGAAATGAACATACATACATCCACAAGCACAAAATCTAAAAAAATTAGTAAAATTTATGTTATTAAATACAAAAAACAATGAACTCCTTCAAACTATGCATACTGGGAAAAGTCTTTTTATTTACAACTGTTTGTTAGATACAGGGAAGGGGTATAATCCAATAAATGGACTGTAAGCTTCTCTGTAATCTAGGCTATATACAGCTGAATTTGTCCATTCAAAATTCCTACCCTCTAAAGAATATCCAAATATGATAAAATTTCGCCAAATTGTACCTAGTGAAGTAGTTTAGCAGAGTAAAACTCAAATATCTAAAATGGCATCATTGTGTGTTTATCCTTTTAAAGGCCTAATCAGACTGAAGCGGAAAATTCTAATATTTCTTCTCTGTCTTTACTAATCTGATATTTTTTATCAGACAAAATGGGTTTTTACCTGAAATGTCTGGTGTCAGACACAATCAAAATCGTTTGAGTCAAAATAATTTCTGTTTTTGTTCTTTCTTCATCTTTGTTATTTTAGTTTGGATGAATTGAATTTCACTGACTGAAATTTCATTTGAGTTGAAATGATTTTCCAGTCCCTTCCACTGTCAAGCAAGTGAAAAGTCAATTGTCTTGAAATTACTTTCTGTAAAAACCTGGGCATATCTTCTGAAGACTTTGATCAATACATACATAGAATAGAAAGTCACCTGCGCATAATACATGGCTAATCACAGTGTATTTGTCCATATTATATACAACACTTGGCCTCTGACAATTAATTACCAGTTTAATTATCCAATGAAAAATTGGCTTCTTAATCAGTGTCACCAAAGTAAAGCAGTGACTTACCTGTATGTTAAACATGTGTTTACATAAGACATGAAAACTGGTCATATTTTAAAATCAGCATACTAGACCTGAAACATGTGTAGTAGACTAGACTGCATGCTTCTTTAAGAAGAAATAACAAGAGGCCCAAAGGACCTGTATCGCTCACCTGGATCTTTATGACAAACAGTACTCTATCTGTGCATATGTTCCATGTTTTACATTTGACCCATGTGACCTTGACTATGGGACAAGGTCATTTCTTTTTGCAAACTTTCTTGGACTTCATAAAAGGAATATATTGGCTAAATACAATGATTCTAGGCCTTCCAGTATTTTGGAAGAAGTTGTTTAAAGGTTTTTCCATATTTGACCTCTGTGATCTGGAATATGGGACAAGGTCATTTCTATTGGCAAAATTTGTTGGGCTTTATCAATGGAACCTTCCTGCCAAATATGATAACCCTACGCCTTTTGGTATTTCAGAAGAAGTTGTTTAAATGAAAAGTTGACGGACAGACAACGTACGGAAGACGGACCTTGACTATGGGGCCAGGTGAGTTAAAAACAGAAGTGGTTTATTAAGAGCAGTTGTACAGTAATATGTACAGGTTGACCCCAGTAAAACATTATCAGTGCTGCTTATTTCATAGTTTATTCTAGTAAAGTCATTTGGACATGATCTGTAACTTCAAACATGGCTTTTAGAAGCATATTAAAAGCAAATTTTTAGTTTCATTTTTACATTCCATAAAATCTATGACCTATATAAGGTGAGAGTACACCTGACCGAGACGGAACTAAGTCAGTCAGGGTTTTCCATAATTTTGTTAGTAGTAGGCTGTGTAGTGAAAGTAGGAGGCTGGCCTGCCATGTACGTGTAGTCGTGTACGGAACATTATTACGGAACTGGATTGGTGTAGGCGGCCAAATGATCAAAGTAGGCGGTCAAATTGCCCAGCGACCGGCTCTTATGGAAAACCCTGTCAGTAGTTGATTGCTAATCTTCATACATGTTTTATTATTTAGATAAATAAACAATCAAATGAGAAAGTAAATATCTATTTGTTTTTGTTTATTTAGAGCCCTTTCAAATAACGTATTAATTTACACTGTTTGAAGAACACAGGATCATACCATCATAGCCCACACTTCTTTCAACTGTAATCAATGTAAGGAAACTGATATCATCAAACTAACATGGACACTTTGAGTCGAAATCATAAGTCTTAAATATTTCCCATGGTCCCTGGAATTTCAAAATAACAAGTTTCAACCAGTGCTCCAGATAGCCTGCGTGAATGCGTTTTCACGCACAATATTTCTAATTTCACGCTAGGAAAAAAATAAGATTTGCGTCATTAACCCGTGCGAAATCCGGACTCTGCGTCAATGTCCGGCTCCAACATTACGTAGTTAGAAAACTCAATAATCTAAGTCAAACAGACACTTATCGAGTAAACGAAACTCGTAACAAGCGCTTTCTTGATCGTGATTATAAACCAGTCGCATAGCAAATATGGCGCTGTCAAAAATGTTTACAAATTCAGTGTTACCCTAATATGGAAAAACCCATACACTTGATGAAGGCAGGGGTGAAAAAACCCCTCAATTTATAAAGGTAGGAGTGAAAACCCCACATGTCAAAAAGTTATCTGGAGCACTGTTCAACTGTATATACCTTCCAAGCCTGGTGTTGCTCCATCTTGATAATAAAACTTCAAACTCCTACACCCATCCTTCTGCAGAAAAAGGTCAAACACTTGTAGGTTCTGAAAATAAACAAATGCAGTTTGATGAGTCATTAGTGATAACAATATGTGAACGTTAGAAAATATAAACATTATCATTGACTGGGAAGATGTGATCACAAAGATGTAATACTGTAATAGAGTCAATGGCAACGACTCCACATTGAAGTAATCTTCATACTTTGGGTGATCAGGAGGCACAGGGGATAACTTGCACCTCGCTTTCACCTTGGCAACAGGTGTTCAATTCTTTGATCAAATGTGAAAAAGTAAAGCTACCTGTCAGATTATGTGGGTTTAACAGTTGTTGAAACTAGATGTGTCAGAGCAACCTGGATGCCCCATTAACAATCAAGAAGTTTGGAACTATTCAGTGGTATTTGCTTTGTTAAGGGGTGTTTTAAAGTTCCACTGGATTTTGAAAAGGCTCTCCAATTTTGGTCATAATAGCAAGTCAAAATGCTGAAAAGGAAATCAGTGCTATATGTTTTGATGATGAACTAAAGCAAGCAAAGTTTTTATGACACAAGTTGAAAACTGAAAGAAATCTCTGGACAAACTTAAATAAACCAAGAACAATAACTCTCTTGAAATATTCTTCAACCAAAATGCTGTTACAAAAACACAATCTCATGTTGTTGTTTTCAAGCCTACCAAGTTTCAGAGAAATCAGTTGAAAACTGGGGGAGGAGAATTTCATATAAGATTGAAATACTGAAAAAACCCGAAGGGGAAATAACTCCTGAAAACTGCTGAATTGAATTACTGTTCAGGAAAGGAAAACATAATATGTCATAGTTAAAATGCCTTCAAAGTTTGAAAGAAATCAGTTGAAAACTAAGAGAGAAGATCTCCAAACAAACAACAAGGAGGCAGTAGTATCAAAGTGCTATTCAGGAAAACTCATCTTGTGTTGATCAAGACTACAAAGTTTGGAAGTGATCAGTTGAAATCTTTGGGAGGAGATCTGTGGACAAATTTAAAGTTAACAAATGAACACATGAATATACAATGCCATACTATAATAATCCTGTTAAAATTTTGATGGGCATATAAAAATGAAGTGATCATAACCAAATCAGAACTTAACTGTATACTATCACAATACAACTGTTTACCAAATTATGTCTACATAACAGCAAATAAACAGAAACAAACTGATAATGTAATGAGGAAAGGGTGGTTAAGAGTAACACTATATGTACTCTACCCAACCATCACACAGTTGGGTCATATGTCATATTTTGTTCTCTTTTGAAAGTCACCTTGATTCCAGTGATCCCCAACCCTGCTTGCCTTGATCCCCATCCATCCTCAAAACTTTGTTACAGGAAGTTTTTTTGGTAAAACAACAGAAAAGATGACAAAAATGTCTCATTGACCTCAAATGAAGAACTTACTCTCTCAGAATCCAGGACAAAATCCTCAATCACAGTGTAGTCAAGGTTCAGGTGATTGGACACAATCACTAACACATATTTGTGGGTAGGCAGAAGTCTTGATCTTCTCACCTCCCTCAAGTCTCGAGCCTTTTGCTATGGAAAATTAAACACATTTCAATAAACAGCCAATTGTTATGTACTTAAGTTAACATTAAGCAAATAACTACAAGCTGAAAGTAAATTGAACTAATAAAAGCACTACACACAATGAAATTTGAAAAGTCAGATTATCTCTATCATTAATTTGAGCTCCAACTTGATGCATTAGAGGATGCTAGGAAACAACCTGTTCATAAAAAATAGCTGCATGATCAATCAATATAAAAGCTCATGAATCATTGGTGAGCAGGTTCATCATGTACAAAACTTACTGAGGCTTATCAGACCAAACAATTCACCACCAGGGTACTTTCCCTCTTTCAGACAGTCATAGTTTGGCCTACATTGTTGCATTATTTACCATCTAACAAGCATTATTAACAAGAAGCCTATGGACCTTAACAGTCACCTGACCTGACTATAAAGACCTACATATGATTGTGACCCCATGGGCCTGAATTGCTCACCTGTTCCACAGCTTACAAAGAAGACTTTGTCAGTTCATGAAGTCAGTTTCTGCAAACTTGAGATCCTCATATATACTAATATACAAATACCATCACCAAGGATCTATTGCTTGTTGATGGAAGAAATATCAAGTTTTTAACACCCTATCTTGACAATGGATTAAGATCAATCATTTGAATGAATTTGGTAGTCCATCATTCAATTAATGAACAGAACCAATAATACTAGCCTAGAGGTTTTGATAATTAAGATTTTTTTTAAATATTTTAACACACTTAACCTTTGTGACTTTGAAAGAGAGTCAAGGTCATTCATTTGAACAAAAATGATTGCCCTTCATCACAGCATGCTGTAGGTCAAATACCTGAACCTTAAGTCTTATGGTTACTAAGAAGTCATTTAAAGAATTCAAAGTATTTCACCTGTGACCTTGAAATTGAGTCAAGGTCATTCATTTGATAAAACTTGAAAGCCCTTCATCCCAGCATGCTACAGCTAAAAGATCAGTTCCCCGAGCCTTCTAGTAATTGAGAGGTTGTTGAAAGCTTTAAATACATTCGACCCCTGTGACCTTGAAAATGGTCTAAGGTCATTTATTTGAACAAACTTGTCAAATGCCTATTCCAGCTTTTTGTTATAAAAACTTTTAGTAATCATGTCTTTGGAAGCATGTTGTCACCATTGTCAATTTCATGTTACCCAATTTTCTGCCGTTTATTATGCATCTATTGCAAAACACATAGGTTTCATTAATTTTTTGTTTGACTCTGATAACCGATGTGTAGCATGACGACTCATACTCAAAAAGCTTCTTGCTGCATGTGTTTCTATCTTTTTTCAGGTTATGAATAACCAATCAAAAGCAACAAGTTTAATTTTATGCATTAGTAACATTCATGTGACCAGGTATAAAGGTACAATTAAATGCCCTATTTCTTAGTATTTTGGGTTATCAAAGTGCTGTTTGATTTACCTGTCTTTCCTTGATTGATTCTGTGTTCATTAAAACACTTCCCATTGTACTTCTTCTTCTGCCCCTTGAACCTTGAGCACCAGGAGCTCCAACATTAAAGCTGGACCTCCTCTCATACCCAACATTTCCTGGGGAATCTAAAAATCCTGACATCTTCTAATTTCGGTGTCTACAACATAGATAGAATCATACAGTGTCTAAAGAGCTAATCAACTGATTGAAAATAAACTTGTTTCAAAGGATGTTTGAAAATTTTTTGTTAGATTTATCTAGGACAATCAGAAAATTTGTATTACTGAAGGCAGTTTCGTGTCACAAAAAAAAAGTTTTTTCTAATGGCACTTTCAGGTAGAAACCTTTTTAATTTTGTCTCTTTTGCTGTTTCAGGTTTCATTTCACACAATTTAACCAATGTCCATAGTTCATATTGTTTCCAAGTCATGTACATGAGAACCCTACTGTTTCCATCCATCAAAACATGTTTTTCACTAATCTTTCCCATCACATATTCTAACTCTGTTGTGTGTCAAACTACAGTAACCTCTTGCTCTCTAAAGGAGAATACTCTACCATTTTACCAAATGACAATTCCCATAAGCTGGGGCTTTAGTAAGTTGATTTTAACTAATTAATTTACAATATTTGATTTATTTTTCTCCCTAAAAAAAACGAAAAAAAACTTTCATGCATTAAAATAACTTATAAACCATTTATCTATAGAAGTGTTCATTTCAACAATTTCCCCCCAATTTTTTTTAATACGGCAGGATATTTGTGTCACAGGGGACCAATTTACCACACATTTTTTACATCCTGTATTTTGCCTGCCACTTTGGTTCTATAACGGTTCCATAATCTTCTACAACCCAAACTGAAATTGTACCAAACATGGACCACTTTACCGCATTTAAATTTTAACACTTGGAGCAAAATCTACCCTTGAAAGTTGCTCAGTAACTATATTTCAAAATTCTGAAGAGCAAAATACCAAAATGTAAAAAAAATGTTTTTAAAACATTGAACAAATTCCTGGCATATTTCAAGAATTACAAAAATTATGAATAATATTTTATTGGATAAGTGACATGCATGTTGAAAAATGTGAGTTCATAAAACGTCTAAATAAATTTATGGTACAGCAATGTCACCATAGAAAATTTTGTATGAACCTAGTCTAAAATCTGAAAATGCACCACATGAAAGGTAAAGCTGACCTGATGACTTACATATATCTTAAATCTGTGATTAATAGAAAATAACCGATATTATGTAATAAAGTACAACTACAAAATCCCCACGATTTTCTTTTCTTTCAAAAGTGTAAAGCGGGCTCCGTGACATCAGAGACGTATATATCACATGATCATCGTGGTATATACGTCTCTGGTGACATTAACAACTCCAAGCTACTACAGGTGTACGCTTAAGACTTGGTTTGGTCCAATGACTGTAGAGTATATGTCAATCAGAATATTTTCAGAAAATAAAATTTGAGCACCGTAACGGTTAAAAATCGTCACATTTATCTTAATAATAAAATTTGATCCTGTTAAGTTACGTGGAGATGGATATTGGCGAGAATATGCCATTTAACAATAAAACATATATTCCATTTGTATATTTGTCTAGTAAAGTGATTTCGCAAAAATGCTGAATAACTGCCCATGATTACTTTGAATTTCCCGCGCAAGACCACAGGCACATCTGACAGACGTCAATCACCTTTCAAAAGATCGTTTTTTTCTTGTTACCCCATCAGTTATATCTTGTTAATATGAGCAAAATTAACAAAAAGTAAATTTTAAACTATTTCTAACACTATCTTATATTCAGAAACGTTTCCTTAGCTACCTATACGCCTATGTCATGTTCGTTTCTCATTTGAATACCGGCGTCCATCTTCGTTTTCTTCGAACATCTGTAACTGAAATATCTACGCAGTTGACAGTGGAAAACCATGGCATAGTTTCGTATATTCTATCCTTAATAAAACAATGTATTTCTCTGCAAAATTAGGCTTTATTTATGCATCACTGATACTTTTGTCTTAGATAAATTTGACACACATTACATCAGCACTATGTTTTCTCATGCGACAGGATAAAGGCGGTGTAACATTTTCTGTCCGTTGGGGCGCCTCAAGGGGAACTGATTCCTATTGTTGGGTGCGTTCGATGCAAAACCAAAATCGAAATAATATTGTTAGTTATCAGTTCTTTTACAATTCAATGCAATGACTTCATATAAAATTTTGACATTTTAGAATACTGTTTAGTAAAACACCATCGCATGCATCCTGCCATCAAATTTATTCACAATAAAAATTCATGCGATTTACGACTTTGCAGTTGTGGCGGACAACGGTTCAAGCGAACTGTAAAATAATGTTTAGTTATAAAACCAATTACTTTAGTAATCTTCGTCAAGGCTCAGCATTTAATCAAATGCACTTGCATTACATGGTTAATTCGTTTCCACACCTGCTTACGTCACGCCTCTTCTGGCTTTCGGTCCCGCCAACTATTCGTTCTGTTGCTGGGCGTCAGCGCAAGCGGGTGTACGTATTTACTGTTTTCAAATAGAAACTGGGTAGGTTGACAAAGGTGCAGTAGTGATGTTGTGTATTTTTCGTATTCGCTCTAATAATATAACCTGATATATAAAACAAAATAGATTGATCGGATTCTGAAAACTTGGAATGCTGAGCAGTTGAAATGTCTTTATAATGAGAAACATATAAGCTGAGTAGTTTTTCTACAAGGTCTAAAGATAGTTTCTGCACGAAGGAATTAACATTAGCATCAGCCTCTAAACAACCTTGTCAAGAAAAAAGTTCCTTGGTCTGCTCTTCAGTTTCCTTACAAACACGAGCTTGATGTGATTTGTTAAAAAAGATTCACGATCTTCTAAGAGACACAAGTTTATGTCAGAAGAAAACAAAGATAAAACACTGAGTCGAGAAAAAACAACTCAATGACTGAATTACCCTCCGCAAATTTTGCAATTTCAACAATGTCACAACTAAAAAAGATATTTATCGGATCTTGTTGAATATCTGCAATACTTTTCTCAAATGCGGTATTAAAGTTAGCTTTGAAAATTTCCTTGTCTGTAAAAAGTTTCCCCAAAGGTTCCTTACAGGAAGGAGTTGGTTGAACAGGTGATGAGGGTACAGCAGTCTCAGGTACAACAGGTGATGAGGGTACAGCAGTTTCAGGTACAACAGGTGATGAGGGTACAGCAGTCTCAGGTAAAACAGATGATGGGGGTACAGCAGTCTCAGGTACAACAGGTGATGAGGGTACAGCAGTCTCAGGTACAACAGGTGATGAGGGTACAGCAGTCTCAGGTACAACAGGTGATGAGGGTACAGCAGTCTCAGGTACAACAGGTGATGAGGGTACAGCAGTCTCAGGTACAACAGATGATGGGGGTACAGCAGTCTCAGGTACAACAGGTGATGAGGGTACAGCAGTCTCAGGTACAACAGGTGATGAGGGTACAGCAGTCTCAGGTACAACAGATGATGGGGGTACAGCAGTCTCAGGTACAACAGATGATGGGGGTACAGCAGTCTCAGGTACAACAGATGATGGGGGTACAGCAGTCTCAGTCTGACTTTGCAGTCTGTGATTACTTGCTGAAATAATAGAACAACTCCAATGACAATGTTTTCAAGATTTTAATTAGGGGATTTTGAATATAGAACTATACATATAGCGATATATACGTCTCTGATTATGGTCCTACAATTTTCACGCACAAATTTCCCCCGACACCGGATTGCTAAACTAAAAACTCCCGTATCACTTCAGTCTAAAATCAGAAACTATTATTTTAACACTCACTTCAACTATAATTTAAAATTAATATCATACTCACTTATAAGAACCTACCGGGTCTCCAGTAGCCCCAGCTTTTCTATTTGTAATTCTCCGCCTTCGTGGTGTTAACATTTTTCTGTTCTCCTGGCCTCAGGATAACAAGGGCAGGTAACTCTAATTCGTTGTGCAAAATGAAGATGATATGGTGTAATGTTTAGGAATCATTGACCTCTATCAAAGAACAACCCATCAATAAAATCACTTAAGATCACAATATTTATTATGATAAAATTTCCAACATGAATTATTCGCACAAAATTTACAGAACCTGACGCATTTGACAAAATTTAATATCAAAACGTGAAATCTTTGATAAAATGTACTGTAAACATGATACGTTTGATAAAATGTACTATAAACATGAAACGTTTGATAAAATGTAATATAAACATGAAACGTTTGATAAAATGTACTGTAAACTTGAAACATTTGATAAAATGTAATATAAACATGAAACGTTTGATAAAATGTACCATAAACATGAAACATTTGATAAAATGTACTGTAAACGCGAAACGTTTGATAAAATGTACTGTAAACGCGAAACGTTTGATAAAATGTACTATAAACATGAAACGTTTGATAAAATGTACTATAAACATGAAATATTTGATAAAATGTAATATAAACATGAAACCTTTGATAAAATGTAATATAAACATGAAACGTTTGATAAAATGTAATATGAACATGAAACCTTTGATAAAATGTACTATAAACATGAAACATTTGATAAAATGTAATATAAACATGAAATGTTTGATAAAATGTACCATAAACATGAAACATTTGATAAAATGTACCATAAACATGAAACCTTTGATAAAATGTAATATAAACATGAAACATTTGATAAAATGTAATATAAACATGAAATGTTTGATAAAATGTACCATAAACATGAAACATTTGATAAAATGTACCGTAAACGCGAAACGTTTGATAAAATGTAATATAAACATGAAACGTTTGATGAAATGTACTATAAACATGAAATATTTGATAAAATGTAATATAAACATGAAACCTTTGATAAAATGTACTATAAACATGAAACGTTTGATAAAATGTAATATGAACATGAAACCTTTGATAAAATGTACTATAAACATGAAACATTTGATAAAATGTAATATAAACATGAAATGTTTGATAAAATGTACCATAAACATGAAACATTTGATAAAATGTACCATAAACATGAAACCTTTGATAAAATGTAATATAAACATGAAACATTTGATAAAATGTAATATAAACATGAAATGT